TGTGTGACCAGCACACCACAACAGGAACTGTGTGGACAGCACACCACAACAGGAACTGTGTGGACAGCACACCACAACAGGAACTGTGTGACCAGCACACTACAGCAGGAACTGTGTGGACAGCACACACCAGCAGGAACTCTTTGACCAGCACACCACAACAGAGGAACTACGGTATCATGGTTGTGTCATATGGTGAACCTGAACTCCCTTCACATTGAGTAAAATACATAGTTGAATATTTCAATAGGATTATGAGTAGAAAGTTGATGATTGATGTTTTGCAGTGCCCATGTCATCACACTCAGGACATGGGGGAATAGGGGAACTTGTCAGTATGTACAGATTCATGAGAATTGATAGTATGTGACACAATCAGCTTGTAAATATTTAAGGAGAGCCAACCCCTGAAAACATATCACGATAGACCAAATTTTGATAATGGCTCCATTTTATTTCATATTGGTGTTTCTCGTTTCAGGACAATGCTGACTGTTCATTGAACTCCTACTCAACAAATTATTTATTTTGTTTCAGGTACTTGAGTGGATTTACAAGAAAAAACAATTTTCAGTTAGAGATTGTGAATGTGTAAACTGATCATGTGTTAAATTGAAATACATCATCGTATAATGAGATATTCGTGTATCACTAAATCTAAAATGTCGATATTATATTGATACAAATTTTAAAGTATCAATACTCAATTATTAATTCACTGCCACAGACACATTTACAACTGTTAACATTACCATGGCAAAGGTGGACAATGAGATAGCAGAAAATTCAATTTGAACGTTTAATGGATCGGCCTAGTTCATATTTAGAATAAAACTGATTAATTTCAGCTCTACACAGGTCATTGTTATCTATACACACACAATAATTCATTTCACTATCAAAACATTGGGATACTTTTGAATTTATATACTAGTATTGATACTAGGGCTGTTACGATTCACTCGCGTATTCTGTGAATCGAACCGTAACTATTCATGAATTGAATTCGTTCTTCATTGCCTCTAGAATCGAATATTTATGAATATGCTATCATGTAGATTTACATACCCTGTACCTAAAAATATCCATAACAACATATCATATGCATAGATTTCTTTCAGTGACAACACTCTAATAATATTTAATTTGACGGTATTGTTGTCACTGGTCATTGCTGCATTTGAGCAGATACTAGTACCTTGATAAGTGCAGTATATAAATGTATAATTTTTTAATAATTAACAAACCATGTCAAATAATTTATGTTATTGTTTCACTGAATATAATAAATAATACATAAACTGCTGACTTGCTGTAATTGTGAAATAATATTTGTATTCGTTACCCTATTTTTGTGATATGAATCGTAAACGCCTCACAGTGTATTCGTTGCAGCCCTAATTGATACTGAAATTTCCAATGAATGACAACCCGAGTTTGAGGTATGTACATGCTCGGACTGAAGCCGGAAAGATTTAAATTCAACACTCAGGGGATTAATTTTCATTCAGTCATCAACCCTTTCATTGCTGATGGTGAAGACAAGTGGTCAGCTCCAGATGATGATGGGCCAAAGTGATAGCAGAGTTATTATCGGCTCGCTCTGGGCCTGCTGTTCGGCCAGCAGATGTGGGCTACACATTGGGACCAGCTGATGTGTAACTCAGATCTAGAAGCATCAAGTGCTAAATGGGGCCTATTCTGCAAAGCTTGAGCTATGATTTCCTGGGGAGACCTACTAAAAAACACTTGGTCCCACTGAAAAATACGACATGCTGGAAATCACAAATTTTAAAGTTTTAAAGATTGGTATGAAAATTATTAGACATATTCAAATGGGTGTAAACTAGCCTGCTTATGTCTTATACTTGCAAATTTATACTTCGGGCACGATTAAGTACACCTGTATGGACAATTGTGTGGAAAAGGCTGATTTTCCAACTTCAAGAGAAAATCCAACTTTCACCAAGTCTTTCATTCAACTGAACTTTTTCCAGGTTTGCACTGTTTTCATCTACAAAATGCTTGAGTGAAAGACTTGATCACGTTCACATACAAGAAAAAGGCTTCCTGAAAACCACTAAAACTAGGCTTTTCAACATGTAAGCTTCACCAAAACATACAAATGAACACAAGTGACAACTTTCATGACAATGTCTAAATATTTTACTCATTTCTTTACTTATGCAGGTCCTAAAACATAATTTTGCAAATTAATTTTCAAACCTTTACAGTTTGCGACTTTAGCCAATAATCTATGTTTGTTTGTTGTTTAACGCCACACAATATTCCAGCTATATGACAGCAGTCTGGACCAGAAAATGATGTAATTGACATTATGAGCATCGATCTACGCAGTTGGGATAAGATGACATGCATCCATCAAGTCAGCGAGCCTGACCCTCTGATCCCGTTAGTCACATCTTATGGCAAGCATGGGTTGCTGAAGACCAATTCTACCCTGGAGTACAATACTGTCCGCCTAAAGTACTCACGGAAATGAAAAAACACTGTTTTTTCGATCTCAGATTTTAAATAAATGCAGTTAATATACAAAATATATAAATATTCAAACAACTCAATCAGTACTAATTGGGCCTTGGCACAAATACAGCGTATCACAGGTTTTTATGTCTTTTTACACGTAAAAGTGTGTAAAAATATGAACAAAACAGACTATTGTGAAACTGAGCATAACCAGGTGTTAGTAGATCAAGGTGAATGTCCATGACCTATGACATCTTGACGACAGGTGAAAACAGGTGCTTGAAACCCACGTGCATGTGAATTGTCAGTGGTTAGTGATTTGTGAGTGGCATTGTGGGATAGTGAATCATCGTCAAAATATCAGAACGTAAAAGTAACATATTCCCTTCTCAAACAACAACTTACATGTCATTATTATTATGTACATAAACATAGCTGTTATTTTTATTATTGTTTTGATAACTTTTTTCCAGGCTAATTTGCATAATGCCTATAGCTTGTTTCTGCCATGTCAATTTGGACTTAGTTTTATTTTTGAATGTTGAAAGTGCCTACAAATTACCTCCTGTAAAGTACATTTTGTATTGAGCACTGAGATAAAACTAGCAAATCCAGACAAGTACTTTTCCAGTTGTTTTGTTATTTCGTATTTACATCTATGTAATGCTTTGTGTCGATTATTAAATCAAGCAAAACAGTTTTTTTTCATTTCCATGAGTACTTTAGTAAGCTCCGCTAATAAAACTCCATATGATAACAAAAAAAATGTACACAAAATGATGCTGAGAGTTCGGGCAAGTACACTCAAAAGTTTTTGGCACAGACTGCCTTTATTTGCATACATCTGACCATGGTCATTACCATGTAATGATGAAATTGTTCCAATTATGATGCATTATGGCAAAATTGTGTGACAGCATGAACATACCATAAATTTTCAAATAGTGTAAATTTGGATAAAATGTGTTGTTTTTATTTTAAGGTACATGAGAAGTTGTGTTTGGACGTCAGTGTATTTTGAATGTGGGAGTGTTTTAATGTCCTATTTGACCACAGTGAGCAGTATCGAGCTTAATCATACCTCCATGTCAGAATGATGAGATCTGATTGGTCCACATGATCTTGATCAAATACTATGTTTCCCACCTTGGAGGGGAATAGATTTCTCAGCAGGGGAATAAAACCGTTATACCACTACACAAGCAAGACAGACTGCACATGGATTTTGGGGAGGCAGAACAAATCCCTTATATCCTGCTTCCAAGCAATAAAGCGCACACTTTTTCCGAGTCAATGAAAGTCATGTGACATAGCACAAGCTAACCTCAGCTCAATCGAACAGCTGTTTTCTATCAATTTTGAATTTGCTTTCATTCATTTACAATGTCATATTAATACATGTTGGTGAGATAAATTGGTGAGGGTTTTTATGCACCCCTCGTTAGGTTTTATACCACTGGCCTCCAACTCGAGGTAGAAAACCTAACGTGGGACGCATAAAACCCCATGTACCCCGAGTGACCCTGCTACAAATTATATTGTCATAATGGCAGCCTGCAAATAAGAGCTTGGACCACGCCAACGGAGGTTATCAATCCATACAAGCCCCAAGGATCACTTCGATCAGATCGAAGATTTACCCCGTTTGTGTGTTCCACAATATAAACTCAAAGGCTATGGATACAGGTCTTTAAGCACAACTGGGCTACATCTGTGGACTAATCTTCCTATTCATACCAATTGTGTGGATCGATGCTCATGGTGTCAATCACTGGATTGTCTGGTCCAGACTTTATTATTTACTCGATTATTTACAGTGAGTGAGTATGGTTTTACACCACTTCAACATTTTTCCAGCAATATCAGGGTGGGGGACACTGGAAAAAGGGCTTCACACATTGTACCAATGTGGGGAATCGAACCGGGGTCTTAGGTGTGACAAGCCAATGCTTTAACCACTAGGCTACCCCACCACCCACGATTATTTACAGATCTCTCTCATATGGCGGGAATATTGCTGAGTGACGCATTCAACAACAAACAAACAACAAACATAATTCCTGAAACACTCACAAAAGTGTTTGATACGAGACGTAACTGACACAATAAGGAAATCTAACTTCAGAATACATTTTTTTAAATACTGACGGCTACTCCACTAGTTGTTCTAAATACAACAAATCAACAAACTTTCACAATTAAATGAGACTGAAATAACTTTAATAAAATAACTTGGATCTATTGGATCTATTTCCAGATCGCTTTCGCAATGAACAACTGACAATCCAGTGATTGACAATCAGATCGTTTGGACTGGGCGCCGCCATTTTGTTTGAAGCAAATACAATTGTAGTGATATGAGAGGTGGAATCTGATTGGTCAATAGGAGGGACATAACTTGTAATAGCCACCGGTGGTGCTACAATAGAGCCAAAGGTGGAAACTAGACTTTTATAGTCAGTTAACTCCCCTGCCTCAGGAAGATGGGTAACAGAAGAGATAATCCTACTTACGATCGGAGAAGTGCATTATTGACTTGACTAAACTCCAGGCACATAAATCTGCCTCCAGGCTTCAGAACCCTGTATGCCTCCGACAGAACCTGCAACACATCATGAGAACATGGACCAAGTTGTCACATACACGCCTGACTATTATTCCACAGCCAGGAATATTTTGGTGCTCCATTGCCCCTTCACCTCACAAAACATGTTTGAGGCTGGTTCGGTAAATTTTATTATTTACAAAGGCATGCTTTACAATACTGTCCTGTGTCTGCACATTGCAGGTAGCACAGCTCTAAATTGAAAGCACAGTTAGTTTATCTTTTAATTGAACACAGCCATAGTTTAGATCAAACAAGAAATATTTCATGAGTTCATGATTAAGTGAGTGAGACAGTATTTCAGTAATATCACGGCATGTCAACTTGATCTGGGACAAAAACATGAATGCTTCTTAGGGTTTTACCTTGAGTCACAAAAGTGGAGGTCAGGGGACCCCCAATAATTACTTTTAAGGTTGAGTGAGTGAGTTTGTTGGGTTTAACGCAGCTTTTAACACTATTCCAGGTATATCGCGGCGTGTCAGCTTAATGTGAAAGGAAAGCCCAAAGTGATGCAAGTCTCAGACGTTCACCACTTCGGTGAAACCCACGAGCATGGGTATGGTGCTGACAAACCTAGAAACATAATCAGGGCGAACCGGGATTCAAACCCACAATCTTAGGTTTCTGGCGTGCCCAAGGGATGCAACTCTGCACAGCGAATCACGGTGCCTTAGATGACTGGGCCCCTAATTTTAAGGGTTCTTACAGGCAACATAAGGGTCCTGTAAAGTAATGAAATGGTGTAGTGTGATGTGTTTTGATAATTACTGGAATGAATCATTGATCATAGAGACAGTGGTCATGATTGGTGGATAAGATGTTGGACACCCATAACTGCCCTTCATGTGCTGTATTTTTCTGTGTTCAATCTCAACATTTGTGAGTCATGCAATACCCTGAAAATATGCTCATAAAATCGGATTGGAACCTCTTGAGCATATTCAGATGTTACCATTAGTGACAACAAGCATGTCAAGTTTCAGCATCATTGGTCCAGTGGTTTCTGAGATGCTGCCGAGATGAAGCAGGCCATAACACAACCTCACTTGACTTGTGCAAAAACTTGTGTCATACCATAAATACCCATTGATCAGTTAACACACATAGGAGGTATTGAGTCAGTAGGCATAAAGCAGCAGGTCCAAACTCAATTTAATAATGTGACCCTATGTCCAAATAACTCCTGCTTGCTGTCATTGATTTCTTTCATTGAAATACGTCACGATGATGGTAGGGTGGTGCTTTTGGTAATAATATTTCATTCCTGGGGTGTCCATACACAGAGGGTGTTTGATGGCAAAATTGCATAATTTGAACATGACCTTGATTCCTGAGCTCACATACATCACAGACACCCTTAACACCAGAACGTGTTTTCACTCAAAAACGTATGTCTCCCCTACTTCCGTTCTTTTATGTATTAGTTCAAATTGTTACTGAAAATGTGTTTGTAAATCAGAAAAGAAAAAATAGCAAATATAGACTGGAAAGGCAATGGTCTCATGCAGATAAATATTTATTAGCTGTAGAGCTTAGATGGGAAACAAATGCTACTTGTTTGAGACACTGAGTCATTTGAGTCAAAACTGTTTTAATGGACACAATTTAAAAAAAAAAAAAATCAAAATTGAAAAATATTTAAAGGCAAAAATTGAGCATGTATAGTTTCATATCTCTCATTAGTATGAGAGATATGGCTCGAAAACAAAGCCTTGAGTTTGTTTTAGTTGAAGATGAAATTGTATCCATGGAAAAATTAAAAAAATATATTTTTGAAAATTTGTAATAAAGCAAACGGCACCAGTTGAGCTGTTGAGCAATGTATATTACAAATTTTGTTGAAAAACAGCCAATGGTGATGCCAACGCCAATGCTAAGGGGAACCCAGCCAAAAACAATACGTCTCCCTCCTATAGTTTCCAATCTTAGCCAGTGTTACCTGGTTGTTTTCAAGAAACAACTTAAAACTCAACTGTTCAAGACCTTCTTTCATCAAATGCATGATTCAGTGTTTTGTTGGCTGATGCAGACGACTAGCATCATTCGTCAGTGTGTGTTGGGCAATATAAATGATATTATTAGTAGTAGTATTAGCAGCAGCAGCATTAGCAGTAGCAGTAGCTGTAAGTAGTACATACCTTGTCAATGTGGGTACAGTTCCTGATGCCAAAAGCTATTGTGTAAACATCGTATGTGTTGTCTTCCAGTGGTAGACTTTCTGCATTTCCTTGTAACCAACTTATTCCTGAAAGGTAAGACAACACTGATTTTGATATTTTGGTTACAGATCTGACTATAATCAGAAAAAAATCTACATAATAGTATCATTTTACCTTTATTTTCATGCACATGCACTCTTTGATGGATAAGAAAATGAAAGGATACAACTACAGATCAGCGTACACATTAGGGCTGGGACGAGTCCAAATGTACTACCCGGGTACCCACATCCCTATTACCCGACCCTACCCGGATACCCGCTGTTGGTGTCAAGAGATAGGTACAAAATGTCCGATTGGTAATAGTTTGACAGTAGCCCTGGCAGAATGTTTTTAGATACACATATAAAACGATGTGGTCATGCATACACTGAAGTTGACTGAAGTTTTAGCTTTGTTCAAACATATTGAAGTCAGCAGGAACGTTTTCATAGTCATGAAGAAATGAGAACATTAAAGACTTAAAATTGTTGTGTAACCATGTAGTTATATACAGAAATGATTTTTTTTTATTCAGATATTTTTATTTATATTCAGTAGACATATATATAACATTGGTAATATAGAGAATTTTTGTCATGAAACAATATATCAGGTGACTAACCACAGGTCCGGGTAGTCCTGTGGGGTACCTGGGTCCTACTCAGTACCCACCCGACCCGGGTAACCAAGTTACCCGTCCCAGCCTTAGAACATAGAGAGAATTTAATTGTATCAGAAACAAAACATGATAGCAATACTAAGCACATATCCTCCTAAAATACAAATTAGTCATTACTTTATATTATTGTTAAGTAACTAAACTGATTAAACATATTTTCTCCGATGTCCAGTGATAATCGTTTCGAGACTTCCTATCTCATCAATAGATATCACAAATCAATCTATAAGTTGTGTATTAAAACAAAAAAATTGTGAAAGATCATAACACAACCAGTTGCAACAAGTCTTAAAGGGGCACTAATCTCTGGCTTCTTCTCGGCTGTCTGACACTATCAATATACTATCCTCAGTAAGGATAAGAATTTATGGATGAACAACTTCTTTATTACTGTTAATTGTAATAAAGAAGTTGTTCATCCATAAATTCTTATCCTTACCTAGTACTCCAACTTCTAAATGCCTATCAAAGAAGTTATTCTATCCTTATACTATCAATAAAAGTGACAAATGTGCTTATGAATGGCGCAGCACAGGTCGCGAAAGAGTCTCAATTTCTGCTATATCATCCGGGTACTCAAGGGGAAAAAACAATAACAAAGGCAACAACCAGTCCCGGGGAATTGCTTTAGATCAGTGCCCCTTTAAGACCTGGACTGAAACTGCTGTTTCAACTATCTCAACTTCCTCACAGCCTAACTAGATATCCTAGCAAAATGTAAATAAAAAATATTCATCCCTCACCTTTACTCACCAGCTACTTAGCAACATTACAATTCCCCAACTTACTGACATTATTCACATTTATATCACTTCCAGTAACTAGAGTCATCTCCCTTAGACTGTAAATACATGCCACTAAAAATTCACCTACAATTTAACTGGAAATATTCACATTTAAACAACTGTCTCCAAAGTGAATTTTTTAATGTTCAGATCAATCCCTGAAGTCATGGTATTTGGTGGTTTTCCATGTTTCTCTCTACAATTTCAGTGAGTGAGTGAGTATTGTTTTACGCTGCTTTTAGCTATATTACAGCTATTTCATGGCGGGGGACATGAGAAACGGGCTCCACACATTGTAGGCATGTGGGGAATTGAACCTGGGCCTTCAGCGAACACTTTAACCACAAGGCTATCCCTAAGATTCCACAATATGGTCGAAATATTGCATGTGAAATTTTAAATCTGAACTCACTGACTTACTCACTGACTCTAGAGTAGAGCGACCATCTGTTACAACTGAGGCCCATGCAGTGTGGGTGATGTAGACGTCTTTCTTTCTTGCTCTCTGTATATGTTATCAGCATGTTTCAGAGCGGACAACAAAATCAGAAAAAAACACAGCTGTTGTATCTTTGTCCTTGGGTACCATATTGTTGTCTGCATTTTAACCTAAAGATAACCAGGGTGTTGGGGTAGCCTAGTGGTTAAAGTGTTCGCTTAACATGCCAAAGACCCAGCTTCAGGTTCAGGTTTTGTGTCATTGTACCCTAATGGTGTGGAATGCTGTTCATAATATCAATCACTGGTTTGCCTGGTCCAGATTTGATTATTTACAGGCTGACATTATATAGCTGGAACATGGATCAGCGTCAAATGAAACAAACAAACAAACAAACAAACAAACAAACAAACAAACAAACCTGATGTAAATCCCAGTTTTTCAAGTTTTGTCTTCCCGACATCCAGCATTGCCTGGTTGATGTCACACACAGTTACCACTGAGCTGGGTTGAGAAGATTCTGTTTCCTCGTCTGAAGATGAACTGTCGGAGCTGTCCTCATCGGCTGGGTCCATGTATATATTAGCTTTTATTTCTCTGGGTATTTGGACTTTGAAATCTTGCCTGGCTGCATATTCCGTTGATCGTTGTGACTGGATGTAGCGTAGAAATCGCAAGGCAATGTCACCTGGGTGTAAAAATTGGGAAACATATTAATAAATGCACACGCAAAAAATATTCTTACATTATTATAGTTAGTTTCAAATGCCTGGAATTTCCAGGGAATAAGGGATCCCCAGAAACTACATGTTGGTCAATAGAAACTGATATTGGGTTAACTAGGACTGTTTTTTGGGAAAAAATTTGTATTGCAATATATTGTGATCGAGGTCTCCTTATTGCAAAACGTAAGGCAATATGAGTCAGGACAATGTATTTTATAGGTGTTTATTGAAACAATATTTATGTCAAAATGGCACATCCTTGAATTGACACTCAAGCACAAAAATTAAGTTATGCACAAATGCCAATTTTGGCCGAGTCCACTGTACTTGGATTCAGACAATGTTTAGAAGCGTCACCTTGAGTGGATCTTTGCTGTTGCTTATTCCAAGTAAATTGAAAAAATCTATTCTAATGACTCTATGCTAAATCAATGAGCCTGTTCTTTATATAAAAATAACACGACCAACCTGTTACCCTTGCCACATCAATGAGCCTGTTCCTGCAACTTATATCAGGTATCATGACCAACCCATTCCCACCTGCTACATCAATGGGTGTGTTCCTGCAACTAAATATATCAAGAAACGTGACCAACCTGTTCCCCCTGCTACATCAATGAGAGTGGTCCCTGGTGTTGGCGCCATGCATTCCATAAAGTGATCTTTCCACAGCCTGTGCACTCCAGCACTCATAGTGTCGTTCATCAGGTCATAGCGAGAGGCCACATTTTCGAACACTTCATACACTGGAACAGAACAGGCTGAAGTCACTTCACAAATCACAACATGTGTACATAATAGTCTAGTAAATGTTTTTGTTTGTTTGTTGTGTAACGCCACACTCAGCTATATTCCAGCTATATGACGGTGGTCTGTAAATAATCGAGTCTGGACCAGACAATCCAGTAATTGATATCATCAGCATCGATCAATGCACATTGATGACATGCATCAACCAAGTCAGCAAGCCTGACCACCCAATCCTGTTAGTTGCCTCTTACGCCTTTAACAGCAAGAATGGGTTGCTGAAGACCTATTCTACCTCGGATCTTCACTGGTCTCTAGTCAATGTAAGATTTGACACTTCATAACTAACACATAAAACATGTAGAAATAAAAGTATTAAAATTTAGACACAGGAAATGATTACAGGAGTCTTAAAACAATTATTGTGTGCTTCAGGATTATGGGCGATGAAATGAACAAAACAAAATTCCACAATATTCCAGCTATATGACAGCGGTCTGTAATAATATCTGTAGACAATCCTGTGATTCACATCAGGAGTATCGAGCCATGCAATTGGGATACAATGACATACATCAACCAAGTCAGCGAGCCTGACCACCCGATCATGTTAGTCGCCTCTTACGACAAGCATAGTCGGCTTTTACGGCAATCATGGGCTGCTGAAGACCTGTTCTATCCCGGATACAGTCAAAGAATATAGAACATGAACTAGGCCCTTCAGTCTTCAACTGCCGTGGGGATTTTGGTTTAAAATATGTAAGGGATGGTCAGGAGACATGGTTCACTGCATGTCATCATACCCTGAGAATGTGCATGGATCGTTGCTCACAATATCCATCGAGAGGCCACTGTCGTAGAGTTGTAATATTGCTTAGTTCCTCGTTGGACAACAATAACAATATCGAAAGGACAAAAAAATAATTTGTACAAAAGTTACCTCGCAAATTTACAGCCCCTGGTAATCTTCATTTATTCTTATCAAGTGCATGTTTCGGGGAGGGGTGGGGGTTGACGGGGGATGATATATTTGTCAATGTCATGTGTTTACCTTTGCCCTCTTTCTCTTCTTCAGGGATGTATTCAAACCCAAAATGAGTTTCCCTTTTTCCATCATCATCACCATTCTTTGTTGTTGTCAAACATCTGATAAACGCCCCTGAGAGCTTTTGGAGGCTACATCGACGCCGAAATACGTCTGCTAGGCAACGTGAAGCACGCACGGTCATGGGCGCAGCCATATTGGGAGTACTCATAAAACATTAATATGTATTTCTTTTAGACTTAGTAAACAATGATATTGTCAAAATTGATTACATCATTAATAATTAAACATGTCTTAGAAATTTAAGACAGTCATAAAATGGTGAAAAAGTAGTGTGTTTTCCAAAAAGGTATTTAAGATGGTTTTCATTCAATGAAGTATCCCTCAAGGAAACATGGCGGTTGATGGCGAATTCCTGCGAAGTGAACGAGAGACATTTCGCAATTGTTGTTTTAAACTGAGTACATTTGTGTATAAAGACGACGACAGCACTCGGACAAATTTAAATTTATTATTGGATGAGCTTACAGCTGCCGAAAACTCACAGAGGAGTGTATCAGAAGAAGTAATTCTTAAACATGTCAAACTTGGTTCTGCTACTGTCAATCTGCCTCAGTATCGGCTTAACGATATGACTGTCGTAACTCGCAGTATATTATATAGACTTACGCCAGTTGTTAGCCTTCTTAGCAAAGCTATAGAGTACAGAAATAAGTATAGTATAGAAGTATAGAAATAAGCGTTCGCGATAAAAAGCCAACCTGTCAGTCAATATCATGAATTAGCTCTAATAAGCATTCAATTCTATTTCATGTATGATATCTATGAAATGTATGAAACTGTCCCTAAACAGAGTACAACTTCTACCTTTGGCAGTGTATCTCTCAATTTTCTAGGCTTTGTTCAAACAACAGAGTATGTCTACCTATTGTTATAACGAACAGTCCAGGAAGGGGATTACAGGGGAGTAAGACAGCCAAACCTGGTTAGAAGTCACAATGATTATTTGAATGGTTATGAAATGGATGTCACTAATTGTAATAACAACTTCTTAATTGAAATATAGAAATTTTGAGGATACCTCATTGCACAGTTGACATGGTCAAGGCAGTGCTGCATTACCCATTTGGCAATCACAATGTTGAAGGCCTATAGCCAAACTTCAGTCTTCAATCATAATGGGAATTCCTCGTTAGAATAGGTCCCCAGCAACCTATCCTGGTCGTTAAATGCAACCAAATGGATCCGGTGGTCAGGCTAGGTGAATTGGGTGATGTAATATCATTGTACCTTGGTGGCGTGGATCATTGCTCACAGTATCAATTGCTGATTACCTATGCTATGCTTAACATGATGAATCCCCATGTTTAACACTACAATTAAGACAATCAGCCTTTGATTTTCATTCTTTATTTTGAAAACTTTATCGTTTCAGGATGGCAATGAGTTGCTTCTGAAACTATCATCCTTGGTTCCATTCCACCAGGAAAGACTTATTGCCAAAGTTTGCCAGACCATAACCAACTTCAAACTCAGACACCAGGTGAGCTACTGTAAATGGCAAACAATGAGAGAAGAATTATTTCAATCTATATTTACATAAGAGTAGACAATCTGCCATTGTTGATCAACTTATCATACTTTTATTACAGACCCATGAAGAGCCTGGTTAGAATTGATCTTCAGCAACCCATGCTTATCGTAAGAGGTGACTAATGGGATTAGGTGGTCAGACTCCCTGAGATGGTTGATGCATGTCATCGTATCATAAATGCGAAGATTGATGCATCATGATGTCAATCCATGGATTGCCTATAGAGAGTTAACTATTTACAGACAGCTGGCATATGGTATTAACATATAGCTGGAGTGCGGCATTAAATATCGAACAAACAAAGCTGATATTATATGTGTACTTGTAGGAGATGGGATAAGTATCAACTCACCAGTCACTTTTCATCTGACTTTCTTATGGTTTGATGCTGCTTTTAGCAATATTCCAGCAATATCACAGCAAGGTATACCCAAAATTGGATTCACACATTGTACCTATGTGGTGAATCAAATAGATCTTGGGCATGACAAGCGGATACTTTAACCACTAGGCTACCCCCACGCCTCTTACATTGTTTGGATAAATAGGTCTGCAGTATCATAAGAGATAGGTAACACTTCTTTCAAAAGTATTCGAGTTATATACAGGGTGTTAGTTTAATGGTTGAGGAAAGCCTGAAGTGATGCGAGTCTCCACTTTGGTATAACACATGAGCTCGGGTATGGTGTTGACAAACCTAGCAACATAATCAGGGCGAACTTGGATTGGAACACACAATCACAGGTTTCTGGTGTGTATAAGTGTTTACAGCACCGGTTTAGTGAGCGATGTCTGGATGTCTCAGTTAGTGAGCGATGTCTGGATGTCTCGGTTACAGAGCTCCAGATAAGCTGCGTATCTGCGTGAAATATGCATCAGAAATGCAGAAATACGCAGTAAAATATAATCCAAGCGTATCAAATACGCAACGAACATTACAGATACGCTACAAAAATAAAATTTGTGCGTATCATCAAAATATTGTGAAGCAACCCTGCGTATTCGACTAGCAAATCAGCAACTTATTTGGAAATTATAAACGGGCATTCCGTCAACCTTGCCAAACTCCACGATGACAGTTACATCATGATCATTTGCCATCACACTTTCGTGTGGAAGTATCGTGGTATTTTTGAGTCCTATAAAGATCTCTAACCCACACGACACCAGTTTGCAGGGACTAGATGAATAGTGTTTTTAAATATTTAACTTAAATACCCACATGTGTAAAAACTAGTGGGTAACAGAAATTTGAATACGCAGATAGAATTACTGATACCCAATGATTTTAAAATGCATGGGTAAAATACCCACAACACCAAAAGCTTATCTGGAGCTCTGGGTTAGGGAGCGATGTCTGGATGTCTCAGTTAGTGAGCGATGTCTGGATGTCTCGGTTAGTGAGCGATGTCTGGATGTCTCAGTTAGTGAGTGATGTGTGGATGTTGTATCTGTGTTGACAGCACTCGGTTAGTGAGCGATGTCTGGATGCCCTGCTCGACTTCTGTATCAAGGCCCTGAAGTGCTGCCAGCCTTGGTCTCACCCCGACATCCTCCAGGCACTCAGCGCCTCCCTCCATGACAACTGTAACAGGGTCGGAAAGGTTAGCTGTTACATGTAGCAGGGAAGCCGTAGTCAGGTCCACGATGGCCTGCGTGGGCCGACAGCCTTCCCATTCACACTTGGTCAGATCAGTTATTTTTTACTCAGGCCTGAATATAGCAGCCCAAGTTCAAATCCCTGGAATCTGAAACCTGTTATAGAAGTCCATTACAACTTTTAGATTGAAGAAAATCAATCATTGACACCCTGTTCTAGATAAACATCTCGACTCTCACATGAACATATTTCAAAAGTTGTTAAATCATTGTGATAAAATATAATAAACAGGAGCCCAGAGACTCTCTTCCTTTTCACTGCAGTAATCTACACTTGCCAAATATTATAGACTTGCATGGGCTGTATTTGATATATTTGTTTCAGGGTCTGTCTGACAGACTAACTCTGATCATTTTGCTTATTTCTTGCCTGAATAGAAAAGTTGTTTATCTGTAACATGCAAGCTACAATTTTGATAAATTTAATGATTCAAACAGCCATGCTTTATTGCATCAGTAAACTATTGTGTCCCTTCTCAATTTGTATGACTTTAGAACCCAATATTTTGTGTCCGGTACGTCCCACTCAGCTGCTTCTTTACCATGTTGCAGTAGCCATTGATCATGGTGGCAGGCATGTCCAAAGATTACATACTAAAATGAAACACGGCTGTTAACTATTTCCTGTTGCCATGACGATTTCAAGATTGTCTCAGGCATGAGAGTAGCAGGGCTAAATTTAGCACCAAGTGCATGTAAAAAAAAATCAAATTTGTGTATGACTAACCCTTACTGGACCACACATCGATTTTTGAACATAAACATGATAAAACCTCTGAGATTTATTTACCATACTATATCACTAATCCTTATGTTATGTATAATTTCTCATGCTTTCTTGGGCTTATTCGGCAAGGATGGAAATTGGACTTTGATAGTCAGTTAACTCCCTTGCCATGGGAAGATATAGATAACCACAAGATCAATGAATAAATAAAAAATCAAATTGAACAACGTAGGATTTAGGTTAAATCATAAAAGGGAAAACAATAGGTCCAAGTTGATCGTAGATGGCGTCCAATCACCCTCGTCTCGCGCTTATACAGGTGAAGCCAGCCTTCTAGAAACTATTGCTTCATGAAGCATCTCAATCACTCAGGTCAATCCCTCAAGTGAATCTCCTACCATAAACATCCACAACTAAGGGAGGTAACTTTAAATTGCTAGCTGTTAAGGTCACAACCCAAACTTGATATTTTACGAGCGCCACAATCAGTTTACTGCCTCCCCGACTCATCAGAATTAAAATTACAATGTATTAACGAGTAGCAAACCTCCTTGGCATTTACTGTGTTGAGTCATGAGTCTATTGTAATGTAATTAATAAGCATGCTGTTTCCTGTAACCAAGGTAACTTATATCAATAATTGAATATCATTTTTTACCGAACTTATTTACTTTTCATTGAGCATTCTTAGGTATATCACAAATGTTGATGTAAATTGTTTCATACCTTTCTTGATTTGTAAATGATAATCTATGTTCTATTCCCCTTGGCAACAGTACCATGAGTTGTTGCTAGGCAAGCAGGGTATCTTGGTCCAGTTGACAGATGATGGGGTTACGGACGAGGATGTCCTGACAGGGGGTGTACAGTGCCTTGAAAACCTCACTGCCAAGTAAGTTCCTTCCTGTACATCCTCACAGAAATAAGTACTGTTACTCTAATACGATACTTCTTCCTGAAGAGCTGACAACCCCTTCATTTGGTGAACCTTGAGGAAGGAACATGATGAAATATGCTGTGGTTTGTGAGCCAATCAGATGTCAGCTTTCTAACATGATTCAGCTTCATTCCTTGAGCTAATCAGATGTCAGCTTTCTAACATGATTCGACTTCATTTCTTTTCCATGCTGATTCGGAAATTTTGACCACCCACTACTTTGGGTTAGCTTAGCTGTCTTTGCGAACAAATTACTTTCCTTTCTATTCAACAGGGGAAAAAGATAATGATTTTGTTTAAAATTCGATGTTTATTTATTTTATTTCTTTTGAAACTCAGAGGTATGTTAACATGGTAAACATCAACAACATTGTATTCAATGTAATAACGTCAACTAAGCCAAAAGCCTTTACCTTTCCTGGGCCTGTTATCAGTGAAATTCAAGTCACCTCTAAAAAATCCTAAGATTAGTCAAGTATTATAAGTTGTGAAATTGTATGTTCCAATTTGGGAATGTTTGTTGCAGACTTGGGGCCAAATATCAGCCTCTCGGTAGGCCTTGATAAACCCCTCTTCAGGTGAAGTATAGGCTGGAGCGACGATGCTGATATTGTCAATGTGTCAGTCATTGTAAATTTCAAGTTTAGGTTACTGGACCTGGTTATTTCCCATTAAAGATTAGAGGGGGAGGGGCAGAGATTGGCTAAAATGAGACACGTGGACACATGAAACATGTAATGAAGTTAGTCTGGCCTACAGCATGTACAGTGTCGCTGTTGTTTGTACAGAGTGCCCGGTCAGAACGGGCTGAGTGATGCACACAGTCAGCTTATCTTCTCCATCTTCCTGCGCCTCCTCCACACTGTTCCCACGCAGAAGATCGACCTCATCGTGCAGTGCAAGGTCAGTACCTAACTTGTAGCTATGACCAGGGGGCACGGGTGGCCCAGTCGTCTAAGGCGCCGCGATTCGCTTTGCAGAGTTGCGTCCCCTGGACACGCCAGAAACCTATGATTGTGGGTTCGAATCCCGGTTCACCCCGATTGTGTTTCTAGGTTTGTCAGCACCATACACGTGCTCGTGGGTTTCACCGAAGTGGTAAACGTCTGAGACCTGCATCACTTTGGGCTTTCCTCCCACATTAAGCTGACACGCTGTGATAAAACTGGAATAATGTTAAAAGCGGTGTTAAACCTAACTCACTCACTGTAGCTATGACCACGGGCACAGAATTTGGTAGCTTGGAAGATGTTTCTTCATTTCTATTGTAATGATGCGTTATGATACATCTGTTATACTTACATATATCATAGCTTTCATGATGTTTTATGATGGTGATGATGACAATGATGTTGTTGGTGGTGATGATGATGGTCTTGGTGGTGATGATGACAATGGTGTTGATGGTGGTGATGGTGGTGATGGTGATGATGATGATGATGATGATGATGATGATGATGTTAACTGCCTTCATGCATTGATGACTGGATAACCTAAACTGTAACTCTTCAGATCCTGATTTGTGCTCTGCGTGGCATCCAGAATCTCCTCCTCACAACCAAGTTGATGCCCACCGACAATCTCGGACCACTGTTGGCCGGAATCAGGGTGAGCATACAGAATATGAGTTGCCTCATTTAAGTCAGCAACCTACTCAGAACATTGGACTCATTACCTTTGCTGACACTAAACTGTTTGCATTAATATCTCATTGAACATTCTCATGTTTACCTGTAGATTTGACAATGCTTAATAGAAAATTTGAAACCTCATAAATTAAACTAAGCACCATAAGATCTCCAGGTAATAAAGCTCTACATTGAGCACACAACATGTTTATATCCTGATCGATCATAGCTCTGAATCACTCTTTCATCCACCCACTTAACGACTGATTCACTCTCACCCACTCACTCACCCATCCACTAACCTGCCAAAACACACCCACACACTCACACGCTCACTCTCACCAACACACCCACCCACTCACTCACTCACTCACTCACTCACTCACTCACTCACTCACTCACTCACTCACTCACTCACCCACTAACTCACCCACTCACTCACGCACTAACTCACTCACTCACTCACTCACTCACTAACTCACCCACTTACTCACTCACTCACCCACTCACTCACTCACTCACTCACTCACCCACTAACTCACCCACTCACTCACGCACTCACTCACTCACTCACTCACTCACTCACTCACTCACTCACTCACTCACTCACTCACTCACTCACACTCACTCACTCACTCACTCACTCACTCACTCACTCACCCACTCACCCACCCACCTATCCATCCATCCACATAATGTACATAAATATTTGAGTTAACTGGTGAATGTTTGTATTCCCAGGCCTACATGTTCCACGGTTTGTCCAGCAATCAACTGTCCCCCATACCCCCCAGTTTGTACCCGACCCCCATGGTGCAGTACGACCTTGGATCAGCGTCGCCAAAATCCGATACAAAAGAGGAAACGAAAGACGCTCCAGCTAAATCAGCTAAGAAATCACGACGAAAGAAGGCTTCAAAGAAAGAGACTGACAAGGAGAAAGATTCTGAGGTTCCGAGCGCCAACTCTCCAGTGAAGACGGAAACAGAGACTGCAGATACTACAGCATCAGCAGCAATTTCCGCTGAGGATGCGGCCGCGACCTTTCAGACACCTTGGATGAAAGTGTTAAGTTCGGATTCTGAGTATTCTGACACAGAAGGGGGTCAAGCTTCAAGAGTGAGGTCGATGTGTACCAAAGTGAGGCAGACGGCCTTCAGCTGTTTCCATGCTTTAGCCAAGGTGAGAATGTCATTGATAATGCTGAGGCACCATTCAGGAGCATTCATTACACAGGGTTCATACAAACCTGAAAAGTGCTTCAATTTAACCCTCTAAAAGTAGGGTGCGGAGTCATCCCACACATGACATCCTTACCTCGTCAGCCTGCTCATGAGCTTAACCTCTTCGGTCATGTTGATGAGGCGTCAGATCAGAAGGTCAGAATCCCAGCACAGGACGTGAATATTTTGTGGGCACTTATATTTACTATTTCTCTATATTTTCTATATCTCAAACGATATGCTTGAAAAATGCTGAAATTGTATAAAAGTCCTTGAAAAGAGCTGAAGTTTTAGTAGGAATAAACCTGACTCTCAATTTGTCCGCTTTATTGACCTCTCTTTCACGAGATTGGGCACTGGCTGGGTTCTTTTTATCTGGCATTTATGTTATTGCACATACCATCACGAGAACTAGTTTGATGTCATAGACAGTGCTGGAGCCTTATTCTGGCCAATAAACAAAGTAGATTGTGTGGTCACCGTGACTCGTGTGCTGAACTGATAAGGAAAACTTGGAGCTCTGAAATTTATTAGATTATGTTGAAGTTGACTGTGTTTCACCTGAACTTTTTTTGGACTAACCATTTTACTGGTCTATCCTTGGATTAATAAGAAAGAAAAACATGTCAGACTCAGAGAGAGGGGTTGTAAAAGGGGGATGATATTTCTCTATGAAAATGAATATTTTTGGCTTCTTTAGCAATTTGCTGTTGCAGGAGTTAGAAAAAATTACACATTTTTGGGTATTGGTATATTAATAATCTGCTTGCATCAAGTGTGTGTGTGTGTATCTGTGTGTGTTTGTCCATGTGTGTTGTCTATGTGTGTTTGTCCGTGTGTGTGTGTCTGTTGACTGTTCCTTAGAGCACTGTTTTCATATGACAACATGATATTTACGCGAAAGGTTTATCATATTTATCATATAACCATATTGTTTTTACAGAATTTAGACAAGAAAATAATTTTTGGTTACTGGTCGTCCTTCATCCCTGACACAGCAGGGGCAGGTAACTCCCCCCAGAACCAGACTCTCTTCACTTCCATCCTCAAAGACCCATCACCCATGGTAAGAACTGGGACAAATCTGAGATATTGATCCGATCAGTGTGGACCCTCCCTTTTGTCTTGTACTGTATACAATGTCTTTAATAGGATAAAAGGTTAAAGCTTGTGGATGTTGTATTGAAAGCTTGCCAGAGATCTTGATTTTGTACTGTTTTCATATTTTGGCAGAAATATGTCGTGGTGATAGCAAAAGGAAAGTGCCAGGTGTTCTGTAACTTTTTTTGAGTAGTAGATTAATTGATGGTGTATATAAGGGAGGTCACAAGCGACTTTTCCTGGTTGATACATATTGCGATATTTGTTAAAGATAAGATGTATCACGATACCAAATTCATCGCAATTTGGCATGTACTTTTATATTCGATCAGTTGCGTTTGATTGCCTGGCTTGGACCTTCTGAAAAGTCTTCGATTATTTCAAGTAGTTGGAACATCACCTGTAATGCGATAATGGGGCGGTCGGGTAGCCTAGTGGTTAAAGCATTCGCTCGTCACGCCGAAGACCCGGGTTCAATTCCCGACATTGGTACAATGTGTGAAGCCCATTTCTGGTGTCCCCCCACCGTGATATTGCTGGAATATTGCTAACAGGGGCGTAAAACCAAAGTCACTCACTCACTCACTGTAATAGGATAAGGGTACATGGTGTATTTATCAACTCACTCTTTGATTGTTTCAGTGCCGGATGGGGGCGCTGTCGGCTCTGACTGCCCTGGTAGACAGAACAAGAGCCTTCCTGGCCCAGGCTGAGGAGAAGTAAGACTTCACTGTTATACATACTGATGTGACTCCTGGGGATTTCTAACCGCCTCTGTAGTCTATAGGATACAGGTCTCACTGGGGAGCAGTTCATTTATGACCGTTGTGTTATGTATTCATGAGCCACTGTGGTCATGAGAACATGCAAAATGTGCATCGATTGGATGTTGAATGTGTGCAGTTTAAGGGTGTGTAAGATATGTTTTGAAACAGGTTGTAAGGTAGGTTGTATCTGACAGTAGTAACATATCTTGTAGTAATCTCTATGGAATATTGCTGTCTGTAGTGTTAAGAACTTCCATGCACACACTTATGCTGACAAATTCTTAGGGATTGGTTTATGTATCCTTTTTGGGGGGTGAGGGGTGTTCATGAAAAAATGACAGTGAAAGAGGTGGGGTCGCCAACAATATTTGGGGGGCAGGGGGAGCACATGAAAAAATTACACATTTCTATTTTTTCAAATAAATATTGAGTAAATTTGAAATTTTTTAAGGACTGGTCATTTATTATAAGGAGGGGGGGCCTTGACAATGTTTTTTATGTATTTGGGTGTGAAAAAGTGTTACATGAAATGGGGGAGGGGTGGGCAGCAAAATATGATACGGTCATGAGACCAATCTTACCCACCACTCTGTAATAAATGACCAGCCCCTTAGCATAAATCATAGTCAGTAGGTTGGCTCTTGTGTGGAGTGACTGATATGTGAGATTTGATTGTTAATAACTGCACCACCTCCGTGGTCTAGTGGTAGAGCGTCCGCCCGGAGAGCGGAAGGTCCAGGCTCTGATCCCCAGCTGCATCATACCAAAAGACGTAAAAAGATGGTTCCTGTTGTTACCCTGTCTGGCGCTCGGCATAAGGGGGCGAAACAAGGACTGGTCGCTTCGGAGTCAGTATACTGTGTCTGAGTGGGGTATTCATGTTTAACTGCGGCATGGTATCTCAGTGTGCTAGCACTATAAATCGGCATCGGTCCGAACTAGTACAAGCAGCCACACAAACACACACATGTACATGCACGTCGCTATATAAGTGCAATAATCTTGGACGTGACGTTAAACCCCATTTCACCTCACCCTGTTAATAACTAGTTTGCCTTGTTCGAAATAGACTAGGCCTGCTTCTGCTTGGGTATTGGGTATTACTTTTAAACCACAATTATTTGAATAATTCACCTGTGACAAGACGACTGCTACCATTTACAGTTACCAAGTGAGAACAGCGTTTGTGCCATTCTCTGCTGTCCTCGGCTCCATGATTAAGGAACTGCACAGATGTCTCCTGCTGGCCTTGGTTGCCGAGAACTTCCCCCTGGCTCTCACTCAACTCATCAAGGTTCGCATTCAACGCTTTCTAAACTGCCATCATGTCTAATCCCCTTGGAGATTCCGGGTTAGAATAACGTCGCTATATAAGTGCAATAATCTTGGACGCGACATTAAACCCCATTTCACCTCACCTCACCACCGGGTGAGAATGCTAACCGACCTGTGTCTGTCTTGAGGTGACATACCAGATCCGGTGGTCAGACTCCGTGACTTGTTGAATGTGTGTCATTGTACCCTGATTGTGTGTCTTGAGGTGACATACCAGATCCGGTGGTCAGACTCCGTGACTTGTTGAATGTGTGTCATTGTACCCTGATTGTGTGTCTTGAGGTGACATACCAGATCCGGTGGTCAGACTCCGTGACTTGTTGAATGTGTGTCATTGTACCCTGATTGTGTGTCTTGAGGTGACATACCAGATCCGGTGGTCAGACTCTGTGACTTGTTGAATGTGTGTCATTGTACCCTGATTGTGTGTCTTGAGGTGACATACCAGATCCGGTGGTCAGACTCCGTGACTTGTTGAATGTGTGTCATTGTACCCTGATTGTGTGTCTTGAGGTGACATACCAGATCAGGTGGTCAGACTCCGTGACTTGTTGAATGTGTGTCATTGTACCCTGATTGTGTGTCTTGAGGTGACATACCAGATCCGGTGGTCAGACTCCGTGACTTGTTGAATGTGTGTCATTGTACCCTGATTGTGTGTCTTGAGGTGACATACCAGATCCGGTGGTCAGACTCCGTGACTTGTTGAATGTGTGTCATTGTACCCTGATTGTGTGTCTTGAGGTGACATACCAGATCCGGTGGTCAGACTCCGTGACTTGGTTGAATGTGTGTCATTGTACCCTGATTGTGTGTCTTGAGGTGACATACCAGATCCGGTGGTCAGACTCTGTGACTTGTTGAATGTGTGTCATTGTACCCTGATTGTGTGTCTTGAGGTGACATACCAGATCGGGTGGTCAGACTCCGTGACTTGTTGAATGTGTGTCATTGTACCCTGATTGTGTGTCTTGAGGTGACATACCAGATCGGGTGGTCAGACCCCATGACTTGTTGAATGTGTGTCATTGTACCCTGATTGTGTGTCTTGAGGTGACATACCAGATCGGGTGGTCAGACTCTGTGACTTGTTGAATGTGTGTCATTGTACCCTGATTGTGTGTCTTGAGGTGACATACCAGATCGGGTGGTCAGACTCTGTGACTTGTTGAATGTGTGTCATTGTACCCTGATTGTGTGTCTTGAGGTGACATACCAGATCGGGTGGTCAGACTCCGTGACTTGTTGAATGTGTGTCATTGTACCCTGATTGTGTGTCTTGAGGTGACATACCAGATCCGGTGGTCAGACTCCGTGACTTGTTGAATGTGTGTCATTGTACCCTGATTGTGTGTCTTGAGGTGACATACCAGATCGGGTGGTCAGACTCCGTGACTTGTTGAATGTGTGTCATTGTACCCTGATTGTGTGTCTTGAGGTGACATACCAGATCCGGTGGTCAGACTCTGTGACTTGTTGAATGTGTGTCATTGTACCCTGATTGTGTGTCTTGAGGTGACATACCAGATCGGGTGGTCAGACTCCGTGACTTGTTGAATGTGTGTCATTGTACCCTGATTGTGTGTCTTGAGGTGACATACCAGATCGGGTGGTCAGACCCCATGACTTGTTGAATGTGTGTCATTGTACCCTGATTGTGTGTCTTGAGGTGACATACCAGATCGGGTGGTCAGACTCTGTGACTTGTTGAATGTGTGTCATTGTACCCTGATTGTGTGTCTTGAGGTGACATACCAGATCGGGTGGTCAGACTCCGTGACTTGTTGAATGTGTGTCATTGTACCCTGATTGTGTGTCTTGAGGTGACATACCAGATCAGGTGGTCAGACTCCGTGACTTGTTGAATGTGTGTCATTGTACCCTGATTGTGTGTCTTGAGGTGACATACCAGATCGGGTGGTCAGACTCCGTGACTTGTTGAATGTGTGTCATTGTACCCTGATTGTGTGTCTTGAGGTGACATACCAGATCGGGTGGTCAGACTCCGTGACTTGTTGAATGTGTGTCATTGTACCCTGATTGTGTGTCTTGAGGTGACATACCAGATCCGGTGGTCAGACTCCGTGACTTGTTGAATGTGTGTCATTGTACCCTGATTGTGTGTCTTGAGGTGACATACCAGATCGGGTGGTCAGACTCTGTGACTTGTTGAATGTGTGTCATTGTACCCTGATTGTGTGTCTTGAGGTGACATACCAGATCGGGTGGTCAGACTCCATGACTTGGTTGAATGTGTGTCATTGTACCCTGATTGTGTGTCTTGAGGTGACATACCAGATCCGGTGGTCAGACTCCATGACTTGGTTGAATGTGTGTCATTGTACCCTGATTGTGTGTCTTGAGGTGACATACCAGATCCGGTGGTCAGACTCCGTGACTTGTTGAATGTGTGTCATTGTACCCTGATTGTGTGTCTTGAGGTGACATACCAGATCGGGTGGTCAGACTCCGTGACTTGTTGAATGTGTGTCATTGTACCCTGATTGTGTGGATCGTTCTTTGATTGTCTGGTCCAGGCTGGATTATTTGCAGGCCACATAATCTGTCAAGGTTCCTAGAAACCTTTGCTGGTCGTAAGAGGCGACTTAATGAATCGAATGATCATGTTTGATACATTGTTACTGGCGTGTCAACGTATGCCGATGGTGTGGATCTTTTCTCATAATATCAATCACTGGATTGTCTAGCCCTTGCTGAGTGCAGCGTTAACTATTGTGAACCACACACTTTGCACAGACACTCACACAGACATACAGACACACACACTTTACACTGACAGATGCACAGACACTCACACACACAGACAGACACACACACTTAACATAGACTTACACACAAACACTCAGACAGACACACACACTCACACACAGACAGACACATACAGACACACACAGAGAGATATACACACTCACACACAGACAGGCACATACAGACACACACAGAGATATACACACTCACACACAGACAGGCACATACAGACACACACAGAGATATACACACTCACACACAGACAGGCAACAGACACACACACAGAAACACACTCACACAGACAGACACACACTTTCTTTGCATCACTGCAAATTCTTTTAGCATGTTTTGCACCCCATTTTTTGCATCAATTTGTCAAAATACAAGCAAGGTGTTGAATGGTCTGTTATGCCTGATAATCGGTACTATAAGTAAATCATATATAAACAGAATAGGTTAATTAAACGGCAACATAAGTCAGTAAGAACTTGGTCCAAATGTTGTTGTCACTGAAAAGTCACATGACATTGGGTGTTTCTCGTGTGACATCTATATTTTCTCCTTCTAGTGTCTGGGCACACTGGTGATGAATGTTCCCTACCACCGTCTTCATCCCGGCCTGTTGACGAGAGTCATCAAACAGATACGTCATTTCCTCAACCATAGAGGTAGGTACTAGCCACTTCCTCCACCATGGAGGTACTAATGGGATCGGGTGGTAAGAATCGCTGACTTGGTTGATGCATATCATCATATCCCAATTATGTGGATTGATGCTCATGATGTCAATCACTGGATTGTCTGGTCCAGACTCGATTATTTACAGACCGCCGTCATATAGCTGGAATATTGCTGAGTGCGGGGTTAAACGACAAACAAACTAACAAAAACCAAAAGGTAGGTACTAGCCACTTCCTCATCCTCAGTGGTAGGTACTAGCCACTTCCTCTGAGAAGTAAGAGTGGGAGAGTCATATCTAATCACAGTAATCCTATATTACTGATACTTTTCACTTCAGACCCGAATGTACGAGTGGCCTGCCTGACCTGCCTGGGCTCTGTGGTCAGTATCCAGCCCCCCCTGATGGAGGTGTGTCACATCGTCCAGCCATCCACCCCACCGGTCAGCACCAGGATATACCCCACAGACTCTGCCCAGTCCCAGAAACCAGACGACAAAGCAGCCAGTTCCGATTCCGGTTTCAGTAGTTTCTCCGCAACCGATGCAGCCAATCCCATCGTGGGTCAGAGTTCAGGTCAAAGTTCAGGTCTGAACACCCCGGCCTTAGCTGCGACACCTGGTATCCAGACACCAGTATTTTCAGATCAGACGCTGCAGGCCTTTGCGAATGACACGTCATGGATCATCAAGCTGTGCATCCGCAACGTGATGCCGCAGCCCCAGGGAGAAAGCTCCAGCAACTGGAGGGAGACCAGCATGTTCTTTGAGCCACTGCCTGTTCGACTGGAGTCTCTACAGGTCCTGGCCAACCTCACCAATGGATACTTTCCTATAATCAGGTAATTAGGGTAGTGGTGAGTGAGTATGGTTTTACGCCATTTTCAGCAATATTCCGGCAATATCATGGCTTCCCCACCTCCCAATAAGGGTGGTAGATGTGACAGGTAGAACAAGATTGACTCAAGCACCCATGTCTGTCCTGACCCTGGCTCTTGTACTTTTCATATGCTGCTCAATTGAAAGATTGTCCCTTTTCCTTAGCATCATCTATGACCGCCTATGTGGTCTTGTGGCAGAGCGTCCGCCCGTCTGCAACATGCTTTACAGATATCAGGGCTGGTGGGGTAGCCTCGTGGTTAAAGCGTTCGCTCGTCACGCCGAAAACCCGGTTTCGATTCCCCACATGGGTACAATGTGTGAAGCCCATTTCTGGTGTCCCCCGCCGTGATATTGCTGGAATATTGCTAAAAGCGGCGTCAAACCATACTCATCCCCTCACTCACTTTGGAGATATAAAAATGTGAGTTATCTCCCCTGTTAAGGTACACAAGTCCTTGACCTAGGACTTGAGTCCGTCTTTTCCTGGGTTAAAACAAGGACTGGTCAGCTTGTAGTCGGTATACTGTGTCTGTCTGTATCCATGTTAAACTGCGTCTTGGTATCTCAGTGGCCTAGCACTATAAAATGGGCATTAGTCTGGACTAGTACAAGCAGCCCCACACATGCACACATGCACCTATGCACTTATGCACTTATGCACTTTGCTATATAAATGCAATAATCTTGAACGTGATCATTTCACCTGATCTCGTTTATCGTGGCGATCTAAACATTACATGAATTGTTGCTGACTTAGATAAGACTATCACTTCATCATCAATAAACAAATGACAAAGAAAAGTACCCAACAACTACCCAACTTCTCCATACTGATTCCTAGATGATTCAAAGCAAGTGTGGATAATATCTATTGAACACCACGTGTGTTACAGGAAGAGTGTGGCTCTCCTTCAAGACCTCATCCAGGCCTGCTTCGAGGACAAAGACCCCATAGTTAAACTCCACGGAACAAAGGTAGACTGGTCAATTCCTTCATATGAACTGCCTCGTGCAGACCCTCATGCAGAAATAAATACGTCTCAACTCCTAGTCTAAAACACTTTTTCGCATCTAGATTTCATCAGTGAAAATGAAGATATTCTTTGAACTCTTTTCTATTGTGTTAATCAATAATTTACTCGAAGAAATCTCAAAATATTTTGTGTTAGTTCAAAGAACTGTCTTCAAGAGAATTACTAACTTTGGATGATAATTTGTCTTTCATATATTTACACAACCCATGCTTGCCATAAGAGGCGACTATGCTTGTCGTAAATGGCGACTAATGGGATCGGGTGGTCAGCCTCGCTGACTTGGTTGATGCATGTCATCATATCTCAAATGTGTAGATTGATGCTCTTGATATCAATCACTGGATTGTCTGGTCCAGAGTCTATTATTAACAGACCACCGTCATATAGCTGGAATATTGCTGAGTGCGGCATTAACAAACAAACAAAAGTTGACCAGTTGAGCCATGGTGGCATGTTATCTAGAGCATCACTACATGCAGTGCACAATGGTGTTTGTACGAAGATCTGCTGATAGTGTGTTTGAATCCCTGACATTCACTCAGATAGGATCCTTGGTTTGTCTGCACCATGTTTATGGGTTCTACGGGGGCACGGGTGGCCCAGTCATCTGAGGCGCCGCAATTCACTGTGCAGAGTTGCGTCCCTTGGGCACGCCAGAAACCTATGATTGTGGGTTCAAATCCCGGTTCGCCCCGATTATGTTTCTAGGTTTGTCAGCACCATACCCGTGCTCGTGGGTCTAAGACCTGCATCACTTCGGGCTTTCCTCCCACATTAAGCTGACACGCCGTGATATAACTGGAATACTGTTAAAAGCGGCGTTAAACCAAACTCACTCACTCACTCACTCACTCACTCACTCACTCACACACTCACTCATGGGTTCTACAATCATCACTTTGGGCTTCCCTTCCACATCACTCTAGTCATAGTGATGTAATTTATAACTCAAGAAATGTCTAGAGAAAATGGCTTCAAGATATTTAGTCTTGTTTTAAGTAAGGAAATATCATTGTATGTCATGCATCTGTGCATCAGTTGCTGGACGAGCTGACCCAGGCCATGCTACAGGACATCCAGAAGCAGGCTCAGGACTCCACAGCAGCGTCCACCATCACCCTGCAGCAGGTATACGTCCTTCTTAACATGGGCCCACTTGCACGAAACAATCTTAGAGCTAAGATGATCGTAACTCCCATACTTTAACATAGGCTTACAATAGTCGTAGCTCTAAGATTGTGCAAGTGGGCCCCGGTCTTCAGCGACCCATGGTCTCAAGCAACCTGTGCTTGTCATAAGCACCTCTTGCTTGTCTTCAGCAACCCTTGCTTGTCATAAGCACCTCTTGCTTGTCATAAGCACCTCTTGCTTGTCTTCAGCAACCCGTGCTTGTCATAAGCATCTCTTGCTTGTCTTCAGCAACCCGTGCTTGTCATAAGCACCTCTTGCTTGTCGTAAGCACCTCTTGCTTGTCATAAGCATCTCTTGCTTGTCTTCAGCAACCCGTGCTTGTCATAAGCATCTCTTGCTTGTCTTCAGCAACCCTTGCTTGTCATAAGCACCTCTTGCTTGTCATAAGCACCTCTTGCTTGTCATAAGCATCTCTTGCTTGTCTTCAGCAACCCGTGCTTGTCATAAGCATCTCTTGCTTGTCTTCAGCAACCCGTGCTTGTCATAAGCACCTCTTGCTTGTCATAAGCACCTCTTGCTTGTCATAAGCATCTCTTGCTTGTCTTCAGCAACCCGTGCTTGTCATAAGCATCTCTTGCTTGTCATAAGCACCTCTTGCTTGTCATAAGCAACCCTTGCTTGTCATAAGCATCTCTTGCTTGTCTTCAGCAACCCTTGCTTGTCATAAGCACCTCTTGCTTGTCTTCAGCAACCCATGCTTGCCGTAAAAGGTGTCTATGCTTGTCGTAACAGGCGACTAACAGGATCGGGTGGCCAGGCTCGCTGACTTGGTTGATGCATCTCATCGTATCCCAAATGTGTAAATCGATGCTCATGATGTCAATCAATGGATTGTCTGGTCCAGACTTAATTATTTACAGTTTGTCGTCATGTAGCTGGAATATTGCTGAGTGCAGGGTAAAACAACAAACAAACGAACAAGCATAGCATGCACAATGACTTCCATGGATCTCTACCACACTGGCAGTCTAGGCCATCCCATACTAGTTGTAAGTGTTGACTGAAATAATTTTGTCTCTTTGTTTCTCTGGTTTTCCCAGTCAGGACACAAGGATTCGCTGGCATTATAGGATATTTACAAAAAAATGAAATTAAATATATCTTGTAATACCTCTTTGGTTGGCATTTTGAACAAGCTTTCATTTGATATCCAGCAAGGGTGTTAGAATCTGCTAGAGATCACGCTTCCTGAGCCTTGATCTCCAGTCTTAAGTATCACTATCCATCACCAGGGACACTTAAAGATGCAAGATTTAAGAATCCTCAAAATCAATAAATACCAACCAAGGACGTGGTTATTACCAGCAGTTGCCCATGGACATATTACATGGCATTATTTTCTGTGGCAGGTCCAGGAGTTCTGGGAGTGCCTGCTGAGCGGCCCGCTGCCGACGATGCTGCAGCTGGAGAGGAACAACCAGGTCCGCGCCAACGCCTGTGACTGCATCTCCAACATCGGACCGGAGGTCCTCTCCCACCTGCCGGTCAGTGCCCAGCAGTCGTGGACTTCTTCAAAGTTCATGCACTTAATTACTCAATTCCATAATTATATAATAAAAAACAAATCGTTTAAATGTATTTAAATTTGTGTGATCTTTTCATTTTTTGTAGATTAGAAAATAGAATGATACAACTACAAAAATTGGTTTCAGGTGGACCGCCGTGTACTGTGTATAACTCTTATCCTCGGGTTAACTTGTGAAGAAGACAAACTGGTCAAGTCAGCCGCTGTCAGGGCTCTCGGAGTCTATGTGCTCTTTCCCTGTCTGAGGGAGGTGAGTTACCAGAGTTTAAGGTCATGTTAAAAATTATTAGACTTATATATCGATGTGCATGCATGCGTGTTCCTGTATGTTTGCTTGCTTGTGTGTGTGTGATTGCTTGTACTAGTCCGGACACACACACGCACACATGCACACAATAAATAAATGAATGAAAGGTCGGTCAGTTGATTATTGCACTTATATAGCAACGCGCATGCACTTTTGTGTATGTGTGTGTCTGCTTGTACTAGTCCAGACTAATACTGATTTTATAGTGTGCTAGCCCACTGAGATAACCTGCTGCAGTTTAACAGTACCACCTCAGACACAGTATACTAACTCTGAGCCGACCAGTCCTTGTTTTGGCCCCTTAATGCTTAGCTGACATTTATACAGTTATCCGTGTGAATGAGACTGATTGTGTGTCATATTCCAGCAGTGTTAGCGTTCCTCTGATTTTCTTATCCATGGTACTGTTAATTATAGATCATCAATGAACTTAAAGGAACATTCACATGCTCTTCAGGGGCTCTTCTGGATGCTTTGTGTTCATGTTATAAGTAACGGGTAGATTTAACAACAAATTTGTATGTAGCCAGTGGGGCTTGCTCCTTTTAAAAGTTACTGGCCTTTCTCCAAACATGGTGGAGGCCACAAAGTGGCCGAACATGAGGTCACATAGCCACGTAGCAGGGCTCCTCACCAATTTTTTCCTGCGCTCTGAGATTAAACCTTGGCTTCCAATCAAAAAATAAAATATTAAGCATACACGAGGAAGGGGTGAAAATTTGACAAGGCAGATGGGCCATCTACTTTACTTCTCAGCAAGCCCTTTGTAATTTTAACTGGCCACAAGCCAACGGGCCAGCAGTTAAATCAACCCCTGTGGTAAGGAAAGGGGCATTTTATTCCACTGAGTCGGCTTCAAACAAAAGTAATTCTCTGGGCACATTCAGTATGGCAGCTATGTAGTATATTTATCAATGTGGGATCAACCTGCCATTGATTGTCTCCCCTCCAATAGGATGTGTCCTTCATTGCCGATGCTGCGAATGCCATCCTGACAGCTATGGAGGACTGGAGTGTCAACGTCCGGATGAAGGCTGCCTGGTCCATGGCCAACATGTGTGATGCCCTCGCTCTCAACAGGTCAGACCAGACTCCACTGGCAAATATCTGTTAGTTTACCTTGTCCCTATCCTTCTAGGATAAGTATTAACGATATTATACCTTGTCCCTAACCTTCTAGGATAAGTATTAACGATATTATACCTTGTCCCTAACCTTCTAGGATAAGTATTAATGATATCTTACCTTGTCCTTATCCTTCTAGGATAAGTATTAATGATATCTTACCTTGTCCCTAACCTTCTAGGATAAGTATTAATGATATTTCACCTTGTCCTTATCCTTCTAGGATAAGTATTAACGATATTATACCTTGTCCCTATCCTTCTAGGATAAGTATTAATGATATTTCACCTTGTCCTTATCCTTCTAGGATATATATTAATGATATTTTACCTTAATCTTATTCTTCTTGGATAAGTATTAATGATATTTTTACCTTATCCTTCTAGGATAAGTATTGATGATATTTTACCTTGTCCTTATCCTTCTAGGATAAGTATTAATGATATCTTACCTTGTCCCTATCCTTCTAGGATAAGTATTAATGATATCTTACCTTGTCCTAATCCTTCTAGGATAAGTATTAATGATAGCTTACCTTGTCCTTATCCTTCTAGGATAAGTATTAATGATATCTTACCTTGTCCTTATCCTTCGAGGATAACTATTAATGATATCTTACCTTGTCCTTATCCTTCTAGGATAAGTATTAATGATATTTCACCTTGTCCTTATCCTTCTAGGATAAGTATTAATGATATCTTACCTTGTCCTTATCCTTCTAGGATAAGTATTAATGATATCTTACCTTGTCCTTATCCTTCTAGGATAAGTATAAATGATATCTTACCTTGTCCTTATCCTTCGAGGATAAGTATTAATGATATTTTACCTTGTCCTTATCCTTCTAGGATAAGTATTAATGATATTTCACCTTGTCCTTATCCTTCTAGGATAAGTATTAATGATATCTTACCTTGTCCTTATCCTTCTAGGATAAGTATTAATGATATCTTACCTTGTCCTTATCCTTCGAGGATAAGTATTAATGATATCTTACCTTGTCCTTATCTTTCTAGGATAAGTATTAATGATATCTTACCTTGTCCTTATCCTTCGAGGATAAGTATTAATGATATCTTACCTTGTCCTTATCCTTCTAGGATAAGTATTAATGATATTTCACCTTGTCCTTATCCTTCTAGGATAAGTATTAATGATATCTTACCTTGTCCTTATCCTTCTAGGATAAGTATTAATGATATTTCACCTTGTCCTTATCCTTCTAGGATATATATTAATGATATTTTACCTTAATCTTATTCTTCTTGGATAAGTATTAATGATATTTTTACCTTATCCTTCTAGGATAAGTATTGATGATATTTTACCTTGTCCTTATCCTTCTAGGATAAGTATTAATGATATCTTACCTTGTCCCTATCCTTCTAGGATAAGTATTAATGATATCTTACCTTGTCCTTATCCTTCTAGGATAAGTATTAATGATATCTTACCTTGTCCTTATCCTTCTAGGATAAGTATTAATGATATCTTACCTTGTCCTTATCCTTCTAGGATAAGTATTAATGATATCTTACCTTGTCCTTATCATTCTAGGATAACTATTAATGATATTTCACCTTGTCCTTATCCTTCTAGGATAAGTATTAATGATATCTTACCTTGTCCTTATCCTTCTAGGATAAGTATTAATGATATCTTACCTTGTCCTTATCCTTCTAGGATAAGTATTAATGATATCTTACCTTGTCCTTATCCTTCTAGGATAAGTATTAATGATATCTTACCTTGTCCTTATCCTTCTAGGATAAGTATTAATGATATTTCACCTTGTCCTTATCCTTCTAGGATAAGTATTAATGATATTTTACCTTATTTTGACTCTAATAGCATATCTCATTTCCGAAAGGTAGTGAAAACTTCTTGAACTGAAATGGTTCATATTTCTACAAGGTCGCAGTAACCTAAACTATCACCCATGAAGATTCCGGGGTAGAATAAGTCTTCAGCAACCCATGCTTGTCGTAAGAGGCGACTAACGGGATCAGGTGGTCAGGCTCGCTGACTTGGTTGATGCATGTCATCGTATCTCAAATGTGTAGATTGATGCTCTTGATGGCACTCACTGGATTGTCTGGTCCAGACTTGATTATTATGTCTCCCCCAGAATGGAGGGAGACATATTGTTTTTGGCACGGTTCCCGTCGGCGTCGGCGTTCCCACCGTTTCCGGACCATAACTCAGAAACCGTTTAATATTTTTTCGCGAAACTTTGTATACACATTAATGCCTTTTGCTATTTAGAGATTTTTGACATTTTTATTTTTTCTCGTTTCCATGGAGATAACTTGAACATAGACTCTGAATGGGGGTAAGCTTGGTTTCCGGACCATAACTCAGAAACCGTTTAATATTTTTTCGCGAATTTTTGTATACACATTAACCCAGGACTGAAGTGGTGCCTTTTGCTATTTAGAGATTTTTGACATTTTTATTTTTTCTCATTTCCATGGAGATAAGTTGAACATAGGCTCTGAATGGGGGTAAGCTTTGTTTCCTGACCATAACTCAGAAACCGTTTAATATTTTTTCGCGAAACTTTGTATACACATTAACCCAGCACTGAAGTGGTACCTTTTGCTATTTAGAGATTTTTGACATTTTTTTTTTTTTCTCGTTTCCATGGAGATAAGTTGAACATAGGCTCTGAATGGGAGTAAGCTTTGTTTCCAGGCAATAACTCAGAAACCGTTTAATATTTCAACATTGACCTCAATACAAACAAAGCGCAACCTCTTCTGCAAGAACCCTTCACGCAGCTGATTGAAGTGTCCACTACCAGGAAAGAAACTGTTATTGACCATATTTATGTCAAGGATCTTTCACATCAGAGAGCTGGTGTGGTGCCTTGCTATTACAGTTTCCATGACATCACATATGTCATTGTGTAGAAGACCTGCAGAGTCAGATACACGGGCAATTACATCACAGAGACTTTCCTTTGTGCCATATAACATTGCTACATCATTTCTGATATGTTGAGGGGCGGTCGGGTAGCCTTGTGGTTAAAGCGTTCGCTCGTCACGCCGAAGACCCGGGTTCGATTCCCGACATGGGTACAATGTGTGAAGCCCATTTCTGGTGTCCCCCGCCGTGATATTGCTGGAATATTGCTAAAAGCGGCGTAAAACCATACTCACTCACTCACTCTGATATGTTGGGGATATTAATATATTTGTGTCCAAACTCTATCAGTACTTTAAGTGGATTTTCTACAAATACTTCAGTAACAAGAAAACTGTGCTACTTAGATGACTACACTGTCAGGTGGGTAAATGATTGAGGGATTAGTGGTGTTGATTAGACGTTCTAGAGTTCTATTTTTGTCTCTGTTATTTAGTAATGGAGGGTGGGAATGAAGAGATGGGGTTAAACGTGAAGTAAACGAATGAATGGGGGTTAGGGGAGTGGGGGGAGACATATGTTTTTACGAGTAAAAACACTTTCTAGTTTACAGACTGCCATCATATAGCTGGAATATTGCTGAGTGCGGCGTAAAACAACAAACCAACTAAACTATCACTAGGAAGACCCAGGTTTTGTTCCTCCTCTGTGTACAATGTATGAAGCCTTATTGTGTTTCCATCCTCGTGTGAAGGTGATATTGCTCACTCACAAACCTGCACTGATTCTGTTTTCACACAGGGAAAGTGGTGACCTGGAGTTTGTAGATGAGTTCTCCGACATGCTGCTGCTCAAGCTCCTCACAGTGGCGACCAAGTCATCTCAGGACACCGACAAAGTCAAGTCAAACGCTGTCCGTGCAGTCGGCAACCTGCTGCGATATCTCACAGAGAGAAGTCTAGGTAATACTGTAGTAAACTTTCGATGTCAGCTTGTAAGAAAATGGGCAGAGTTGTGTCCCTTGGTTCCAAATCCCCAGCTTCCTCCTGATGCATGATTTGTTACAAGATTCCCTGCCTTGCAGATGACACCTCCATAAAACAATTAAACAGTGAGCCTCTCCAACCTACAGTCATGTTATACTCTGAACAACACCCTGTTCAATATAAGCCAGTGTGCTTTTGATATTGATCCTTGAAGTTTGGATCTTGGATATGGCCGCAGATTGATATCCTGAGATTTGTATGTGAGAAATTCAAGGTTTAGGCAACTTGTCTTTCCTTTGAGTGGTTTGTACAGCAATGTGATCAAACATGCATGTTTATTTATTTTATCATCGAGAGGTATTTACAACTTTGACAAAGTGTGATAGGATCATATGATAAGTTGCATTATTGATACAGCTGTGATAAAGAATTGATCATCCATATTATCTTCTGTTAAATTAAGGAAGAGAATTGATGGAAGGTCTTTATCATGAGGAACACAACGTTTCGGAGTATATGTTTACTCCTTCATCAGGTGAAGGGGGCACGGGTGGCCCAGTCGTCTAAGGCGCTGTGATTTGCTGTGCAGAGTTGCGTCCCTTGGGCACGCCAGAAACCTATGATTGTGGGTTCAAATCCCGGTTCAACCCAATTATGTTTCTAGGTTTGTCAGCACCATACCCGTGTTCGTGGGTTTCACCGAAGTGGTAAACGTCTGATACCTGCATCACTTCGGGCTTTCCTCCCACATTAAGCTGACACGTTGTGATATAACTGGAATTCTGTTAAAAGCGGCGTTAAACCCAACTCACTCACTCCTTCATCAGGTGAATGAATGTAATATTGTAATATTATAAGTTCTGTAATATAAATATTATGTAATCAAATCCATCACGTTGTGTAATTTGAAGTCAGAGTCAGTGCAGCTTTTCAAACATGACATTTTCTTTGTGGCCAGGTAAAAGTAACTTTGTGAGTGCAGTTGGAGAGAGTGTGAAGGCCCTTGTGAAGAACATCCTGTCCGGGACAATGAAGGTAGTTACCCACCAGATGTAGACAGGACGGCACCCTCCTCAAGGCAGGAGACCGCCTCCGTGGTAGAGGGGATGGTCGGGGGTTCGATCCCCGGTCGTGTTGTTTGTTTGTCCATTACAATGGAATTACAATGATTACGAAGAAGAATAACGACCCGCTGAAACAATGTACATAGTGCTCCCTTGTGGTACAAGTTACAACGCTACAAATACAAGGGAGTTATCTTAGTTCTCCCAACGATAGCCAGGCCCTAGTAGAACGTTTAGCTGGTGGCTACCTGAGAACGCCAGCACCTGTTCCTGTAGTGCCATGTGACCTTTAAACCGCCTTCATGGTCTTGTGTACAGAGCATCTGCCCGGTGCTACGAAACCCCATTTCACGTCAGCATGTGACCTGTGCAGGTGTGCCAGCAGGGTTCTACCTATTCTCAAACATGGCTCGCAGTGAACGCATGTATTGTTAATTAGCTTGTCTACTGTGTGTTTAATAAAGGGGTGCCGATGCTCCTGGGAGCATGTCATAATATTTTCCTATGAATGAGCTGCCCACTGTGCATTGTTATGACAAGGGGGATGCTATGTTCAAATTGAATCTCGAATGCTTCACTAGCTCCCCTGTTAAGTCTGAAGAATATTTTTGGCTTCGTGGACCTTACTGAAGTCATCGCTCTCTTGGGTGTCCCACCATTAACACTGATCTCATGAAGCTGTCACCTGCACACGGTCACCAGGTTTCTACCTTTCTTCAGTCTTGGTTTGATCCATGCGGACCTGCCAACCTTCTGTCATTGCCTGATATTGCTCACGAGCTTGTCTACATATCTTGAGCCAGTGATAGGTTGTATAACCCTGACACCCAAACTTATGTAATGACGCTCTAAGCAGAGAATTATGGTGTCTACTCCTTTACAATTGGATACATCTGTTATCTTACATCTCTGTATTTAGGTGAAGCAGTTGTCAGCAATACCTGATGTGCACATGGCAAGTTCTTAGGTTCTATTCGACGGACCTGTTCCTGTCATTATGTGGGGGCATTGGTGGCCCAGTCATCTAAAGCATCTAATTCATTGTACAGAGTTGCATCCCTTGGGTGCAACAGAAACCTCTGATAGTGGGTTCGAATCCTGGTTTGGCCTGATTATTTTTCTAGGTTTGCCAGCACCACACCAATCCTCATGGGTTTCATCTGAAACCTGCATCACTTCGGGCTTTCCTCCCACATTAAGCTGACACAGCAGTGATATGACTGGAATACTGTTAAAAGCGGCATTAAACACAACTCACTCAGTCCAGTCAATATTGTGTCCACTCCTTGAGGGTGTTCAAGTTTCTTCAATCTGACGTTCCATCCCTAGGTGAGGTGGAACGCCTGCTATGCTATCAGCAACATGTTCAAGAACAATCTCCTCCCCCATGGCAAGGCTGAGTGGACAGTAAGTGTGTTCTTGTTTTTATGCAGAATCTTGAGTATTCTTAAATAATGGAATTTATGCCCAAGAGGCTATATTCTGAATTATTTTGGGTTGAAACCGGATACAATTTCAGTCATAGTTCAACTATGGTCTTTAAATGTAGGGACACCCTAAACTTTAACTTTTAACATTAGTGTTATAACAAGGAACATTGCTCATGGCTCAACGTCCGGTGAAGATCCGGGGAAGAATAGGTCTTCAGCAACCCATGCTTGCCATAAAAGGTGACTATGCTCGTTGTAAGAGGCGACTAACTGGATCGAGTGGTCAGGCTCGCTGACTTGGTTGATGCATGTCATCGCATCCCAATTGCGTAGATTGATGCTCATGATGTCAATCCCTGGATTGTCTTGTCCAGACTTGATTATTTACAGACCGCCGTCATATAGCTGGAATATTGCTGAATGTGGCATTGAAAAACAAACAAACAAACAAATATTGGTCACAACCGTTGTGTTTGCATGGACCAGATGTACCAGAAACCTATCATCATGGAATCTAATCTTGGTTTGGCTTGATTATATTTCAACACATATACACATGCTTGTGATAAACTAATCTAAGGTCTGTACAACTTCGAGCTCTCCTCCAACATCAAGCTGCAATACTGTTCAAAGCAGTGTTAAACCACCCAGTGTTATTTCCTAGATCGAAGTGATGAATGCACTCTCCTCGGTGGTGAAAGACTGCAAGAACTTCAAGGTCCGCATCAATGGTGCCCTGGCTCTGTCGGTCCCAAGGGAGAGGAACGCGTACGGCTCGTCTGAACTGTACGCCTCGGTGTGGGAGAGCCTCATTGAGGCGCTCAGATCATCAGAGGACATCTCCGACTTTGCTGAGTTCCGCTACAGGGACAATCTGACCGATCAGGTAACTGGACATTGATTCGCTTGAACAGAGAGTGGGGAGCCAAGGTAGGATGTGGGCTTGAGGTCAGAAGCGTGTCAATGGGTCGGCTGTGATCTACTTTAAGTGGGCAGGGTTTAATAGAAATATTTTAGGGCTTAATAAGGTGCTTCCTGCAGATCCAGTGACCCAAATATACAAATGTGGAATAAAAATGAAATTTTCAGAAAAATCTTGTCAACAAATTTCAGTAATTCAGTACCTTTAATGTTGAATAAAATTAGAAAGGAACTAATGCGTTTATTTGACGTTCAAAGAAACACTCATACCATCACTAAAAGTGGTGTAAAACCCTCCTCACTCACTCACTCACAGATCATAGAGGCCATCTTCCACATGTTGCACCTGCTGTGCCCCGAGGACCTTCCGGCGCTGCTGCCATGTCTGCAGACCAAGGGCTTCATCCTACAAGCCTTCATGGAGAAACTCCGATCATCCAACGCCCAGTTCCTGAAGGGTAGGGGGAAAAAATCCTTTGCTTTGATTCTATTATTTAATATGTGGCAAATAGATGGCAAGTTTTGTACATCTCAAGGCTGTTGTGGACAAGCAAGACCCCCAATATGCAGGCATGTGTTTCAGTACATCATGGATTCATGATTGTGGGTGTATGACTGATAGCAAACCTTGGTGATTCTGCCCTTCTGAAGGGAGGTGCAAGGGTAGCACTATCAGTTGTAGTAGGATCACTCAGGGTACATGGGTAGCACTATCACTTGTAGTAGGATCACTCAGGGTACATGGGTAGCACTATCAGTTGCAGTAGGATCACTCAGGGGACATGAGTAGCACTATCAGTTGTAGTAGGATCATTCAGGGTACATGGGTAGCACTATCAGTTGTAGTAGGATCACTCAGGGTACATGGGTAGCACTATCAGTTGCAGTAGGATCACTCAGGGGACATGGGTAGCACTATCAGTTGTAGTAGGATCACTCAGGGTACATGGGTAGCACTATCAGTTGTAGTAGGATCACTCAGGGGACATGGGTAGCACTATCAGTTGTAGCAGGATCACTCAGGGTACATGGGTAGCACTATCAGTTGTAGTAGGATCACTCAGGGTACATGGGTGGCACTATCAGTTGCAGAAGGATCACTCAGGGTACATGGGTAGCACTATCAGTTGTAGTAGGATCACTCACGGTGCATGGGTAGCACTATCAGTTGTAGCAGGATCACTCAGGGTACATGGGTGGCACTATCAGTTGCAGTAGGATCACTCAGGGTACATGGGTAGCACTATCAGTTGTAGCAGGATCACTCAGGGTACATGGGTAGCACTATCAGTTGAAGTAGGATCACTCAGGGGACATGGGTAGCACTATCAGTTGTAGTAGGATCACTCAGGGGACATGGGTAGCACTATCAGTTGTAGTAGGATCACTCAGGGTACATGGGTAGCACTATCAGTTGAAGTAGGATCACACAGGGGACATGCATGGGTAGCACTATCAGTTGTAGTAGGATCACTCAGGGTACATGGGTAGCACTATCAGTTGAAGTAGGATCACTCAGGGGACATGCATGGGTAGCACTATCAGTTGTAGTAGGATCACTCAGGGTACATGGGTAGCACTATCAGTTGTAGTAGGATCACTCAGGGTACATGGGTAGCACTATCAGTTGAAGTAGGATCACTCAGGGGACATGGGTAGCACTATCAGTTGAAGTAGGATCACTCAGGGTACATGGGTAGCACTATCAGTTGAAGTAGGATCACTCAGGGGACATGGGTAGCACTATCAGTTGAAGTAGGATCACTCAGGGGACATGCATGGGTAGCACTATCAGTTGTAGTAGGATCACTCAGGGTACATGGGTAGCACTATCAGTTGTAGTAGGATCACTCAGGGTACATGGGTATCACTATCAGTTGAAGTAGGATCACTCAGGGGACATGGGTAGCACTATCAGTTGAAGTAGGATCACTCAGGGTACATGGGTAGCACTATCAGTTGAAGTAGGATCACTCAGGGGACATGGGTAGCACTATCAGTTGAAGTAGGATCACTCAGGGGACATGCATGGGTATCACTATCAGTTGTAGTAGGATCACTCAGGGTACATGGGAAGCACTATCAGTTGTAGTAGGATCACTCAGGGTACATGGGTAGCACTATCAGTTGAAGTAGGATCACTCAGGGGACATGGGTAGCACTATCAGTTGTAGTAGGATCACTCAGGGGACATGGGTAGCACTATCAGTTGTAGTAGGATCACTCAGGGTACATGGGTAGCACTATCAGTTGTAGTAGGATCACTCAGGGTACATGGGTAGCACTATCAGTTGTAGTAGGATCACTCAGGGTACATGGGTAGCACTATCAGTTGTAGTAGGATCACTCAGGGTACATGGGGTTTTATGCGTCCTGCGTTAGGTTTTGTACCATGAGCCGGAGGTATCTTACTGACGTGTTTAATATGACATTGTAAAAGAATTAAAACAAATTCAAAATTGATAGAAAATGGCTGTTCGGTTGAGGATTTGTGCTATCGTTGTCTTGGAAAAAGCATGCATCTTTATACTTCGAAGTGGGCTTTCCGACCATATTCAGCTCTTGCTGTAACACTGTGTAACATACTTGTGTCCAGGTCCGACACTGCTCTGTAACACTGTGTAACATACTTGTGTCAGGTCCGACACTGCCCTGTAACACTGTGTAACATACGTGTGTCCAGGTCCAATACTGCCCTGTAACACTGTGTAACATACTTGTGTCCAGGTCCAACACTGCCCTGTAACACTGTGTAACATACTTCTGTCCAGGTCCAACACTGCCCTGTAACACTGTGTAACATACTTGTGTCTAGGTCAAACACTGCCCTGTAACACTATGTAACATACTTGTGTCCAGGTCTAACACTGCCCTGTAACACTGTGTAACATACTTGTGTTCAGGTCCGACACTGCCCTGTAACACTGTGTAACATACTTGTGTCAGGTCCAACACTGCCCTGTAACACTGTGTAACATACTTGTGCCAGGTCCAACACTGCCCTGTAACACTGTGTAACATACTTGTGTCAGGTCCGACACTGCCCTGTAACACTGTGTAACATACTTGTGTCAGGTCCGACACTGCCCTGTAACACTGTGTAACATACTTGTGTCAGGTCCAACACTGCCCTGTAACACTGTGTAACATACTTGTGCCCAGGTCAAACACTGCCCTGTAACACTGTGTAACATACTTGTGTCCTGGTCCAACACTGCCCTGTAACACTGTGTAACATACTTGTGTCAGGTCCAACACTGCCCTGTTACACTGTGTAACATACTTGTGTCAGGTCCGACACTGCCCTGTAACACTGTGTAACATACTTGTGTCAGGTCCGACACTGCCCTGTAACACTGTGTAACATACTTGTGTCAGGTCCAACACTGCCCTGTTACACTGTGTAACATACTTGTGTCAGGTCCAACACTGCCCTGTTACACTGTGTAACATACTTGTGTCAGGTCCAACACTGCCCTGTTACACTGTGTAACATACTTGTGTTCAGGTCCACCACTGCCCGGTAACACTGTGTAACATACTTGTGCCAAGGTCAAACACTGCCCTGTAACACTGTGTTACATACTTGTGTCAGGTCCGACACTGCCCTGTTACACTGTGTAACATACTTGTGTCCAGGTCCGACACTGCCCTGTAACACTGTGTAACATACTTGTGTCCAGGTCCGACACTGCCCTGTAACACTGTGTAACATACTTGTGTCCAGGTCCGACACTGTCCTGAAACACTGTGTAACATACTTGTGTCAGGTCCAACACTGCCCTGTTACACTGTGTAACATACTTGTGTTCAGGTCCGACACTGCCCGGTAACACTGTGTAACATACTTGTGTCAGGTCCAACACTGCCCTGTTACACTGTGTAACATACTTGTGTCAGGTCCAACACTGCCCTGTTACACTGTGTAACATACTTGTGTTCAGGTCCACCACTGCCCTGTAACACTGTGTAACATACTTGTGCCCAGGTCCACCACTGCCCTGTAACACTGTGTAACATACTTGTGTCCAGGTCCGACACTGTCCTGTAACACTGTGTAACATACTTGTGTCCAGGTCCGACACTGTCCTGTAACACTGTGTAACATACTTGTGCCCAGGGCCAACACTGCCCTGTAACACTGTGTAACATACTTGCGTCCAGGGTCAACACTGCCCTGTAACACTGTGTAACATACTTGTGTCCAGGTCCAACACTGCCCTGTCACATTGTGTAACATACTTGTGTCCAGGTCCGACACCCTCCTGTTACACTGTGTAACATACTTTTGTCCAGGTCCGACACTGTCCTGTAACACTGTGTAACATACTTGTGCCCAGGTCCGACACTGCCCTGTAACACTGTGTAACATACTTGTGTCAGGTCCAACACTGCCCTGTAACACTGTGTAACATACTTGTGTCAGGACCAACACTGCCCTGTAACACTGTGTAACATACTTGTGTCAGGTCCGACACTGCCCTGTAACACTGTAACATACTTGTGTCCAGGTCCAACACTGCCCTGTAACACTGTAACATACTTGTGTCCAGGTCCAACACTGCCCCGTAACACTGTAACATACTTGTGTCAGGTCCAACACTGCCCTGTAACACTGTAACATACTTGTGTCCAGGTCCAACACTGCCCTGTAACACTGTAACATACTTGTGTCAGGTCCAACACTGCCCTGTAACACTGTGTAACATACTTGTGTCAGGTCCAACACTGCCCTGTAACACTGTGTAACATACTTGTGTCAGGTCCAACACTGCCCTGTAACACTGTGTAACATACTTGTGTCAGGTCCAACACTGCCCTGTAACACTGTGTAACATACTTGTGTCAGGTCCAACACTGCCCTGTTACACTGTGTAACATACTTGTGTCAGGTCCAACACTGCCCTGTTACACTGTGTAACATACTTGTGTTCAGGTCCACCACTGCCCTGTAACACTGTGTAACATACTTGTGCCCAGGTCCACCACTGCCCTGTAACACTGTGTAACATACTTGTGTCCAGGTCCGACACTGTCCTGTAACACTGTGTAACATACTTGTGTCCAGGTCCGACACTGTCCTGTAACACTGTGTAACATACTTGTGCCCAGGGCCAACACTGCCCTGTAACACTGTGTAACATACTTGCGTCCAGGTCCAACACTGCCCTGTAACACTGTAACATACTTGTGTCCAGGTCCAACACTGCCCCGTAACACTGTAACATACTTGTGTCAGGTCCAACACTGCCCTGTAACACTGTAACATACTTGTGTCCAGGTCCAACACTGCCCTGTAACACTGTAACATACTTGTGTCAGGTCCAACACTGCCCTGTAACACTGTGTAACATACTTGTGTCAGGTCCAACACTGCCCTGTAACACTGTGTAACATACTTGTGTCAGGTCCAACACTGCCCTGTAACACTGTGTAACATACTTGTGTCAGGTCCAACACTGCCCTGTAACACTGTGTAACATACTTGTGTCAGGTCCAACACTGCCCTGTTACACTGTGTAACATACTTGTGTCAGGTCCAACACTGCCCTGTTACACTGTGTAACATACTTGTGTTCAGGTCCACCACTGCCCTGTAACACTGTGTAACATACTTGTGCCCAGGTCCACCACTGCCCTGTAACACTGTGTAACATACTTGTGTCCAGGTCCGACACTGTCCTGTAACACTGTGTAACATACTTGTGTCCAGGTCCGACACTGTCCTGTAACACTGTGTAACATACTTGTGCCCAGGGCCAACACTGCCCTGTAACACTGTGTAACATACTTGCGTCCAGGGTCAACACTGCCCTGTAACACTGTGTAACATACTTGTGTCCAGGTCCAACACTGCCCTGTCACATTGTGTAACATACTTGTGTCCAGGTCCGACACCCTCCTGTTACACTGTGTAACATACTTTTGTCCAGGTCCGACACTGTCCTGTAACACTGTGTAACATACTTGTGCCCAGGTCCGACACTGCCCTGTAACACTGTGTAACATACTTGTGTCAGGTCCAACACTGCCCTGTAACACTGTGTAACATACTTGTGTCAGGTCCAACACTGCCCTGTAACACTGTGTAACATACTTGTGTCAGGTCCGACACTGCCCTGTAACACTGTAACATACTTGTGTCCAGGTCCAACACTGCCCTGTAACACTGTAACATACTTGTGTCCAGGTCCAACACTGCCCTGTAACACTGTTACATACTTGTGTCCAGGTCCAACACTGCCCCGTAACACTGTAACATACTTGTGTCAGGTCCAACACTGCCCTGTAACACTGTAACATACTTGTGTCCAGGTCCAACACTGCCCTGTAACACTGTAACATACTTGTGTCAGGTCCAACACTGCCCTGTAACACTGTGTAACATACTTGTGTCAGGTCCAACACTGCCCTGTAACACTGTGTAACATACTTGTGTCAGGTCCAACACTGCCCTGTAACACTGTGTAACATACTTGTGTCAGGTCCAACACTGCCCTGTAACACTGTGTAACATACTTGTGTCCAGGTCCAACACTGCCCTGTAACACTGTAACATACTTGTGTCAGGTCCAACACTGCCCTGTAACACTGTGTAACATACTTGTGTCAGGTCCAACACTGCCCTGTAACACTGTAACATACTTGTGTCAGGTCCAACACTGCCCTGTAACACTGTGTAACATACTTGTGTCAGGTCCAACACTGCCCTGTAACACTGTGTAACATACTTGTGTCCAGGTCCAACACTGCCCTGTAACACTGTGTAACATACTTGTGTCCAGGTCCAACACTGCCCTGTAACACTGTGTAACATACTTGTGTCCAGGTCCAACACTGCCCTGTAACACTGTGTAACATACTTGTGCCCAGGTCCAACACTGCCCTGTAACACTGTGTAACATACTTGTGTTCAGGTCCGACACTGCCCTGTAACACTGTGTAACATACTTGTGTCCAGGTCCGACACTGCCCTGTAACACTGTGTAATATACTTGTGTCCAGGTCCAACACTGCCCTGTAACACTGTAACATACTTGTGTCAGGTTCAACACTGCCCTGTAACACTGTGTAACATACTTGTGTCCAGGTCCAACACTGCCCTGTAACACTGTGTAACATACTTGTGTCAGGTCCAACACTGCCCTGTAACACTGTGTAACATACTTGTGTCCTGGTCCAACACTGCCCTGTAACACTGTAACATACTTGTGTCAGGTCCAACACTGCCCTGTAACACTGTGTAACATACTTGTGTCAGGTCCAACACTGCCCTGTTACACTGTGTAACATACTTGTGTCAGGTCCAACACTGCCCTGTAACACTGTGTAACATACTTGTGTCAGGTCCAACACTGCCCTGTAACACTGTGTAACATACTTGTGTCAGGTCCGACACTGCAGACAGCGAGGAAGCAGGTGGAGAAGGTGGGGCTGTGTCTGTCCACTGGAGACGATCTGGTTGCCATGCAGCTGCTCACAGAGATCTGCCTCATACATGCAGGTAAGGGACTGGACAGGAAGAGCTTAGGCTTGTTGTCTCTTGCCACCAAGAATGTGTTAATCATACTTGGTCCAATATTCCTTGTGCGTTTACCAGTGGGGAAGGTCGGCATTGATTAGCCAGTGAATTATGTCTCCATTCTATTTTATTATACCTGGGACTCATTCATTGCTATGGGTAAGGTTTGAGTTCCGTTTGAATGCTTTTATGCTATAAATCATCCTTTCAAATTACACTTTCCTGATAAGAGGACCACCTGTGGTGTAGTGGATAGGGTGCCTGGTAAGTGGAAGGTCAGTGGTTGAAGCATATGTAGCACATGTGGTGTCTCTTGCACATGCAAGTGACTTTGTTCAAATATCCCTTGGTTCTCCCAGAAGACCACATACGTGGCCTTGTGGTAGAGTGTTTGCCTGGAGAGCAGAAGGTCCGGGTTTCATTCCCCAGCTGCGCCATACCAAGAGACTTTAAACGATGGTACAGTGATTCCTTGATATACCACGGTCATCGGGGTCCAAGATCCCGACCCTGCGTCCTCAGAAAGAGCGTTATACAGATATTCATTGTTCAACACATTACGTAATGATAGTAGTAAATGGAACATAATTATTTCACAGTAGCATGGGACATGTAGATCTATGTAACACTGATCGTGGGCGATCAATCAAAACACACACAAAAATTAAATAATTATTAGTGTAAATGAATAAAAGTACAGTGTAATATTTTACGAGTGGATTTATACATGTAGATTCTATGTATGGAAACAAACTGTTGTTATATTCTAGTTCCTCGGAAGAAATGTGGTCTGATTGCCAACCTTCAGACATTATTGATTGATGACAGTGCATTACAAAGCCGAACAAGCCTTGTAACCAAACTAATGTGAGACAAAGGCTGTGATTGGTTAATATATGTTGTACTTGTTACCCTGTCTGGCACTTGGCATTAAGGGGCTAAAACAAGGACTGGTTGGCTTGGAGTCAGTATACTGTATACACACTAAGACCCACCCGCTATTCCCGCCCGTATGCATGCAGGGTCCGATGTGTGGCTGAACCACTCATTGGAATTTAATGAAATTTGACTGGAAGCATCCCTAGGTGGTGGGGATTCAAAATTGTACAAATGGTGGGGCTGACCCCCCCAGGGCTGAGGGGCGGGGCCAAATAGGGGTAATTTGGCTATGTTGCTTGAAACGACTCCTTCTCAGGAACTAAGAGATAGATATCAACCATATTTGGTTGGAAGCATTCTCCGGTGGTGAGGATTCAAAATTGTACAAATGGTGGGGCTGAGGGGCGGGCCAAAAAGAGTTTATAACTTGGACACAGTTAAGTCCCAGCACTGGCAAAGGAGTTAGAACCTTGACCATAACATGCAAACCAATATTATTCCCACCCTATAATAAACAGATACATGGTATACATTTGTTTGTTATGAAGAGAATAATACATTTATGCCGACAGGATCTTTAACCAACATTTGTATCAAGAGAAGTACACGTTCATGCTGTCAGATTTGCCATCCACCCCTTTTAAATGCTGAGTCAAAATTATGAAATATTTGCGGTATTATATACATTTACAATGCAAATGTATATTTGTCATGGTTGCGTAAATATCCAGGTGAACGATACAAACCCTATGGGCCTCTTGTTCTTGTTGATGTTATTATTAGTCCAGCTACCTAAGCTATGGGTACTCTGAATCAATCAAATGAATCCTGGGAAGAACAAACCATTTTCCCTGGAAATAGAGCCCCATATTTGACACGCAAGATGTAGCACTCTCCTACCCAGAGTTTGTTATGGTCAACCAAGTACCACAGCCACAGGCCAGCGAGATAAGACGATTTGTGCCATTACACGATTCATTCAACAAATTACATGTTTTTCATCTATTTCATTTTTGAAAAGTCAACACAATGGCTTTTAGATAAACACATCATAAATTGGTTAACTTTCATTGAGAAAATATATGAAACATGAAAAACTAGTTGCATTTACGTATTTGTCCTTTGTTTACATTGGTGGTATGATTCCACGTGCTGTCATCGAAGTCATGAATAGCTAGTGTTACAGTTGCTTTGATGTATAAAAATATATTGTCATGCACCTCACTGTCACAGTTGCAGTAGCATATCTGTATAATAATGCACTGAAAGGATTCCTTTAGGCCAATCTGCTCTGATTTAAGAATAAGCGCATTTGTTTACAATCTAGATAAAAGTCTGTTCACGTGATATGCAAATATGCCTGCAGCAGCGGTATATCGCTGAGTCATCATGGTGCTGGAGTGGGGAGGTGAAGAAATGTTCACGGTAACCAGGTGATGAGATCCTTCTTTCATGTTTCAGACACTGATGAGGAACAAGAAAACAGACCAGCAGAAAAATCAGCTTTCATGCAAATCTATGACTAATGGAGAGATGATACTCTTGATGATGGGCATGGAAACAGAAAGATGTTCACAAGACATCAAACCCTGTCTACTGAAGTCACAATTACTTCGAATCACGTCATGTTGACTTGGATGATGTAGATCTGAATTCTGAGGTCTGGCTTAGTAATTATTGACTGCTTCTGAGAATCATGGGTTCTGCAGCCTACAGAAACTAGCCGTACATTCTTTACTTGACTACCTGGTCGTCACTGATAGATTCCAATTTCATTAAAAAAAACCATAAATTATTTTGAATACACAAGAGCCACGATTTCAATAAAACCTGTATGTGTCATGAAGACATCCAGTCCTTTACAGCTCACTGATAGGTTCACCATATTGGTCATGTGGTCAAGTTGCCCAACCTGATCAGGTCTGTGGTTCAAATCCCATCACAGAACTCGGAAAATGATACTGCATGATACACACATATTAAGGTAACATGTAAAATAGTATATACATTATTTGTAAAATCATATATTCCGCTGATACATAAAAGTGGTCTCAAGGCACTGGTGTATGATTTAACCCAAATGCATTACATTTGATTGAGCTTTCTTTGATTCCCATGTTGATGGAATACAACTCAAGACAAGACTTGTGTCAATATGCATGTATCACATTGTGTCTCAAGACACGATTTAAGGAATTTGATTTAACTTGTACCAGATTGCATCAGACAAAACCAGGTTGCATCCTGGTCCTATACATTGAAACATGGCCTGCTGCCAGTGTCACGTGGATTAAAGACGCATTTCTATAATATGTCATAGGAACATGTGCACATAATCTTAATGTACCCACAGTTTGATGACATCACGCCTAAGAAATTACACATGACTGACTGAGTATGATTTTACGTCGCTTTTAGCAATATTCCAGCAATATCACGGCAGGAGACACCAGAAATGGGCTTCACACATTGTACCCATGTCGGGAATCGAACCCGGGTCTTCGGCGTGACGAGCGAACGCTTTAACCACTAGGCTACACAATTTGAAGTATGTAGACCTAAGTATCAGGTTACATTTTTCAGTTATAGGTTGCACTAGTGCATGTTTGATATCGCTAAATTGAGCCCTTTGTATCATATCAGAACCTTACTATCAAGATATGTATGGCATCATAACAACTGCAGAACCATATACAGTGAAAGCTTGTCAACATTGGACCAGGATTATGTAGGGACCATAACGTTATGTTATTAAGCCACAGTGGACAGGGGTGGTACTGTTCCTTGTGATATCTAAAGTTCCCTGGGTATGTAATATTATGCCTTTAGTTTTATATCTTATCATTCCCAGTAGGTGTCAGTGGAAGCAGGGTGTCGTTGTACGAGACGCCACTACCAACAAAACCAGGCTAATAGATGTAAAAAACAAATGGTAGTGATGAAAGAACTTATTGAGATGGTATTTATGCTGTTATTATCATCTTGATAGTCTTTTTAAAATATTTTATTATGTCATTGGTACATCATTGCTGTACATGCTGTATGCTAATTGAAAAGGAATAGTTCTCCGAAGGGTTTTGCTGTTTGCTACCGGTTGTCGTCGTCACATTCTCTTCTTCACTCGTCATAAGGGTTTCCATCTTTGTTATTTTCATTAGCGACGTCTCCTGACGTTAAGTTTTTACTCTTAACAGATATCGTTGCACTGTTTCATCAAACCATTTTGATGACTACACTATTGTCACAGTTGATTCTGAGCCAGGAAGTCACTGGCCTTTCTGAATTTAAAGAAATAAATTTATAGAATAGTTTATCAACCATAACATGGTTTAAGTCTGAGAAATCACTCGATTTTGTGGATTCGGGAAGTAGAATCAACAGATTCTCATGATTTCTCCATTACGGAACATACCATGGTGAAGTAATCACCGAAATATACTCTTCATTACGTTGTCAATATGTAACATTTTTCACGTACATGTATTATCAAATCTACCAGTGATTGAAATTAAGAATGAAAGTGAAGGGGAAAGTTAAGGATGGGCCATACCGCACTAGAGACACAAACAACCAACCTCATGGACCCCTTATTTACTGACCCCACTAAAGATATTAGTGAGTTGGGTTTAACTCTACTTTGAACAGTATTCCACTTCTATCATGGTGTGTCAGCTTAATGTATGAGGAAAATGATGCAGGTCTCAAATGTTTCCTACTTTAGTGAAACCTGCGAGCAAGGTTATGGTGGTGACAAACATAGAAAGTATTGGGGCGAACCGGGATTCAAACCCATGATCATAGGAGTCTGACATGCCAAAGGGATGCAACTCTGCAGGGAGATTTGCAACACCTAAGATGACAGGGCCACCGATGCCCCACTGATAGTAAAAGGCAAGACATTCACTTTATTATTATCCCCCGCCCAACAAAGTTGGCAGGGGGTATAGAAACGGGCTCCGTCCGTCCGTCCGTCACGTTTTGTTTCCGGAGCATAACTCATAAACCGTTCAATTTTTTTTTCATCAAACTTTGCAGGTCTGTCAGGTACATGCTGAACTAGTGCCTTTTGTTATTTAGAATTTTTTATTTTTTTACGTTTCCATGGCAACAAGATGGACTTAGGTTCTGTTAGGGTAGGGTTTCGTTTCCGGAGCATAACTCATAAACCGATCAATATTTTTTCATCAAACTTTGCAGGTCTGTCAGGTACATGCTGAACTGGTGCCTTTTGCTAGTTAGAAATTTTACAAATTTTTATTTTTTACGTTTCCATGGCAACAAGATGGACTTAGATTCCAAACTCTTCTTTTTTTACAATTTCCATGACAAGTTCCACCTCGGTTAAAAAAGGTTAGGGTTTGTTTAGATTTAATTATGTCATAAATTCTGCAACAGGGGCAGGGGATATAGCCACGTTAGTGGCAAACTCTTGTTTTAAATGCGTGAGTGTGTGACTGGGCAAATGCTTTGTTATGATGGTGATATAGGGTTCCAACTTAAATATTATCTTAACTTATAATGTTTGGATCTGATTGGTTCATGTGATCTTGATAAAATACCAATGAGTGGGAGAAAATCCCTTATACCCTGCCACGAAGAAAACAGCTAGGCTGCACATGGATAGGAGCGGGAGAATAAATCTTTTGCATCCCAGTATGAAGCAAAAAGCTGTGCGTTGTTTACAACTCAATGAAGGTCCTGTGACAACACAAGTTAACCTCAGCTCTGTTTTCTATCAATTTTCAATTTGTTTTCATTCTTTGACAATGGCAGATTGAAACATGTCGGCAAGATAAATTCATTGTAGTAGCATCATGGTGTATTTGTTGTTTTATCCGTGCCTCGGCCTCAAGGAATACATAAAACCACATATACCCCTTGTGATACCACTACAACTTATAATGCATTGAAACTTAAAATCTTACTTGCTCACTGTTGAAATCTTGAAACTACGTAACTGAAAATGTTCTTAGAATGCAATGTCAAGCTGTGATATTCTCGAGTTAAAAAGCTCTGTTGTTGACTATTCTTTGCCTGGAAAGTTTATCTAATAATATAATTATGCATAAATATCTGCTTCATACATCATTTGTCTTGTGTTGTTTTTGTGAGTGGGGATGAGTGAGTGAGAGTGAGTAGGGTTTAGTGCTGCTTTGAACAGTATTGCAGTTATGTCACAGATTGTCTCTTAATGTGGGAGGAAATCTCGATGTCTTAGACGTTTATGGGTGCACAGGCGCCGCAATTCGCTGTGCAGAGTTGTGTCCCTTTGGCACACCGGAAACTTATGATTCCGGGTTCGAATTCTGGTTTGCCCCGATTATGTTTCTAGGTTTGTCTGCACCATACCCGTGCTTGTGGGTTTCACCGAAGTGGTAAACGTCCGACACCTGCATCACTGCATATAACCGGAATACTGTTAAAAGCAGCATTAAATCCAACTCACTCACTTAGACGTTTACCACTTTGGTGAAACCCACAAGCACAGGGTATGGTGCTCACAGACCTAGAAACAAAATCGGGACCCAAGATCAAAGGTTTTTGTCATGCCCAAGAGATGCAAGTCTACACAGTGAATGTCCATCTGTGTTCCTTCCTGAAGATGAAGCTTCCCTTCCAAGCTACAGAAACAAAAGATCAGTATGGTGCTACATAGCGTTCAGCAATATTCCAGATGGTCCAGCCAAGACATCAACAATGGTCTTGACACACTGTTCCCTCGTGGATCATTAAATTGTTCTCAAACCATGCAATCCAATGATGGATGATGCAATGAGCTCTTTGACAAATATTTCAGTCCTATCACAGCATTTCAGACTAAAGATACCACCATGTGCACGGTTCTGAAACACAAAGAAACACAATCAGGGCGAATCTGGGATTCCTACAGATTTCTGAAATGCAGCTTTGAACAATGAATTGCGTCACCCTCAACGACTGCGTTAACATGGCCCCAGTTAAGCTGGAGAGAAAGCTGTCTTCCAAGGTCATTCCAAACAACATCTCCCGGGACATACGTAACAACTCCAGATGAGTGTAGACATGATGTATTTATTTCTGTTGAAAGTTTACATAGATGCATATGTCAGTAGTTTAAATAAATAATTTGCATGTAGAGTGACACATACCTAGACACACACATACACAAACTGCTGTGTACAGACACGAACACTTTAGATGTCCTCCAACAATCAGGTCAAACCATATCTCAAAGAAAACAAATAGGACACTTGCATATGAACTATTCAGTAGCCTAGGGTTATGACTTTGGGCACAACAAAACATAACTTTCGTTTCAGTGTATTGAACGGCCTTTTACAACAACTCTCATAACAACGAGTTTGTCCATTACAGAGGCCCTGGTGGTAATCCAATACTTCAAAACTCACATAAGAAAGATATTCATCTTTAATGTCACACTGTCTATACAAGAATCAAACTAATGATTAGTGCATTTCACAAATTCAACCGCAATTAATATTATGAGAATAACTGACAAGCTACAAGGAACTGCGGTTTATTTCAAAGAGTGAGTGAGTGAGTGTGGTTTTACGCCGCTTTTAGCAATATTCCAGCAATATCACTGTGAGGGACACCATAAATGGGCTTCACACATCGGGAATCAAACCCGGGTCTTTGGCATGATGAGCGAACGCTTTAACCAGTAGGCTACCCGATCGCACCTTATTTCCAAGAAGAAGCCTTTTCATCTCAGCTGTAAAGAATTTTAGCTTTTTTTCAAATCTAAAACAAATACAAATCAAAGTTAAATTTTTTAACTATTTTCTCTCAGACCACAATCTTGATAATGATTTATTGTGCTGGGTTACAAAAACATAGTTCAAAATGATTGTTTGAGGACAAGAGGGACGAACAAACTTCCAGGTTAACATGAAGCCAACAATGAACATTGCAGTGGGATGGTTCACTGCTCTATAAAGCTTAACAAAGAGTAGAGTAGATCTCCATAAACAGAATACACATCAGTATAGATTAAAAATGATTTATATAATGCATTCAAAAACAGGCAGTATGACACACAACTTTGTAATACAAGTTTAAATAAATACATTTCATTGGTCAAAATTACAATGTGTCTAAATAATCATGAACCCTGTTAATACAACTCTGTATGGGTTATAAGTGAAAGAAATGCTGAGGTATAGTATGCTTAGTATAATAATAGAATTAGACAATTCAGATATATTACTGTTCCACAATTTCAAGAATTGAAGAATTGTATTGCACTCTGGAATGACCATAACTCAAGAACAGTGAGAAAAGCATTCAAATAAAATTTCTTTTGTGACAGACCATGCCAAGGTTTACTGTCAAGTCAGCATCATAACTGGAATATTGACTTCTAAGAGGCCATTAGTAGGTCAACCTGTGGTTGATAGCATGAGCATTGATCCACACCATCAGGTACGATGACACAGCCAGGTCACAGAGGAAAGTTCTCCTTGGTGACCATCCGTGTACTATCCATCACTGTGGCTACCTGATTGCCATTTCGTCTTTTACAACAAACAGTAGATCCCGACCCAGATGCACGTCTGTAGCACAAAGTTTGCAAGTCTGTGTAGAAGTATGAGGTGCAAATGGGCCTTCATCATGATCTTCACAAGTGTTGCCATAAATCCTACAATATCTCAACAGCAATCCGAGTATTTTAAATAAAAATATCAATCCGTCATAATAACTTCATTTGTAAGCATAGCACTACCTAATATCTTAAGTAAACAGATTAATACCTCACAGAAATATTTCAATTGACATACTTGATGTCAAAATTCAACAATCATCAGTTTCCAGAAACACATGATCAAACTGAAGGTTGAAGGTGGAGAAAACAATCTTCAAATCCACGGAGTTCATCTGGGCTTTTTAACATGAGCCATTCCAGGGTACCTTGGTGTGTGTTAATTGACATAATTAACTGCTTGTGACAAAAATCCCAGTTTATTTCTACACATGAAAACTAAGGCACTGAGGAAATGGCTACAACAAAGACTTAAACAGCACCAGAAATAAAATCCCAATCAATAACAAAGGAAGTGAAAAACCCTTTAAAACTGAAAAAACCCAAACAGTTTACAATCTGCTCACCTTTAACACAAGGAACATGTCCACTTTTCTTCAAAGCAACACAATGTTGAAGTATAAAAAAACAAACCTTTTGGCAGATCTTTGGGGTAATTACACTTGACAAAGTGTGCTAGCATGAATATGTTGTTATAAAGCAATGGCTTGCACAGCTTATTGTTGCCAAACAATTGGGTAGATTCATGAACTGTTTCAACAACATCAACGCGTAATTAAGTTCTGTTGACAACGGAGTGAGTCAGCTGGGTATAACACTGCTTGGAACACCTCATCACTTACACCCCGGCCTGCCAGCTTGACGTGGGAGGAATGCCTGAAGTGAATCAGGCCTTGAGATGTTTACCTTGTTACTGAAACCCACGAGCACGGGTATGGTGGCCCTAAGTGAATCAGGCCTTGAGATGTTTACCTTGTTACTGAAACCCACGAGCACGGGTATGGTGGCCCTAAGTGATTCAGGCCTTGAGATGTTTACCTTGTTACTGAAACCCACGAGCACGGGTATGGTGCTGACAAACCCAGGATCATACTGACGACAAGTCTTGGATGAAAACCAAGAACAGGATAAGGTAATCACTCTGAATATTGTAAATGATAAAGTTATGAATATTCTCTAAAAATAAACAGTACATTTAAGGGGTTCATTTTATCAATGTTAACCCTTGATACTATGACAGTTCCGATGTTAACCATTGATACTATGACAGCATCGATGTTAACACTTGATACTATGACAGTATTGATGTTAACCCTTGATACTATGACAGTATCGATGTTAACCCTTGATACTATGACAGTATCGATGTTAACCCTTGATACTATGACAGCATCGATGTTAACACTTGATACTATGAGTTTCGATGTTAACACTTGATACAATGACAGTATTGATGTTAACACTTGATACAATGACAGTATCGATGTTAACCCTTGATACTATGACAGTTTCGATGTTAACCCTTGATACTATGACAGCATCGATGTTAACACTTGATACTATGACAGTTTTGATTTTAACCCTTCATACTAAGACAGTATCGATGTTAACCCTTGATACTATGACAGTATCGATGTTAACCCTTGATACGATGACAGTATCGATGTTAACCCTTGATACTATGACAGCATCGATGTTAACACTTGATACTATGACAGTTTTGATTTTAACCCTTCATACTAAGACAGTATCGATGTTAACCCTTGATACTATGACAGTATCGATGTTAACCCTTGATACGATGACAGTATCGATGTTAACCCTTGATACAATGACTGTATCGATGTTAACACTTGATACAATGACAGTTCCGATGTTAACACTTTGAGCACAGAACCCTTTAAGAGTGCTGGGCAAAGCCGAGACATAACATTGCTTGAACACTACAACATTTCACAATTATGACTAGTAGGAAGTTTACGCGTGCTCAATGGCATTATGTTACATCTCAATGCTAATATTGACCGAGCAATATTGTTTGTCAGTGACACATATTAAGGAGACTGATGCTCAAACAAACAAAACTTTTAAAAAAACACCTTCCAGCCAATTGGACAACACCCTTGCCAACTCAGACACTCCAATATGTACACTTACTGAACTCAACTCTAGCTTACCTAACTCTATCTTGCTGGGTACCAAATATACATGATTTGTACAAACTCTGACTTCTTGGCATGTGCAACTTCAGCTTTGTTTGCTCTACAAAGAAGAAAAGTAAGACCGGCAGTACGATAAAAAACACAAATTCACAAGAAACATTTTCCTTTAAAAACTTCATTGTTGCAAAAATGAAATCCTATCTTTCATTCACAACTAGAATTATAGACAATCACAGACAGTAAGGCATAAACAATGAATGGTAAGTTTATATTTTATTTTATAGACAAACCAAATAATTCCACCCTACTGGAGACCAGTAAAATTCTTTGTAGGATTTCAGTAAGTGATCTTCATCCTTTTTTTCTAGTATCAAGAAAACGTCTAACACCAAGGTGACTGGTTGAATAATAGCCATCTGTACCTTATAAAAACAACCCCAAAAATGCCGTTAAAAAGAGGCAGCAGTGTTTTCATTTTTAGAAAAAGATTGTTGTGTCTCAAAGTTAAAAATATGTGTGGAAGTGGAAGGAGAATAAGAGACAAGAAAAGGTGGCAGGGTAAAGAGTACAGGTTAAAGGTTACACTGATAATCCAAAGTCGACATACTTGGTTGCTGGATACGTAACCACAAACACATTGCTTGGCACAATACAAACAAATTATCACATTTGTCAAATTTCCATTGGGATGAAACTTGCCATTTTCTATTTGGTTACCAGGAAACATACACACACATACATAACCAAATGTTCTAGCCTAGATTAAAGAGTCATGAAGGACTGAATTCACACCTACATATTGTTCAAGCTGAGAAATATCTTAGATACCTTAGTCGTCACAATAAAACAAACCCTCGGTTGGTAGATCTGTACATAGAGCATCTCAGAAATAAACTTCAATATCAGCTGACTGTAAAGTTTCAAAAGAAATATTTTCCTGTACCACTTATCCACATGAAAAGGAGAGCTTCTTCAGGAAAACTTTAAAAAGGATTGCGTTAAAGATAGAAAGATAGCAAAAGCATGATAATAAACATGTATAAAAGTTGTCAGAGAGACCATTAACCTATACACCTGTGATACAATTAGAGAATAACCAACGAGCTACGAGGAATGACAAATTATCTGACCGGAGAGAATGAATGGTGTTGATCCCGTGTCTTTGGGGAGGGACTTACAGTATTTATTCACTAGGGACAGATAATCCGTAATGCAGAGTTACGGGTAGGTTATTCTATATATTACCTGATGACACTTTAAGAGAGAAAATGAAAAAAAACCACCTGTGTGCAATGTCAACCCTACTTCACTGAAAGCAGCCCATTGTTCAGTTGATGTCATGTAATTGTGACATCAAGAACAATGGATAACATCATATCAAATCTTCTCAACAATGAAGCACTGTGACGTCTTATGGCTTCAGTTGACCAATCAGCATTGAGAATCACGAAAATGCACATGTGCAAATATCAGAAAGTTATTACACATGTTATCACACCTTGCAACAATGTCATTTTTGTGGCAGGCAATTCTTTTCCAACAGTTTGAAGCATAATTATTTTTTTAAAGAATGTCTGGGTCTATATATATTTTTCTATAAAGTCCCCTACGATTTCTTCAGCATCGATGGGAATTGTTTCAATTATCATTTTGACGAGTCACATTCAAAGTCTACAGCTTTATCATAAAAAAATGTATTATTAAATCTCATGTGTGTATCATCTTATTTATGTGTATCATCTTAAACTATCAAGAAAACTTGACATAAACGTTGGCAACAAATAATTTCTGGTATCCTTGTTACATCCAAACCAGAATAAAATCATGTTAACATACCTTGAACATGGAGACTCATATCATGAACAAACAACCATTTGGTGGATCGCTCCAAATTAGTCGCCCTAGAATTAGTCCTGCAAATGATACTCATATACCAATTCCCTTTCTAACATGTGTCAATGAATTAAGTATATTTCATCACTCTGGATTCATGTGAGACAAAGGTGCCAAAATAGTTACATCTGAATATTCCAAAATGTCAACTCAATATCTTGGAGACAGGATACACTATCCCCTTCTTGTGTTAAGGAACTACACAAACGAATGAAATGCCATGGAGATTTGTACATTACAAACTTATCCAAGAATTGAATACATAACAAATGTTAACCATGCGCAACACTATAAATTTCCAATACAGTTTGAATGTGTGAACCAATTTCTTACATGTCATAAACCACACCAGCCTATATGGTACATAAAACACTGCCATGGGCAACACATTGAATCCTCCCCCAAGATGTGAATGATATGAAGATATGAAGTTTTTACATCAATGACAATGCAGATATCCAATATGGCTGACAATGAGGCCATATTGGAGCACATGTTCAAATGACCAGTGAAATGTCGAAATGATAGTTATTCATTGTGTGAGTATGAGATTCAATTTATACACATACATATATGAGGGTGTTCACTCAATGGAGTCTCAATGTGAAGATGTGCACATGTATACCTAGTGTACTCTTGCTGCCAGACTGTCACACCTCCAGTGACAGACAGTGGGCCCTTGTGGTTGTTGGCAATGGTATATGAATCATAGTACCTCTAAATCCATAACTGAGAACATTAAGGCCATAACACTCACTATTATTTCAACCTTAATTACTAACACTGCAAATATACTCATGTGTACACTTCTTTTGCTCTCAAAATTTAATTTAAATAACACGGGCCAATCTGGAACAAAATTTTCACTTACATTATAAAATTCTTTATTTATTAGTACCGATGTATTGTCCACAGTGCAATGACAAGGGCAGATCCAGCATTTATAAAAGGTTGGGGTCCAAAATATCAAAATCGTACAGGCTTCAAACACTGCACCCGGGTGTGGCTTGAATACCGAATACTTCAACCACAAGACTCACCCACTGCCTTCCACTGTACGGGATTAACTGCTGAAATGACTTATTCCACACGCCTCTACAGAAGTGCAATATCAGGCTTCTCGGGCTTCGGACAAGTGGCAAAAGTCGCAGACTGAAGTACTACCGGTACACTTTGGCTGGCCCTTCTAGCTGGAGCCTATCATGTTTAATGTGCATAATGATATCATATGTTAAGTATCAGGATTACATGTATATTCTTTTGACCAATACATAAAAGTTGTCAAGTACTTTAGTTGTTGAAACTTATATTTGTTTAATAGGATCTGATATACCTGTACATATACATACTGTGGGGGTATTCGAATATAAAGAAATGGTAACAGATTAATTATTCCATTTTCTGGACAATATGTGTGAAAGTCCAAATGAATGTCTTAAGTTCTTTCAATTACCTGGGTATGATTCACACACGTCACTAAATACATAAAAAGTCCAATATATCTGACAATCATCCCTTGCATGTTTTCAAAATCGTTAAAAAATAAAAATTAAAAATAATCCATAGCATTCTTCTGTTACTGTAGCATGGGGTCATTTGACCTCTTTGTGAGTGTCATGTGAAGACTCTTCTCAATGACCCATTGACCCTCGATGACCTCTCTCAAAGCTGATGACCTTGGATGACCTAGTGACCTTGATGGCTAAGTAACATGATGACCTCTCGTGATGACTGAAGTGACGACATGTGTGTATGACATTTTCCGGGACATCTTGGTTATAGTCTTTACACAGCACTCAGATTAAAATACCACCGCCAGCCTTCTCCTCAACCACGTCAGCTTTTCTGCAAACACATGAGAAAAAGAATCATTTATGTTATGTTTAGTGTTAAGTGACCTTTTTTTCAACAAATCAAATTCACTGTTAAAAGACAATTATTGTAACATTACTGAAAGAGATCCCTTCCAAAATGAACAGTAACACTTAATTAACACTAAATTTACACTAAAATACCACACAAAATTAACACTAAATTAACACAATCAAATATCAAACATTCATCAACACATCAGTAAAAGCTTCAATGTATATTGAATAAGAAACATTGTGTCACATACACATAGACAATGAAAATAATGTCAGGAAATTTGTTCAATTTACATAATTTCAAAAACGTTTCCTCAAGGCACAATAATCTATAGCATAATTCCTAATTCATCATTCTGACAGAACATAAAACGTTCATGCTTGTCCTCTGAAATCTGGTTTCCACCAGAGCCCTGCCCTCATCCTGGCCATGCTGTTACAGAACTGTAGGTAGAGAGGCAGTTGTGGCCTTCATGCTCAACACTGACAGCACGCCTTGCCAACAAGCTATCCTACTACACACTCAGCAGGCACTGTGGCTACACCCTGTTTCATCAACACCAACTTTGTTATCAAATTGTCATGATGCAAAAACAACATTCACTTTGTTGCTATTATTTGTTTGTTTGTTGTCTAACGACACACTCATCAATATTCCAGCTTTATGACGGTGGCCTGTAAGTAAACAACTGTGGACCAGACAATCCAGTGATTGACATCCAGAGCATCGACAACCAAGTCAGCGAGTCTGACCACCCGATCACGTTAGTCGCCTCTTACGACAAGCATACCCGTTAGTTGCCTCATACAACAAGCATGGGTTGCTGAAGACCTAGTCTAACCTGGACCTCACAGGTTGTGTTGCTGTTAAACACTCCAGGTAAAAACAAAATCAGTCAAGACTTAGCAGTTTTTGTCACTAACCTCAAACTAACATATTTGAGTTTTTTAAAATAAAAATAAAATCATTGATATATTTGGAAACACATACCAGTTATTAGATTATTGATCACTTACATCCCAAATCATGCACACAAATCATAGCAAGTGATGGTTCACACTTGAAAGATATGTTGACCTTTTCATTTTCTAAAACATTTTCTCAAATATGAAAACCATTTCCAACGACTTACTGCCACCCTAACAGCATGCTGAGTTTCACTGATGACATGGTGAGCACTTACTTGTGGCGGGACGATACACGGATGCATCAGTGGGATGATATGGTGAGCACTTACTTGTGGTGGGATGATACACGGATGCATCAGTGGGATGATATGGTGAGCACTTACTTGTGGTGGGATGATACACGGATGCATCAGTGGGATGATATGGTGAGCACTTACTTGTGGTGGGACGATACACGGATGCATCAGTGGGATGATATGGTGAGCACTTACTTGTGGTGGGACGATACACGGATGCATCAGTGGGATGATATGGTGAGCACTTACTTGTGGTGGAACGATACACGGATGCATCAGTGGGATGACATGGTGAGCACTTACTTGTGGTGGGACGATACACGGATGCATCAGTGGGATGATATGGTGAGCACTTACTTGTGGTGGGACGATACACGGATGCATCAGTGGGATGACATGGTGAGCACTTACTTGTGGTGGGACGATACACCAATGCATCAGTGGGATGATATGGTGAGCACTTACTTGTGGTGGGACGATACACGGATGCATCAGTGGGATGACATGGTGAGCACTTACTTGTGGTGGGACGATACACCGATGCATCAGTGGGATGACATGGTGAGCACTTACTTGTGGTGGGACGATACACGGATGCATCAGTGGGATGATATGGTGAGCACTTACTTGTGGTGGAACGATACACCGATGCATCAGTGGGATGACATGGTGAGCACTTACTTGTGGTGGGACGATACACTGATGCATCAGTGGGATGATATGGTGAGCACTTACTTGTGGTGGGACGATACACGGATACATCAGTGGGATGACATGGTGAGCACTTACTTGTGGTGGGACGATACACGGATGCATCAGTGGGATGATATGGTGAGCACTTACTTGTGGTGGGACGATACACGGATGCATCAGTAGGTTGATATGGTGAGCACTTACTTGTGGTGGGACGATACACTGATGCATCAGTGGGATGACATGGTGAGCACTTACTTGTGGTGAGATGATACACGGATGCAACTGTGATACACACAGCGAACCTGACCCCCCGATCACGTTAGTCGCCTTGTACGACAAGCATAGGTTGCTGAAGACCAATTCTAACCCTGCTCTTAATGTTCCTGTATCGGTGTTGATGGTTGTGACTTCTGTACAAGATCTTTCGGTACATAAAACCCATACAACCTGTAGTAAGCATCTCCTAATACCAGAACTTTTCTCCCCATTACAGAAGCGACAGCACAATTAAACAAACACCATGCTGTCAATGAACGTTCAGTCATCAACAATAGAACTGGAGCCATCTCAGCATGTGGCAAAACCTGGTGCAGGCCACACCATGCATCTGTCTTACCCGTTACCATGGTTACCCGAGAATGATCACAACATATCCGAGTCCCAGGGCCCTAGCCAGTCTTTGTAAACTGGCACCTCTGACTAGAAAAACACCACTCAGATTCAGCAGTCTTAGTAACCAGAAACATTAAATATATCCAGTCGTTTGATTGATATGTCATATAGTACTCAAAAGAAGTTAAACTAGCACCTCACTCTTTAATATTACAATAGCTAATCTGTCATTGGGTGTTCTTTAACTTCTTTTGAGTAGTATACATACATGTTATGGCTTGTGGTTTCTCAAGAAAGTGAAAAAAAATTTAATAAAAAAATAATTTTGTTTCAGTTTGAGTCATGATGGCGATATGCCTTTGAACTTCATTTCATCCATCATCCAACCATTTATCCCTCTTCCATCCATCTAACTTACATGTCATAATACAATGCTGAAACACTCAAATAAACCAGTGTCTCAAATCTCACTATTATTCATAACTGTTCAAATCTCACCACAATTCATTAACATTCAAATGTCACAAAATTGAAACATAAACATCAACAGTCATCTTTTGCAAAAAACATTAACCTCATGTTGCTGGTTGCAAAACAGACCAATCTAGTTTCTCTTTGTATTTCCATTTGGACGTATTCAAAAAAGGCAGAAATTGATTCTCCGAAACCAGACAAACTGAAATTCAGATGCTGCTTTTTGCAACAGGACATGAAGTATTATGATTTTGCAAACTATTTCATTAACTCGTAAGCAAGATCTCTCTGAATCATTCCATTCCACCACTGTCAATTTCCTGGACTTACAATTTCCAGGGGAACAGCAGGTACCCATCTTTGTACAAATCACAAAAAGTTAAAGTGGAGATTTGGTGGTCACAATGATGGCACAATGTGGACAGTCGTATTGATGTCACAACGTGTGTATGACATGCAGTTTGTGCCAAAAACCTTTGCCTGAATATGGCTCTAAGCATCATTTTCAGGAGATTTTAGTGTTATAATATGGATTATTATCCCAGTTAACTGGGTAACAGAATTTTACAAGATCCGGCATCGGACCAGTGGCTAAAGTCACAGACTGAGTGTGGCCAGCTAGCAATAAGGAGAGGTATTGGGGAGGGAGTCAGTGAACAGCCATTTCAAATATGGCAACAATTCTTGAGGTAGCACACACAGTCCAGTGACACATCTGATTTTAGATGACCTATTTGTGGTCAATTTCAATGAGCGTTATAAAGCAAGATGGCTAGTCACTTGTCGGGCTCATTGGTATTCAGGAGAGTAAGTCTCTTATAGGGCATTTATTCTGCTTTCACCAACACACCAGCAGCATCAGAGGGAACACCAAGACATAGGCTCACACACTGTACCCATATGGACCGAAAATAATCCTGGAAAAAAACTCAATCAATTGATCTCACATCCACTTCTGACAGAGATTCAATACTGACTGTGGACATTCATCAATACAAGACATAGATAGAACGGAATAATACAGAGTTCTTGCTAGAAAACATTTCATTTCATATGGTTAATAACACCAGTACCAAGTCAGAGGATTAAGGTACATGAATGAGTTCCCCGGAGCATGTTAGCTAACTTAAGCCAGCTAAGATATAGTTCTTCTGCATCTAGCTGAGGAGAACTAGAGGCAATATATTACAGGCTGTGGGAGGGTGGGTCAGAGAGGACACAAGGATTGTCCCGAAAACATCACAAGTCGTCAGGAGGTTTTAAAATCATACACAAGTAACACAGGTTACTGTTTTGTTGAGTGAGTGAGTGAGTTGGGTTTGACACTGCTGTAAGCAATATTCCAGCTATACAACAGCAGAGATCACCATTAATGGTTTTCACATGTGTTCACATGGGGCATCAAATCGGGGTCTTCAGCGGGAAGAGTGAATGGTTTAAGCACAAGACTTCCTCGCCGCCCTGTCCTATTAATCGATATTTGTAAAAACTAACAACTTTCACTTACAGCTTTCAGGGAAAATGTCATCAAAACATTTTAATAAGTATTATGGGAAGGTTCGCAAAAATAGAAATGTTCGACATTTGGGGCGGATTATCCTTTTGGGCCAATCCATGGACATAGTCTCTGCTCCACCGTCCCAATAACAAATGGCCTATCCCTACAAATAATGGCAACTGTCTGAACTGTCAGGTGGATGCACATCAATCATATGGCAACTATTTCAAAATTAATACACTTAAGACCACATTTAAACATGCTTTTTCAAGCCAAACATGAATTCCTAACACTCATCTAAAAACAGGCACGGAAAAAAATTATAAAGGGATAGGAAAACCTTGCAAGGAATTCCACATCAATTAAATGCTGATGTAGTATGTGTAAAACTAATTTAATGTCTAAAAAAAAATGTTTCCTCAGAAAAGCTAGGAAATCTATGTCTTAAGTCGATGTAAAATCAAACATGGATTATTAGATCTGAAAGAGTCAGATTTCAGAGCAGAATTGTGAAAACAAAATGCTGTTATTTTGGTGTAAAAGTTGAAGAGTGTAAAATAAATATTTACAACAGTAATACAAGATTTCAAAGATATGTCATCCAATTTTGAGAAAAAGAAAGAAAAAAACATATGACAATAAAAATATTCTGTGCGTCTATTCTAAATGGCAGCAACTGGCATGTTGGCTGCATTGTGTAGCATGTATGTATATGGAACAAGACATTCCAAAACTGTTTAAACGGCAAGCAAAGAACTGATGTTAATTTGGACTAGATCAAGTCATATTTGGGCAAAAATATTTGAATAAACTGCTACTTTTTGTACTGTTTTTCTTAAATGTTTAGTACACGGCAATGATTTCACACCATTGCAGCACTGTTGTTGAGAGACAGATGCTTTTATTTGGACAGAGCATTGTCTTCGGAAACTACTCCATTAATTTGGTGGTAGGATGTCAAACTTGTATCTGTACAGAAATGGTTGGTCAAGTCAGAAGCTCTAGAAAGAACAATTTATATTAAGGTTTCATAATCTTCAAATCAATCTTTGCCCATAACTTTGATTCAGTTTTCATAGAGCGAGTGAAAAAGAACTAAACAATATAATTGTTAACATGGTTAGATTTGTCCTGTAAACACACATTGAGTTTGTCAGAAAGAAAATGATTTTGCAAATAAAACAACAATGGTTTCATGACACCTTAATCTGAGCACTTAAGGATGTTTATTCTCAAATTTGAGACAACACGAAACTGAAAATATGACCGATATATAACAAGTCAGAACCCAGTATCAGAAGGCGACATCTTTGCTAATTGAGTAACGTGACATAATCAATGTGTGTTTGTTTTAGTGGACAACATCATGTATGAGAGATATGTGTCTGACGAACATTCCTGACTTCAATGCGCAGATGGTAACATATCAGTTGGTAACAGAATGTTAGTGTGGTAACAACAGGAATGGCGGCGACGGCCGGATGCTTGAAGCATGCTATCGGTGACTAGTGACAAGAATCAACAAGGTTGAAGTATGAAACTGGACGATGTGGAGATGGTGACACCATCTCAAACAAACCCTCACATGCTTTCTGCATAGACTGTTCAGTGGAAACATGGCAGTAGCTGGTGTCTGCTGCTATGGTATTTGCCCCTAAACTTTAACATTGAGGCTGCAACAAGACTCCTTGACTTTCATGCTTAAATTTCAAATAGTGAATAATATTTCATAATGACAGCATTAAATATATTGCTCAAAAGAAGTTACAGAACATCCGATTCTGTCATATTACTATAGTTAATCTATCCTGACATAACTATAGTTATCAGAAATAATTAAGTGTTCTGTTACTTCTCTTGAGTAGTATAGATCAAAGAAAATCCTAAAATTGGGGGCAGGGGCGGGGGAGCTAACACATTTATGACTGATGCAGCAAGGGTGTGGACAGACCATGGCCTATCACTGGAATGAATCGGATATTCAGCATGAAGATCCTGGCTCATTTAAGGGATGCAACTCTGCATACAGTATTACAGCTTCTTTTTTTTAGACCACTGGGTCATCTGTGTCCCTTTATCTCAGAATAGCTGAACTGGGTATTGTGTCAGCAATATGGCTGATATTTACCCAAATTCTGGAACCCTAGAATCTACATAAGGACAGGACATTAGCAATTATTTGTTTTAGTTCTGATAATATTCAATAGAAATGTTCAGTATCAAAGCAAAACATGAATCAGTTGCCTTAGAGTTGGAGTACACAAGGGTTTTATTTCAAGAAGCCTTCCCTGAGTGGGGTTACTGGTATCTATGAGTTATCTGCAGTGTTAGGCCCCACACTTGTACATCATGGGCTGTATCTAGACTCACCAAAACTAGGTAGATGAAAGTGTTAGACTTAACTGAATACTATAGTCAAACTGGTAGTACATATTCAAAATTACAAAGGTGACCTAAGGCAAGAAAAGAGACCCAAAGAGTTCTACAGGGCATCCTGGCAATGTCCATCACCCTATCACCTCAATATTTCTTATAATCAGAGTCTTCAGTGTATAGCATACTTAGATACATATATTCTACGGAGAATATACACAATATATCTAAGTGAGTAGATGGAGTGAATGTTTTATGTCCAGTCAGCAATATTCCAGCCATGTCACAATGACCTGTAACTATCTAACCTGTGCCAGGCAAACCAGTGATTGATAGAATGTACTATGGTCCATACCATCAGGGTCACTGACACGGGTCACCAAGCCTGACCACCTAATGCAATGAAGTTGCCTTTCATGACAAGCATCGGTTGCTGGGGATCTATTCCCGCTGATTAGAAGTTTTGTCTGTTTGTTTTTTAACCCCATCTTCAGCAATAATCCCACAATATAACAGCAGCCTGTAAAAGCTGTGTCTACACCAGATAATCCAGTGACTGACATTAAGAACAAAGATCCACGCTGTAGTGGTACGATGACACACCATCAACTAAGTCCCTGAGTCAATGTGGTTGCCTCTTGAGACCAGCATAGGTTGCTGGGGCCGACTCTAACTGGAAATCCCCACCGGCTGGTTAGAATCAAAGACAAACCAGTGATTGACAGTATGAGCAATGACCCACACATACTTTCAGCCCGTTCCACAGTGGGGATCTTAGCACTTACGTAATCATAACTCCCATACTTTAACACAGATTTACAATCATCGTAGCACTGAGGTGATCGTAACTCCATACTTTGACATAGCCTTCTCATCATTGTAGCACTAAGGTGATTGTAACTCCCATACTTTAACATAGACTTACGATCATCAATCATCGTAGCACTAAGGTGATCGTAACTCCCATACTTTGACATAGACTTACGATCATCAATCATCGTAGCACTAAGGTGATCGTAACTCCATACTTTGACAGACTTACGATCATCGTAGCACTGAGGTGATCGTAACTCCCATACTTTGACATAGACTTATGATCATCAATCATCGTAGCACTAAGGTGATCGTAACTCCATACTTTGACATAGACTTACGATCATCGTAGCACTAAGGTGATCGTAACTCCCATACTTTAACATAGACTTACGATCATCGATCACCGTAGCACTAAGGTCACTTTGTGGAACGAGGTCCTGGTCCCTGAGCCTGATCTCCAGGTCCTCCTAGTAGTGAGTTCTTACAACATGCATGAGGTACAGGGGACCTATTTTAACCTGAAATCCCTACAGGGGAGTGTTCCATGTCTACAACATGACTACATACGCTAGGTGTTGCTACCGCTATGTACCACTGTCTGTGCAGAAAGCTGAGAGTGTATGGTGATGCACCACCAAACATAAGAACTATCAAGGTGACTACGTGTGAAGTATTTCCACTTCTGAATCCACACGTGCTGGCAGGAAATTCATCGTAACTGTGGTTTGTCTACATGCACAAGTGAAAATAGTGAACTTTCTTTGTGCAAAACATAACCATCATCATCATAACAATGACCGATATCATGCTATGTGAAGTGATTAATTGCAAATATCTTAAAATATAACATCCTCTGTCAAATATCATGGAAAAAATTATTCTGTAGAATATAAAAATCAGATTTTCATGATAAATCCTGACGATCCTGACTTAGTCCGCCTTGACACTAATGCCAACCTTGATGTTCAAGCCCATGTTTCATGACGCCAACCTGTTTAACATTCGGGAGTTGCAGCAAAATTAACATGTCATTTCCAACTTCTATATATTCCAAACTTCTTTTCATTTCATGTTCTACATATTTTCTGAATGGAAGTGACATGGAAATTTGTAGCCCCTAAAACAACAAAATGTCTTGAATTTAACAAACTTACGTTGACATCTTCCCCGAGTCCATTCTCCTCTCCTTCCTAATAGCATCATCAATGTTGGTGTCATTAATGATGTAACTTGGTGTTGCTATTATCCAATAAGGTCAAGAAAACCCAAACACTGCCCAATACTCAGTGATTTTAGATTTGCAGAGGAAACCAGTGAATGAGTGTGTTTGGTTTTACGCCGCTACTAGCAATATCCCAGCTACATCACGGCATGGACACCAGATAGGCTTTTCACACATTGTACCCATGCAGGGAATTGAACCCGGGCCTTCAGCGAACACTTTAACCACAGGGCTACACCACCGCCCAAACCAGTTTGTGAACAAGGTGTTAGTGAACAAAATCTGGCAACATTTGTATTATTTGATAGAGATTATGATGAAAAAATCACTAGTTTTAGTTGCAAATATTTCTGGAATCAAATATATGATATATATGAAAAAGTAATAATATAAACAACATTGAACTTTTCTGATTGATCTTGTGTTTCTGTACAGAAATGAACAACGTTTAATTTCTTGGAATTATTTTGATATAATACACAACCTTGACCCACTGTGCATGTACATAAATTATTACCGTATCCGCCATATTAAGCACTCTGCACCAATATGAACCCTAAGACCAACTTCTAAACCAATTTGCAAGTGCCCGCTACTAAGAGCCAACATTTATGACAGTAGGTATTTGCTCGTGTATAGTACAGATTTTTCAAAGAAAACATCAGTGTAGAAGGGGAATATAATTGCCTCGTCACTATAATCACAAAATTTTTAGTTTCATCGATGCTTGAACTAAGTTTGTTCACTACCAATCCATCTCCGACAACAAATTGAACTTGTAGTGTTTAGTTTTAATAAGTGCCTCCATTATCAATTTTCGAAGCAACATTGTGCTTATTATGGCGAATACGGTACATTAAATCCCATTTTCCAGCTATGAATGTACTGGTAATAATCGACTACAAAGTCTGAGTACAAGTGTGTTTGAACACAGTACATTAAATCCCATCTTCCAGCTATAGAGTAATAGTCAACTACACGGTCTGAGTACAAGTGTGTATGAACACAGTACATTAAATCCCATCTTCCAGCTATAGAGTAATAGTCGACTACACGGTCTGAGTACAAGTGTGTATGGTTCATGCAGCATGAGAGGTGCATGACGGGGTACCCACCTCTCCGGCCAGCTGGTAGTGCTGCTTCCTCAGATCCCCTAGCTTCCTCCGCTCCTGCTCCAGCATCGTCTCCAGCTCAATCACACGCACCTGGGAACAGGTGAGAATATAGGGTGAGACAGTGACAACATGTGACAAGAGTCATCAGGAGATGACATATCTCACCGGACTGGCGCAATTCGGAAAATGGAGTTTGGCTACTGATACCGTTGGATACCATCAGTTCAGAGAAGAAAAAAAATAATACAGTTCAGTATTTTTCCATATCCCCACGGTTTTGGAGTTCAGCTCCAGAAACAAGCACGATCCTCATAGTCAGTAAATTCCAACTTGTTGTCATGAAAACATGAAAAAATAAATTAGCAAACATCCCAAATCATCAAAAGGTACGAGGTAACGACTAGATTGATTTGTATAGCTTGTTTCACACAGAAATATACAACAGTTTCAAATTCTGCTCCAGAATGGAGCACTAGTCTCATTTTCAGTAAAGGTCCAACTTGTCTTCATGAAAAAATATCCCAAAATAAAAATATCCTAAATCATCTAAAGCCACTAGACTGACATTAACAACAAGTTTCAACAAGGAATATTCAGAAGTTTAGGAGTTCTTCTCTGGAAACGGAAAATAGATGCCTGATGGACGAACGGACATGCTGATTGCTATATGCCCTGTTTTTCAAACTGGGGAGATAATAATGGGTGAGAGAGAGAAAGTGTTAGATTTAATGCTGCTTTGATCAGTATTCCAGTTACATCGCGACGTGTCATGTGATAAGATTTGGTGAGATCATAGTGTGACACATGGCGAACTGACAAAACAGTGAGACATGGCGAGAAATGATGAGACAACAGTGAAACAGGGACACACTTCATTAACACACAAGACAGACCCAGGAGGCGACAAGCACTTTCTCCAACCATGGTCCATACCACTAACCTGAGTCTGCATCTCCATCCTCTTTGTGTCATGGAGAGACAGCTGGGTGAAGTCCATCAGATCTGGAACAGTCACAATAGTACCATCAAGTTTTCATTGCCTCCTTACAGTCAGTAGCAAATGCTTATGAGTGAGTTGGGTTTGACCCCCCTTTATACATTATCCAGGGGTGGCAATATCCAACTGATCAGCTGCTCATTTCAGACAGGTGGCTTACCAGTATGTCAGATAGCTAGAATTAGATATAAAACAACTTGTCCCTCAGGATCTTCACCGGTCTCGACTAATGGACTAGAGGCAGTGTTTCAGTTACAGCACTGTATTCCTGCTTAATGTGGGAAGAGAACCCGAAATGCTGTCTTAGGTCTAAGACGTTTACCACTTCGTTGAAATTCACAAGCATGAGTATGGTGCTTTACAAACCGAGAAACATAATCAGGGCAAACCAGGATTCAAACCCACAATCAAAGTTTCCTGGCACGCATAAGGGATGCAACTCTGCCCAGCAAATTGCAGTGTTTGTTTGTTTGTTGTTTAACGCCGCACTCAGCAATATTCCAACTATATGACGGCGGTCTGTAAAATAATCGAGTCTGGACCAGACAATCCAGTGATTGACATCATGAGCATCGATCCACACAATTTGGATCAATGACATGTATCAACCAAGTCAGCGAGCCTGACCACCCGATCCCGTTAGTTGCCATTTACGACAAGCATAGTTGCTTTTTACGGCAAGTATGGGTTGCTGAAGACCTATTCTACCCCGGAATCTTCACGGGTATCAAATTGCAGTGCCTTAGATGAGTGAGCCACCCCAGTCGCCAGCAAGTGCTTGAGACTGATCGTTTCAATGATTATTATAAGATGCTGATACATCATATAACAAGACAGATGGTTAGCATGGGTTAGTGTCCAAAAGCATAATATGTATTTACGTTTGTTATTTAACACCACACTCGGCAATATTCCAGCTTTATGATGGCAGCATGGAAATAATGGAGTCTGGACCAGACAATCCAGTTATTGACATCATGAGCATCGATCCAAGCAACTGGGAACCTGACCACCTGACCCCATTAGTCGCCTCTTACGACAAGCATAATCACCTTTTATGGCAAGCATGGTTTGCTGAAGATCCATTCTACCCCGGATCTTCACGGGTCCACAAACAATACAAACAATAACATAACCTTGTCATATTTGTTTTTACCCAACATACCGGAACACAGGAAAAATGGCAGAAATCTGACTCACTCTTATCCTCAACTATCTGTGAAGCAGTTTTGGCAGATGCTACAACATTTCCTGTGGCCTCGTTGACTTTCTTTGATGCCCGAGACAACTCGGACAACCCTTCACTCCCTCGATCAGCCTTGACCTTTGAGGCCACGGTAAGCTGTGCGGTGCTGGCTGCGATCTCCTGGGCACAGACCATCAGTTCCTCGAACTTGCCCTCGCCCTTCACCAACTTGTCTGCTGCCTCCCTGCAAACATCATCTACTCAGTGAACAATGAAATTACACAGCAGACACAGTAAAAACAGGCCCAGGATTTGTATGTGCTGAAAGCCACAAGGACAGGTATGGTACTAACAAACCAAGGATCATAATCAGTCTTAGATTCAAACCCAGGTCCGATTCAAACCCAGGTCCAGTTCAACCTGGCAGGGCAAAGGGACACAACTCTGCACCAAGCCATGTTTTTAAAGGAAAGCAACAAGTTATTATTGCAACAAGCAATGATCGGACCATATTAGTATGACTCACCTTCAAAAAACCTTTATATTCCTTCAACAAACCTCCATATATCTTCAAGAATCCTCCAAATGCATTCAACAACCCTTCATATTCCTTGAATAAACCCCCACATTCCTTCAAGAACCCTCCATATATCTTCAAGAATCCTCCAAATGCATTCAAGAACCCTCCATATTCGTTATTCCTTCAACAGACCTCCTAATTCCTTTAACAAATATCCATATTCCTTCAAGAACCTTCCATATTCCTTCAAACTTCCGAGCTTACTTGCACGGTTATCCTTCAACAAACCTCCACATTCCTTCAAGAGATCAAAGACTCAGGACAAGCACCTGTTTCTGTACGGCTTGTTTCAAAATACACCATTACTTACATGAGAGTGGAGGCACCAAAGCCCACAGCCTTGGCCGCAGATATTAACCCCTCTGTCCAGCGGTGATGCTTCTTGTAAAAATCTTTGGCTGTGGATGTCCCCTGGAACAGTCAGAATGACACATGGAGGTACTGTGGCAGCACTAATGAAAGAGTCATGGATTGCATAAAGTGTTGCAGGATACAGACGATGACCATTTTGGTAAAACCCACAAGCAGCTTCAGACAAAGTGAGGATCATAACTGGGTTGATTCAGATTTGAACTCAAGACCAGCGAACGCAGAGTGACAGCATTTCACTGAAATCATAGTGTGTCAGCTTCATATCGATTGAGTGAGTGAGTTGTGTTTAACACCGCCCTTAACAGCATTCCAGTTATATCAAAGCATGTCAGCTAAAGGTGGGAGGAAAGCTCGAAGCGATGCAGGTCTTAGACGTATACCACTTCGGTGAAACCCACGAGCACGGGTTTAGTGCTGACAAACCTAGAAACATATCGGAGCCAACCGGGATTCGAACCCAAATACATAGGTTTCTGGCATGCCCAAGGGACGCAACTCTGTACAACGAAAAGGACGCCTCAGACGTCTGGCCCACCCCTGCCCCCAGTTCATATCAAAGGAACACACAAAGTGATACAGGACAGCCAACAACAGCAAAGTTATACTTCAGATAAGCTCATAATTTGGTGGAACTGGGGTGTGAACTAACAACCAGTGGATTCTGGGCCCTCAGGTATGCCTTGAACTGTTTGCCAACATGTGGCCGGTAATAACAATAATATATTTCAGCCATCACAAAGGTGTGCCATATGTATCCTTGACATTAACGTTACTGAGGACATCAGCCCATGCTGGTCACATCAGAATCATTCTTCAAAGGTGTTCAACTGTCTTTCACACAGCTTTTCAAACACTGAATTCCCCATATTTCTCCTCACACCACAATGACTATGCAACGATAACAACTTCACCCTGCCCTGCTGATTACGCACCCTGCCCTGGAGTACAATCTGCTTCTGCACATCCCTGGATTTCTCTATTAGCACCTTGATGGCCTGTAAACACGAGAAAAGTTAATGTGAGTCAGAAAACAACAAAAACACATCAATATTTAGGCTACCTGTTTCATAAACATAAACCAGAGGATACTGGAATACTAACACATGAGAGAGAAAAGACTTTATATAATGCCACTCCAGGCCCATCCATGTTATAGAAATATCAACCTGAAACTGGATTTATTGTGACAATAATCATATGACCTGTCTGTCTGTTAATCTACATTTGGCTATCAAACGGCAATCATGTGGTGATGGAACTGGAATTAAAGCAGGCCATCACATATATGCTCCATTGGCATAAAACCAGTCAATGAATCATCAACGAAACAGTTTCATGGCACTAAATAGTCAGAGTGGTCTCCCCTTACTGACCTTCATGAGAGCTGTGCAGGCGTCCAGGATTCTCTCATTCACCTCCAGCTCTATACCCGTATTGTCCTCCCTCGTCTTCTGCAGCATCTCCTGTGAAACAAAACCAGTGCTGGTTCAGCACACATCTCCAAACTCTACTTCAACAACATGATGGCATTTTGCTGGACCAGACAATCCAGTGATTGATACTGGGAGAAGTGATCCACATCTTCATGTTGTGTCTGTTGTTTAATGCTGTTCTCAGCAATATTTCAGCTCTATGAATAACAGAGTCTGGACCAGACAATCCAGTGATTCATATTATGAGTAACATCCCACATCGTTGGGGGTACAATGCCATACAATCAACCAATTCACTGAGTCCAACCACTTGATCCAATTTCATCCAAGCAAAAGTTGCTGGGGAGCAAATTCAAACCCCTGAATCCGGGTAATCAAGCAATGAGACCCGTGTCATACACTGTACCTATGAGGTGAGGTGAAATTGGGTTTAACGTCGCGTCCAAGATTGTGTGTTTGTGTGGCTGCTTGTACTACCATGCCGCAGTTTAACATGAATACCCCACTCAGACACAGTGCCGAGCGCCAGACAGGGTAACCTGTACCTATGAAGGGCACTGAACAAAGACATGCTGAGCAAGCACTTTAACAACTGGGCTACTCTACAGCCCCAAGGAGATAAAACTCCTCCTTGAAGGTTCTTCCCAGGTTCTACCCAGTTTATGTCCTCTGTAAGTGCGACTAACCTCTATCTTCTTGGCTGCCTCTTCAATGGCTTTGGTTGTTGAGGACATCTCCTTGTCGACAAGGTCCCCGATCTCCTCAGCTTTCACGTCCTCCATCTTGGGGACCAGGTCCTCTGCCAGCTTCATCACGTATTGCACTTTCTGGATGCAGTCATCCACCTCAGATGTTGTGTTGCCACCTACAAGAAAAGGGCATCACAACTTTATGGAACAAGTTATTGTAAGCGATTCTTATTTCACTTTCAGCAATATTCAGCAACATTCAAATGGCATGTAAATAATAACAATAATAATCCAGCGATATCAAATGACCTGTTATCAGCACTGTCCAACAAGTTAAAAGGCATACCACAATAAACCAGAACTATAAATTGAATAATATATACAACACCTTTGCTGTCAACATCTGCAGGCATTGCTCAACAACACACTTTTCCATATATTTGAAAACAGTTCTACTAACAAGCATTGGCATGATTCTTAACAGATATATTAATGATAAGTATTGTAATGTAGCACATGGTACACATATCTCCTCCAATCTCATTATCAACATTTTTGGGAAGGTGGGTCCAATCTAAAAATTGGAAAAAGGAAAGAAAACGTCCGGCTAAGAAAGCAATATTCAGTGTTGGCTGCAGGTGTCCACTCTGCACTGTACATCTGAGACAAGGTACCAGTCAGCAGGTACCCACAGCCTACCTTTGCCAACAGCATCCAGGAGTGACACCCCGGAACTCCCCGTGTCTCGACAAGCATTGGCCAGTTCCTCCCCTGGCTCTATCTGTGCGGAGTGGGACGTAGCGAACCCATGCACGATACAGTCACTCATTCGATGTGAAAACATGCTGATTGTCCCAATCAATATATCTAAATCTGAAACACAGACAGGTAAAGTTTCACACTAAGAAGAACTACAACACAATCTCAAAATCAGCCATTTCTACATACATGTATTGGACAAATAAGGCTAAGAAAAATAGTCTTAGTTTTTAGGCACTGCTGTATCATAACAATAAAAAAACATCGAAACTCTTCAACCCTGAGTATAAGACGACCCCCCTTGAAAGCCCCCTAGGTACGAAAAACTTGCCTTATACACAGCGATATACAGATTTGGATTCTTACTAGTTTGTACAACCCCAAAACAACAAAAAACGCCCGCCCGCAAGATATTGTCAAAAGCCATTGCCTGAGAACCAATTCTTTTATTTCTTTACGCCTCATAGTGCGAGTTTGGTTTAATGCCACTTTGAACAGTATTCCAGTCATATCATGGCGTGTCAGCTTGATGTGGGAAGAAAGTCTAAAGTGATGCAGGTCTAAGATGTTTACCACTTTGGTGAAACCCACAGGTATGGTGCTGACAAATCTGGAAACAATCAGGGTAAACTGGTAATAGGATTGTGGCGAGCCCAAGGGGCGCAACTCTGCACACCAAGTTGCTGTGACGTAGACGACATGGGCCATGATTAACTATATGAAAGAATTGGGTGATCTTAACTTCTTTTTAGTAGTATATATATTTTGTGAGTTTATATTTGAGGATACTAACTGTAGTCCTATCTTACAAGGTGCTGTACAAGGCGTCCTACAAGGTATAATTTCAGGTGTTACTTCCAAGGCTGTGATGACTGATGGACACCTCACCTTTCTTTTCCCCAGTGTATGCACCATGACTCTGTCGTAGCTTCGTCAGACTCTCCAACACAGGCTCTGCTCTCATCAGTAAGTATTCTGAAAAAAGGAGTGTCATATGTCAAACTGGAGCACTAAACCAAGAAATTGATGCCATGCACACCTTTCATTACATATCAAATCAAACTGTTTTTACATTTTTAAGCAGAAACTGTAAGTTCTTAATTTCAGAGAATACAATGATTCTGTATCACATTCTTATCACTGTATAATCAATCCACAATTCATAGTCATCCATAAAGTCAAAATTGAAACCAAAATAATTCTTCCCCTTATTAAATGACTACTTGTGTGTCCCTTATCCAGGATAACCAGTGGTTGACATCATGAGCCCCACTATCAGGGAATGGTGACACACAATCAGCTAATCACACATTACTACCAACAGAATCCCATTTCGGTCCATTCTCCCAAGCTTGTACTGCCCTATATAACCCGCTCCTTGGGTGTATGAGCCTACCTGCTGTACATGTGACGGTTGTGTGTGTCGGGTTCTCATTCTGCTCCAGAGCATCCTGTATTATAGCCTTTCCTTCGGACACGCCTCTCTCTGCAATACAAACACATCTTAGCCCTCCTCACTGAACAGGAACACTTCTGTCAGAACATACAAACATTATCAGTGTACCGAAGGAACTGAGTCACAAAGTATGTGTGACAGTTGATGTTACTCTTAAGATTGAAACACCCATATCCAAAATTCCATTGATGTCTCACCTTAATGATGAAGTCCAAGCCTGTTGCAAAAAGTGAACTTAGCGCTAAGGTCATCTTAACTTGAACAGGCTTACAATAGTCTTAGCTTAGTGCTAAGGTTAACTTAATTCCCATACTTGATCAGGCTTACAACAGTCGTAGCTCTAAAAATATGCCTTATGGAACAAGGCCCAGGGTAATCATAGCCAGTGTTCAAATTAAGCATGAATGTCAAGGGGCTCTTGTCAAACCCTAATGCTACCAAGTTAAACATTTAGGGGTTTCAAAAACCATTGGAGCAAACCTCAACGACATGGGAGTTCATGTTATGTTATGCCACAATCATCCATGTTTCAGCTGTATCACAGTGCCATGTAAACTCATCAATTTAACCACCAAGTCAAGTCAAACCTTCCCCATCACCAAGTACCACAAACATACACCTGACACCTTACCTAACAGTTTCTTGTGCAGGTAATCAATTTGACCACCAAGTCAAGTCAAACCTTCCCCATCACCAAGTACCACAAACATACACCTGACACCTTACCTAACAGTTTCTTGTGCAGGTCATCAATTTGACCACCAAGGCGACTTTCACTGTCCTGCTTGTCTGTCTTCAGCTGATCCAGTTGTTTCTGAAGCTCATCCAGCTTCTCGGTCAGAGATTCCTCTTTCGAGGCCTTCTCAGCCAGAGTTTGGTCCAACTGCCCCTGCAGTTGTGACACCTGCTCACTCAGTCTCTTCTCACTCTCCTCCCTCTCCTTCTGTGTGGTGGACAAGGATGCCTGCAGCGAGGACAGCTGACCGCACAGCTCCTGCTCTCGCTGGTCGCCCCCTTGCTGCACTTCAGACAGGCGGGATTCAAGGGAGGCAACTGATGTTTGACTTTCCTCTAACTGAGATTCTAGAGTAGATTTGCTGTCCTCTAAATTTTTTACTTTACAGTCAAGGTCCTAAAATGGAAAAAAAATAAGATAAAAAAAGTTCCATGACGTTTATACTTCATGTGACCTTTGGGTAACTGTTTCAGTTAATGGAACCACTATCACATGACAATACCACCATAAATGCATTCTGAAGTGTAGGGACACTCTAGGCTTTGATACAATGGAGACTATCCCAAATGCATTTTTCGTTTGTTTGTTGTTTACAGCCACACACTCAGCAATATTCCAGCCATATGGCGGCCTGTAAATAATCAAGTCCAGACCAGACAACTCAGTGATTGATATCACGAGCATCCATCCAAGCAATTGGTCTGACCACCCGATCCCATTAGTCGTGTACTTCCAACAAGCATAGTCGCCTCTTACGACAAGCGTGGGTTGATGAAGACCTATTCTAAGCCCAAAGGCCCAAGATACTTATTTAATTATGCCATAATGATCTCAACTGTGCGCTTTGCGCTCTAATACAAACAACTTCAATTATTTTTATTATTACTTTGTATTTTATTTTCATACATACTTTGTGAGGTGCACATGGATTGCTGGGAGATAATAATCAAGATTTAACCTTGCTGTTTGGTTACTTCCTGAGTGAGGCTGGCAGAGGAAGTGAAGGGGTGGTGATTGTATCACATTAAACAATATGTTCATAATTACAAAAGCATCCTTTCAAGATGCTCAATGTTCAAGTCCATCAAAATCATTTATTCATTCTGAGTTTGTAGCAAGAAATCCTAAGTAAACAACTAACATTTCATTCGTCGTTGGTAAGTATCATCTTCAGTGAAACCTAATTAATGACGACAGTGCCATTCCTCGTGAAATCATCTGGTTTACCAAATATCCAGATTATCAAACCAAGGGTGGTAAGGAAAGTTGCTTATATATATAAGACGTTCCCAAATCATCTGGACTAGGAGGTTTCTAAAGGGTTGGGTTTTACTTTTTTTTGTTGTATAACGCTGCACTCAGCAATATTCCAGCTATATGACGCCGGTCTGAAAAGAATCGAGTCCGGACCAGACTGTCCAGTGATTGACATCATGAGAATCGATCCACACAACTGGGATACGATGACATGCATCAACCAAGTCAGCGAGCCTGACCACTTGATCCCAATGCTTGAGACTTATTCTAACCAGGAATCCACAGGGTTCAGACTAACAAGCTTTCAATGTAAAGGTAGTCTTCCTTTGCTACATGTTCCCTATCTTACTACCAACAATGTACATGTACAAAATATCAAATAACATATTGGTAAGATCTGTACACGTCAACAGTATGATCTTGACAAGCATACATATTCTCGTGGATATAGAAGCAGGGGTGGGTACAATGGGAATATTCAGGATACAAAAGCTGGATTGATAACAAATAGATATATGTACAGTACCATACCACTGATTCAACAGCAAGCTAGCATTACCTTGCTCTTCTGCCATCCTTCATAGAACTCATCCAAGCCGGCAGCCTGCCAATACATTAACCGACACCATCGTTATATTCAGACGAGCTGTGGAGACCTTATATGGCCACACAGGACATGCTGTTAGTACATGCTGACCATACATACCACAATGCTTGGTAGAGTTATCTCCCCTTAACACATGCTTGTTGACGAGAGTTGTCTCCCCTATGACGACTTGCAAGCAGACATGCTTATATGACAGTATGAAATCTTACCTTCTGGTGATAGAGTCCTTCATCTTTTAAGGGAGCTATTGTTCTAACCAGAAGTGGGCCTTAATAGTAGATCATGAAATTGGAAATTTATCATATATTTTGGTTGCTTCGGGGCAGAGCCTATTCAATAGCATAACAAACTATCGGTACGCAGTCTGCGACTGCTGACAATAGTCTAAAGCCCTCATCTCGTAAAACTGTTCGTTATAGTAAGCTGAGAAAGTAATATATAATAATAATAATAAAATCTACTGAAAATGATGTTAAGAGACATGTTAGGGCTTATAGACTCAATTGATTTTGGCACAGCTTGCTGTATAGATGGTACGTTATTGACCCCATCAAAGAGAGTGAAAAGTATTTTGAAAAATAGACCATTGTGGGCATATTCATTTAAAGAATTTGGTCGAAATCAACAAAGAACGTCCATGTCTCTGCAGTATTTTCCGTATTTGAAGCCGACTGATCCAAAAACTTACCTTTAATAACCTGCATTACTGTCACCTTCAATACTGGACTGCGAAACAGTAAAAAAAACACCCACACAAAGCACAAGACAAGAGCAGCATGCACATGTTCAAGCCAGGATCTGCTGTTGCCCAGTGACCTTGACCCTCACCTCTTTCTGCTGCTCCAGAACAGAACATTTACCAGTGACCTCAGCCAGCTGACCTGTGACCTCATCGGCACTTTTCTGCAGGTTATTGTGGATGACCTGCTTCTCGTCCTCAAGGCGCTGGAGGTCCATCTTTGCCTCCTGACATAACATCAACACAGGGCATGCACATCACAATAGGCAGGTCATGCAGAGAAGGTTAGAGCTGACCTAGACAGCTGTCAGTCCTCATTCTGTCCTATGAGGTAACACATCCCACTGATCACAGCAGGGTTTCAGGTTGGTTTGCCATCACGGAAAGTCTACTTGTTTAGGGACCAGTCATATATTTTGGGGTGGGTGGGTCAGAAAGAATCAGGGGCGTGTCACCCCAAAACAGGCCTGTCCCTTGGGCACGGTCATGAAAAAAATATACACATACTTGGAAAGAGCCATGAAAAAATGGACATCATAAAATAAAATATAATGTGCTTTTGCAATTTGTCTTTCCAGGGGGGATCATGCAAAAAAATGTCCAAAGACATGGGGAGGGTCATCCAAAAATATGATAAGCATTAATTATTTTCAGTACATCAGTGCATCAAAACCTCTGATGAAATTTATGCTCTGTTTTAATTCAATCTGTCCCCAAACGATCAAACGTATCAACGACAATTTGTAAATTGTAAATTGAAATGATTTTCGAATACATAGCAGTGAAATGAATAAGATAATAAGAATGTAGACTGACAGATGTTGGCATAGGAATTGTTAATTTTTTAAAACAAACTAATCTAACAGTCATCAGTAAAGTACTGGTACAGACTGAAAAACACCCAAACTATTTCTAAATTTGTCAAGTTATAAATACATGTAACTGATGAAACTTTGCACTTAGTGAATCCAGTGCTGAGAGTCGAAATCATCATTTATGGCTCAAACCAATATGATCCTTCTTAATTACCTCATAGGCATTAATATACATATTAGCCGTATATATATATATATATATATATATATATATATATATATATATATATATACTAAAAAAAGTTAAGGCCCTCTCGATTCTTTCATATTACTAGTTAAGCTGCCATGACACACTAACTGTAGTAATACGAAAGAATAGGGTGGTCCTTTTTTGAGAAGTGTGTATCATGTTTTACTTCTACCGTCCTACTTTACAGTGACTAAATGGCCTGATCTATCAAAGAAAACATCCACTATGACTAAGTGTAAGTGACAACACCCAACTAGACAACATGAGAGACAGAGAAAATAGTCACATACTCAATCTGTGCCATCTCTCACACAATGATGTGAGAATCATAACAAAACACAGCAATTATTTTCAGGGTGATCAAACATAGTCATCTGTGTCCAAACTGTTAGGTGACCAAGGAGGTTGTGAGACAATTGGACATTGTGACCTGAATTCTCTCCAGAACACTAAGCCATGCACAATCAAGAAGAACAGTTTGAAAGAAGTAACAGCTTGACACAGGTGCAGCCAGTGCAAAATAAACAATGCAACCTTTTAAGTGTACATAATGAAACAAAATAGAGCTCTGTAATAAATTATCTGGAGTGAATGAGTGAGGTTGTTGTCTTAAATCTTTCAGCCATAGTGCAGTGCCCTGGAGAATGGGCTTCCCACATTTGAGGAATAGAACCCACACCTTTGGTGTTACAAGCCAGCACTTTCACCATGTGGCTACCCACTGCCCCTTAACAGATCAAGGATTATTATCCATAACAATCATTGACCATAGCTTATCAAAACGATCTACTTGTTTCCTTATTACATGAAGATTACCAATCCCAACAGAGTGAGTGAGTTGGGTCCAGTGCCCCATTAAAAGTATTTTGGTCATATCACAGCTTGTGGGAATAAAGTCCAAAATGATGCATGTCTTGTTTAACACTCTGGTGAAACCCACGAGCATAGGAATAGTGTTGACAAACCAAGAAACATACGCCAAATCTGGAATCCAAACCCACAATCACAGGGTTCTGGCACACCTGAGGGAGGCAACTCTGCACAGCGAATTGCAGCGCCTTATTTGACTGGGCCACCTGTGCCCCTGCATGAGGTTATGGAAACCGTTTCTGTCCAGATAGCCCCAAGTTACAATCTGGCCTGATGTCAACTTCTTCAACAAGGTCCTCTAGTTTCATGAGCTCAGGCTTCGATTACCATCACTCATTTATATAAACAAGTAAGGAGACAGTGCGGAGATCATCCCTCACCTTAATGACTTGCTCCTTCTCGTCAGCTGCTTTCTTCTCCGTAGCAAGTTGTTTGGTAACATCAGCATGCTGGAAGGATTAAATGTTAGATCGTCCTATAGGCTACCAGTTGTACATTGATGGTGGTACACCAGACTAGGCTATCAATAACTGCAAGCTAAATATGACTTATGAAGGATACTATCACATGTTGAATCACTGCAAGGACAATTTACTTATTCAGAAGTTTATACCCACCTCAATGACAAATGACAGACTTTCAAAATGGTGTTTCAAGTGAAGACTCAGAACCATAAAAAAAACCCTACATACTCACATGACCTACACCCACATCCCCTAAACTGATCTATCTCCCCACTCACATCCCCCTACACTTCCATCTCCCCACTCACATTCCCCTACACTTCCATCTCCCCACTCACATTCTCCCACACTCACATCCCTATACTCACATTCTCCAACACTCACATTACCCACACTCACATTCCTATACCCACATTCCCCTACACTTACATCTCCCCACTCACATCACCCACACTCACATGCCTGATACACAAATTCCCCTTCACTTCCATCTCCTCACTCACATTCTCCAACACTTACATCCCTATACTCACATTCTCCCACACTCACATTCCCCACACTCACATTCCTATACTCACATTCCCCTACACTTACATCTTCCCACTCACATTCCCCTACACTACAACTACCAACTCACATCCCTATACTCACATTCCTGATACCCACATTGCCCTACACTCACATCCCTACACTCACATCCCTATACCCACATTCCCCTACACTCACATCCCTATACTCACATTGCCCTACACTCACATCCCTATACTCACATTCCTGATACCCACATTCCCCTACACTCACATCCCTGTACTCACATTGCCCTGTACCCACATTCCCCTACACTCACATTGCCCTACACTCACATCCCTATACTCACATTCCTGATACCCACATTCCCCTACACTCACATCTTCCGACTCACATCCCTATACTCACATTCCTAAGAAGCTGCACATGCTCCTCCCTCAGTTTCCCATAGATGTCCTTCATCTTCTGGAATTTCTCTTGGTTGGCCTTTGCTTGTTCTGCATCGTCAAGCATCAATCACAGATCAACATCCATAAAACTAGCCTTGTCGATCCTCCCAAGCAACCACTACATTCCCACAAAAAACATGGACCCATCATCCATCCTGCTACTTAGTTTAGGAACTCATGCTGTTTACGATTTTGTAGTCATGTGTTTTGCTTGTCACCGCAGTCAGCAAATACTTCCTCCACCAGTGTGGTATGATAACATGCAACCAAGCAACAGAGCATGACGTGGGAGGAAAGTCTCAATTGGTTTGGTTTGGTTTGTTGTTTAACACCACACTCAGTAATATTTCAGCTATATGACGGCGGTCTGTTGGTTGGTTTGTTGTTTAATGCCACACTCAGTAATATTCAAGCTATATGACGGTGGTCTGTTGGTTGGTTTGTTGTTTAATGCCACACTCAGCAATATTCCAGCTATATGACGGTGGTCTGTTGGTTGGTTTGTTGTTTAATGCCACACTCAGCAATATTCCAGCTATATGACGGTGGTCTGTTGGTTGGTTTGTTGTTTAATGCCACACTCAGCAATATTCCAGCTATATGACGGTGGTCTGTTGGTTGGTTTGTTGTTTAATGCCACACTCAGCAATATTCCAGCTATATGACGGCAGTCTGTAAATAATCGAGTCTGGACCAGACAATCCAGTGATTGATATCATGAGCATCGATCTACAGAATTGGGATTAATGACATGCATCAACAAGGTGAGCGAGCCTGACCACCCGATCCCGTTAGTCGCCTCTTGCAGATAAGCATGGGCGCCTTTTACAGCAAGCATGGTTTGCTGAAGACCTATTCTACCCCGGATCTTCATGGGTCGAAAGTCTCAATTGAAACCCAAAAGCATGGGTGTGGTGCTGACAAACCGAGAAACACAATCAGGGTGATTCTGGGATTCCAACCCAGCAGATAACAAGGATGACAAGGATGACCAAGTGCACTAAGGTACAGTGTCCGAAACAACTGCCTGTCTGCCCGTGGCTGGTAACCTTTCTGTCAGGCTGCATGAAATGTACCTCCACCTGTCCGACAGTCTGGCAGATCATTTTAAGACTACTTTTGCATTCAGTTTATCATAAGTCCTCGTACATTTTCAAGTAATTGTTTGCATTACTTCAGCTGAATCAAGATGTGATTTGTCTCTTATTTTTCATGATTTTTCAATACTCACAACGTCTGAATGCAGGCAGGAACTTTGAAGATGGGCAGGCGACATCTATGGATCAACTGTCCGACTGTCTTGTTGGGTTTTAAAATAATTTCAGATACTGCTAAGGAAGCATACTCACTCTCGGCTTCAGGCAGTTTCGCCAGGGCATCTAGACTGGCCTGGGCTTCATCCCTTTCCTTCTTCATCATCTCACTGTCCTGGAAAAAACATGACACCACTATAACCTGGACAGGAAAACACATGACACCACTATAACCTGGACAGGAAAACACATGACACCACTATAACCTGGTCAGGAAAACACATGACACCACTATAACCTGGACAGGAAAACACATGACACCACTATAACCTGGACAGGAAAACACATGACACCACTATAACCTGGTCAGGAAAACATATGACACCACTATAACCTGGACAGGAAAACACATGACACCACTATAACCTGGACAGGAAAACACATGACACCACTATAACCTGGACAGGAAAACACATGACACCACTATAACCTGGACAGGAAAACACATGACACCACTATAACCTGGTCAGGAAAACACATGACACCACTATAACCTGGACAGGAAAACACAAATATAATTTGTTCAAAATAAAATGTATCCAAAAAGTAAATATTTGCTGGACATACAAGATGTCCTGAAATATCCTGCCTCAGAATATTACATGGAGGGTTCCAAATTCAGCCATCTTAAAATAAGCACTGGGTGCTGGGTACCTCATCTGTCCAAGGGGCCTTCATCTTGAACTTGAACTGTATTTCAGTTTTATCACAGCTTGTCAAGGACAAAACCCCAGAATGGTGCAAGTAGTAGACATTTAGTACTTTAGTAAAATAGACAAGCACTGGTGTGGCACTGACAAACCATGGACCATGATCAGGGATCATCAGAGATTCAAACCCTCAGTAATCAGATCCTGGTCAGCCAAAGGGATGCAACTCTGCACATCAAGTTGCAATGCCTCAGATGACTGAACCATCATTACCCTACATCAGTTTGCTTCTTGCAGATTGTAAGATCTTCTACCTTTAATGCTTTGTCAGCCGATAACCTGAGTTCTGATAACAGCTTCTCCATCTTGCTGATTTCATCCTTTAAAGACTGGATGATTCTTCCATCCTGGAAGAGACAGAATTATATCACAACATTCCTGGAAGATTTATAACGAGTACTGCATAGGCACATACTTTTCAAAGTTCATGACAAGAAGTTCAAACACTTTACACTATGTATTCTATACTTCAAGACAAAGTAGGTCTGCTTACTTAGGGTGGTGGTTGGGATGTCATTGTTTGTCAACAACAGGAATACTAGCCTGACAGAGTATTAGTACTGATATTTTGTCTCAAAAGCATCTTGATACATCAATATATTGTATTAATAATACAATTAATTATTCTAATGTATATTGATAAAAATTAAATATGAAGACCTGAAATTAATCAATTTAATGCTAAATGTGCAACGGGCTGATCCATAAGATGTTTAAAATATAATTTCTGCATTCTCTTGTCCATCTTAACAATGGTAATCTTAATAAATGGAAACGTTTCTCTGGCAGTGAATTAATAATTTAGTATCAATATTCATAAATTTGTATCGATTCATCAACATGATGAATATATCAATACATCGATATCGTGATGTATGATGTTATATTAGATTGCTACGTGATAAATCGCAAAGAACAATGAAGAACGAAGCGTGGTTTACTGTTCATCTAGTACAGATTAAGATAATGTCTGTCTTGCTGAGACAGCTACGTATAGAAATTCACAGATAAGCAAGACACACGTTTAATCTTGATTGTAGAAAATCCTGATCTGCCTCTTGAACATGAGACATTATTGATCACACATTGATATTTCCATCAATCAAGTGACAGCCAGAGGCTGTAGGAACTATACCTCTGTCTTGAGTCGATGCAGCTCTTGCTTCAGGAACTCAATCTCTCTGTGCAGTCGTTCTATCAGCAGGTCACTGCAGGACAAATATTCAACAATAATATAAGGCAGACACAATTTTATGAATAACAACTTCTTTAATACTGTAAAATGTGACGTTTCGGTATAGATCCTGATACCGTTCTCAAGCAGGGAAATTGGTATCAGGATCTATACCGAAACGTCGCTTTTCACAGTATTAAAGAAGTTGTTATCCATAAAATTGTATCTACCTTGTCACCCGTCAACTTCTAAGTAATGCCTATCAAACAAGTCAACAATATTATATCAAATGGATATTTCAAACTGATCCTTCGCCTTCATTTTCACAGTTTGCTCATATTATTACTTCTTTTAATATCATCTCTCGCGAAAGACATGTTTATGTCAAACAATTTGAGATATGCTAGCCAAAAACCTCTAAAATCTCTATTTGTTTCAAACATTTTTTGCCACATATCCATATTTGAGTGTTGATTCAAATAAAGAAAACTATTAGTCCCTTGACTGACATTAGTCTTGATAAGTATCTCTTAGATAAGCTAACTTCAGTGGAGAAAACTTGTCCCCAATGCACACACTATGAACTAAGTAAAATATCATGGATCAAGGGCCATAACCCTGAAAAAAAGATTTACAGGACTTTTTTCCAAACACAGTCTTGACAAGTATCTCTGAAAGCATGCAAACTTCCATTCAAGTAACTTCAGTAGTTTCTGAGAAAACTTGTCCCCATTTCACACAGTATGCACGCAATAATTGAAGAGCGCAATAGCAAGGGAACACTGTCTCCAACTAGAAAAGAATTCTTATGGTCCAGTAAAATCAGCTTTTACTAGTTCATATACTAAGACTAACACCTACTGAAAATGCAAAATATAAAAGTTTACAAGTACCGTATTTGCGCCCAGGGAGCTCTCAAAATTAGAAATAGGGGGCTCTTATTAGAAGACTATTTTGGTGAAAGATTGTAAATTTCATGGTTTATGCTGACAGCCTGAAATGTTTCTATACGACTGATATATTTTTCCAGAATTTAATTACCCATACTAAAGGGTGCATAACACACGAGTGCGTATTATACGTGAATAAATAAGTCTTGTGTACATTGATCAATCGAAAGGGGTGCTAATTGAGATTGTTCACTAGCCAATATATTAGAAAATATCGCCGTTGGCGCTTATGAGAGCAGGGCGCTTATTACGTTGAATATGGTAACTAAAAACATGTCACACACTGTAATACATCATATCATGTAACTCACCGTTCATCTGGTTCAGGTGGTCGTCCGTTGAAATTGAATGCGCCCATCTCCTGTCCAAAAGTTTTGTCAAATCTGTCATTCTGAGGCAGGAAAACAAGAACATGCCACACTGTCAGCAGAGGCTCAAGCAGACGGTTAGAGCAGACGCAGGAAAGGGAGGTCAAGGTCAGAGGTCAAGGTGATAAGGGCAATTTCCAGGTGAGAAAGATATCAAACAGCAAATTCAGAAAACTATTCTGCTTATGTAACTTTCAGGTGTTTAACTGTAACAAACAATCCTATAAAACAGGATTTGAATCAAGGGAGACACCTACTAATACTCTTTGGATTTAACATTTTCTGATCTTATTAAGTCAAAACCATGAATCAAATTATCCCAAATCCTTGCTTAGAAAGGATACTTTATATGTTGTATATTCAGGATAAAAAAATAATAATCACAATTTCAATCACAGTGATCAAAATATTGGTTGGAGGTCAAGGCATCCTTGTAATAATCCTATTGTAAACTAGAGAAAATGATTAAGGGGCCCTTAGATCAAAACATTTGAGGCATATGCCCTTTAATTTGTACCACTGTATCTGGGGTTGGTCAGGGCCACTAGTCGGAAACCACTGAAACCTTTCAAAAGTTGTGGCTAGTTCCTGATGTCCCGAATGTGTTTGCTGTTTCGTCCTATCCCCCTGTGTATATGTGGGGTTGTTAGTGATGAAGGTTTCTACAACTAGGCCGAATAATTCCAGTCAAGGCATGCACAGATCAATGTTCAGCTCAGGATTTCAGCTGGTAGTAAGGCGGTATGCCATACATCCTCTATTTTCCAGGGAATTATATCTCAATTCTAATATGATAGATACGCCGGACCCACTCACCATTCAGCTTCATTTTGAGTCTGGTTCTAATGAAATGATGCTAAATATAGCCAACCCATGAAATTTCAGAAGTAAAACAAGTTGTGATATCACCTGTGCTCAACTCAATCATACTGAGTGAGTTTGTTTTAACACTGCTTTGAACAGTATTCCAGTAAGATCACAGTGTGTCAGTTTAATGTGGGAGGAAACCCCGCAATGATGCAGGTCTCAGACATTTACCACTTTGGTAAAACCCACGAGCCTAGAAACATAATTGGGGCGAATTGGGATTTAAAGCCACAATCATAGGTTTCTGGCGCGCCCAAGGGATGCAATTCTGCACAGCGAATTGCAGCACCTTAGACGACTGGGCAACTTGTGCCCCCAAACTCAATCAGTCTCGAATACAACTGGGAATGCCTTGTTGCATATTTAGTCCTCGCGTCTTCATACACATTAAAAAGGAAATCCATCAAGACATCATTTATAACAGTCTACTGATTTGGCAAAATACATCAAAGGCTCACTGGTATGACTCTGCAATTTTGAATGTAGATCTATGCCAACATAAAATTGCAAGTGACTTCATCCCATTTGATTGGCTCAACAAGCAATTGTTATTGCATGTGTGTTTCCACAAACCGAAGAAAAAGGGCCATGCTTCATTAACAGACTACTGTTTCCCAAATGGTTGATAAGAGAAGGACAGGGCTTGTTTTGCATTATTGTGCTTAACACTGAGACTTCATATTGTGAGCAAGAGAGCAAGAGAAATTCTGTGTAATAGGTGTGAGTGAGTGAGTGTGGTTTTACATCGCTTTTAGCAAAATGCCAGCAATATCACGACGGGGGACACCAGAAATGGGCTTCACACATGGAACCCATGTCGGGAAATCGAACCTGGGTTTTCAGAATGATGAGCAAACACTTTAACCACTAGGCTACCCGATCGCCCCTGTGTAAAAGGAGAGACGATGGCATCACTGACAAGAAGCTGTGGTGGCAATGGGTCCACAATATCTATCAATAGAATGGAGAAATGACACTGGATAAATGAGGATGGATACTATAGAGTCTAGCAACAACAGGCATTGTGCTTCGGAAGATCAGTAGCGACTGTTATTTGAACTGAGATTTCTACAGATAGTTTTCATGAACATGTTAATAAAATCACAAACAATTAGAGTTAAACATGGCGAAATGTGTCAATCAATCATTAGTGTAACTGTTAAATTAATACTTCTGTTAGTCTTGTTAAAAAGAGAACAGCTCTTCCTTTATGCATAGATGTCAGTAGCAGGTATGACATGCAGACTTGTCAGCACATTCCAACTACAGCTACTTGGTAAATAAAGACCTACTTCTTATCTTCTGTCTAGACACAACTACTAAAACTACAATCACATACAGATCAAATCAAGCATCCTAAAATCCTAACATGGTAACTCTTCTATAGTTATCAATACAGAATGATATAAATTACTGTGAAACACTGTTGTGTTGCTTCGTCCCTATGTATTCCTTATAATTATCATTATCGGTTGTGTCGAACCTTGGATAACTCAAAATAGTCCCATCAACTTTGACACAACAGTGTTTGACTGTATATGGTATGTTTCTTGTTGAACGCCGCACTCAGCAATATTCCAGCTACATGATGGTGGCCTGTAAATAATCAAGGCTGCACAAGACACTCCAGTAATTCATATCGTGAGCATCGATCCGTGTCTTTGGGATCACAGAGCCTGACCACCCTATTCCATTAAGTCACATCCTGAAGCAGCAAAGAATGCTGGGATCAATGACCCGGATCCCCCAGCTCCCCAAATATTCGCCTTTTACAACCAGCAATGAGGTGCTGGGGACACATTCTACCCCGGGTCTACACGGGGCAAACATTGATTACCATGTGATGATATTCCATCACACAGATATTCACGTCTCACTAGGCAATAATCAATAGATTTGTTAGCTTATTTAAAATGAAATGTTTTCCCAATGAGGCATTTCAAATCAGAAGCTTTAAGGCTTTAAAAAAAATGTCTTGGTTTTCAGGCACCGCCCGTATCATCATAAAGTTTGCCGAATGTTTCATTTTTATTTCCATTTTTAAAACAAACGAACAAAAATCCTTAAATATTCCAAGTCCAACGGTAGTCAAATACTGTACTCCAGTATTTATTCATCAAGGAATACATTTATGTAGGGAGGCCCTTTCCAAGGTTGATTGTACACAACTGTTTATTTGGTTACACAACTATTCATTTGGTTACATACCATCCTAGTTTGAACAACTCAAAACAAACAAAAAACACCGCCCACCCGCACTATATTTTCAAAAGCCATTGCTGGAGAACCAATTCTTTTATTTTTTAAGCCTTATGGTCACTTTTCATAAACTTTTCTTGCATGAAGCTGCAAAGCTGTTACCTCCGTTGTGTCTATGAGGTTGCCCACTGATTCCACCTCTGGGGTGTCGAGCTCTGGTTCCGGTTCCGGCTCTGGTTCTGATGGCACCACTGCTACAGGCTTCACATGCTTACTGATGTCAGAGGCTATCAAGAAGTTGGGTGGTTCCTGAGAAGGCAACCAAGGAATTATTTTCAGAGAGAAAGCATCAGGGTCAACAAAATATTATCAGTGAGTGAATTTATTCTTCTGATCATCGCGTATCAAATTAATAGAGTAATAATATCAGGTATGGTTTTCTCAATCACTCATTGAGCATGTGCATAAAGGTCAAAGGTCAAGGTCATTTCTATTTCCATGCTATTTGTAGGAGTGAATACTTCACATTAACATTTAATACTGCTTTCATGAAAACCTACTGAAACAGGAAATTGCCTGTCAAATAATCTTTTATCAGAAAGCTTTCAGCAACACTGACGTGTGTTTGCTTTGGCCAGAACTCTCCCTGAAGCTAAACCAGGAAGGTTTTGACTGAGCACTGTGCACAAGTCAGTACACAATCTGTTTTTCACCCAAAAAAATGAACTCCTAAGGATGGCGTGCTCCTTATACACAGGTGGGAAATATATAGACAATGTCATGCAAGAGTCTTCTGAAATCAAATATATCAAGACGAGTTGAAAGTTACAAATATCCAAAGTTTACTGAGCTTGGAAGACATGAAGGTGACATTCTATTTATCATCCAAAATTATTATTCCAAATGTTTCTGTTTGTAAACAGTAATATCAAGTGCCTTGAGTGTAAATAGTACAGCTAAGCAGCTTCAGTGGCAGAGAGATAAGTGATGTCATTTGACTGTGATGTCATGGTACCTGATGATGTCACAATGGTCTGCAAAGCATTGTGATGCAATTTCACTGAAGCAATATTTCCAAGGAGATGATCACTTGATCTCATCCAAGAGATATCTACTGTGGAAGCCAATTTTGGATGATATACATCAGAATACACCAGTACACAGAGATGTCAGGATACCAAGACAAATGTCCGACATTAGATATGTCAAGAAGAACACTTCCCAGGGATTCATCCAGGAGTCCCTGGTAGTTGCTCCATACATGCCTAGCATCTCAAACCCATATTCCCCCATGACACCCAATGCCTCACCTCCGGCAATGCGGGGACCTGGACTAGATTCTTGAAATACTGAAGTGTGGCACTGCTGTGGTAGAACTGTTTTAGCCTGAAACACCAATTATTCACAGTGAGAATCCTACATTATTAGTACATCAAAGATTAGATTTGAACCACAAATGTATATCCACAAAAACTGTTATGACAGTAACAGTGCTCGTAGTTTTTCGTATACTATTTAATATGAAACAGAAACTGCAGTAGGACATACCATACAGACAGTTATTATGAACTATTTCAGCAGTTCTGAATGCTTTATCATATAACATCGACAGAGGTAACTAATTCTGCACAAATAATTAATGACTAAAATGACCAACCCAAAGTGACCAAACAAATTATTTATTTCTTACTTAGTAACCAGCTGGTCAATCTCAATCAGTCTGAGCAACCAAGTTGAGCCACTGAGCCTCTTACAATTGGCAGAGGTTTCTGGGTAGCAATACTAACCTGGAATCCCCACAGGGGCCTATGGCAAACAAGTATTTGTCACAGAGTGACGAAATATCCCCCGCCATATACACCATAGTACCAAATATGAAGACAATCCAGCGATTAGTTCTTGAGATATTGTGGCAACACCGTTTTCCATCTCCAAAAACAGATTTGCCTGCTGTGACCTTGAAAATGGGGTCAAGGTCACCAAATCTGACAGGTGTATGCGGTGTCTATATATACACTATAGTTCCAAATATGAAGACAATCCAGCGATTAGTTCTTGAGATATCGCGGCAACACCGTTTTCTAACTCCAAAAGCAGATTTGCCTGCTGTGACCTTGAAAATGGGGTCAAGGTCACCAAAACCGACTGGTGTCTGCGGTGTCTGTATATACACCATAGTTCCAAATATGAAGACAACCGAGAGGTTTAGTTCTTGAGATATCGCGGCAACACCGTTTTCCAACTCTAAAAGCAGATTTGCCTGCTGTGACCTTGAAAATGGGATCAAGGTCACCAAAACCGACTGGTGTCTGCGGAGTCTGTATATACACTATAGTTCCAAATATGAAGACAATCCAGTGTTTAGTTCTTGAGATATCGCGGCAACACCGTTTTCTAACTCCAAAAGCAGATTTGCCTGCTGTGACCTTGAAAATGGGGTCAAGGTCACCAAAACCGACTGGTGTCTGCGGTGTCTGTATATACACCATAGTTCCAAATATGAAGACAACCGAGAGGTTTAGTTCTTGAGATATCGCGGCAACACCGTTTTCCAACTCTAAAAGCAGATTTGTCTGCTGTGACCTTGAAAATGGGATCAAGGTCACCAAAACCGACTGGTGTCTGCGGAGTCTGTATATACACTATAGTTCCAAATATGAAGACAATCCAGTGTTTAGTTCTTGAGATATCGCGGCAACACCGTTTTCCAACTCTAAAAGCAGATTTGTCTGCTGTGACCTTGAAAATGGGATCAAGGTCACCAAAACCGACTGGTGTCTGCGGTGTCTGTATATACACCATAGTTCCAAATATGAAGACAATCCAGTGTTTAGTTCTTGAGATATCGCGGCAACACCATTTTCCAACTCTAAAAGCAGATTTGTCTGCTGTGACCTTGAAAATGGGATCAAGGTCACCAAAACTGACTGGTGTCTGCGGAGTCTGTATATACACCATAGTTCCAAATATGAAGAAAATCCAGTGTTTAGTTCTTGAGATATCGCGGCAACACCGTTTTCCAACTCTAAAAGCAGATTTGTCTGCTGTGACCTTGAAAATGGGATCAAGGTCACCAAAACCGACTGGTGTCTGCGGAGTCTGTATATACACCATAGTTCCAAATATGAAGACAATCCAGTGTTTAGTTCTTGAGATATCGCGGCAACAAACAGGTGGGACGTACGGACGGACGTACGGACGGTCGTGAATACTATATCCCCCGCTTCTCGCTTTCGCGCGGCGGGGGATAATAACACTGACATAACAAAGATGATCGTGTCTCCAATTCTTTAACATAGGCCTACAATAGTCGTAGCGCCAAGATCGCTTTGTGCAAGTGGGCCCAGACCATTTGGTTGCCTCTTACAATTGGCATAGGTTTCTGGGGACCAATTCTAACCTGCAATCCCCACAGGGGCCTTTTGTAACCTACCTCTTGTAACCCTTGAGGAATCTCTCCCGGTGACCTGAGAGTGTGTCGGGTGTCAGACCTGCAACGGGAGGGGTGTGAGTGAGTTGTATAACAGTATTTCAGCAACATTATTGGCTGAATGTGGGAGGTAAGCCCAATACATGTCTCAGACCATTTCCACCATGGTGAAACCCACAAATAAAGGTAAGGCTAACAAACCAATAACCATAATTAGGTCTATCTGGAAATCAACCAACAAACCGAAGCTACTGGCATGCCTAAGCTACTGGCATGCCTAAGGGCTGCATGTATAGCCGGGGAATTGTAGCACTTCAGACAACTGGGTCTCCGTGACCTACAATAACCCCAAAACAGGTCAAGACCTGACGACTGATTTTTCCTTTTGCAGTCTGTTGACAAATGCAACAGCGGGACCAGACAATCCAGTGATTCACATCAGGATACTATTAGGTCACAATGAAATGCATTAACCAAGTCAGCGAGCCAAACCACCCAATCCCAGTAGTCACGTCTTACGATTCTAACCCCGGATCTTCGATGGGGTTATTTTATTTTACTGACGTAAATTGAATCGGTTTGTATGCATAATTGGTCTTAATTGTAACAAGTAATATCTGAAAAACTGGAGTGAATGTTATGTCGAGTCAGTAAAATCTGTAAAATCTGCACCCAAAGAGTGAGTGCATGTTATGTCAAATCAGCAATACTCCAGCAATATTGTGGTGGTCAGGCAGACTAGGGTGTTCATAGCATGAGCAATAATATCTGCTGTGGTACCATGACACCCAGGCCAGGTCATGCTTTGTTTGTTTGTTTATTTGTTGTTTAACGACGCCCACAGCAATATTATAACTATATAAGGGCATTCTGTAAATAATTGATTCTGGACCAGACAATCCAGTGATTGACATAATGAGCATCGATCCAAGTAATCGGAATACGATGACATGCATCAACCAAGTCAGCGAGCCTGACCACCCTTATCCCATTAGAAGCCTTTTACGACAAGCATGGGTTGCCTAAGCCCTATTCTACCCCAGAGTTACGTAGGGATAAACACAATTAGCCTCAGTCATCCTTAAACTTGTGTGGATGCTGGTGTCACTCACTAGAATGAAGTCGGAAGAGAGACTTGACCAGGTAGTCATACAGCTGGCATGAGTCAAGGATACACAGGATGAGGGGAGCGAGGCGGCACTGTCCCGACGTCGTCATAGAGTTGGCCCGGGACATGTCCAGTGAACCGAACACTAAGTAAAGAAAGAAAAAAACATACAAAGTTACAATAGAAGCAGTAGGATTAGGTTTTAAAATTCATATGTGCCTTAATTAATACAAAATTGCCTTAGTTTGGTTTGAAATATCTAAACAGTGATAACTGTTTATCGCCCTCGCTATTATCCTGGTATTTGTCCCCCTTCCAGTTGTTACCTGCTTGCTGGAAGCTGAGAATCTCATCCAGGTAATCCAGCATGTCGATGGAGAACTCAAAGCTGAAACATTCAGAAGACGCTACTGTCCCTGAGGCCAAATATTTCATGTTGAGGTATTTGGGCAAACAGTCTATTAAATACATTTTACATTGTGGACACTGCTATTTTTCAAAGAAAACACTGAACATCCCATGACTGTATATCAGTTAAATGTCAGAAAGTGAACAATGTATTAGACAATACATACTACTCCTACAACCCTTAACTTGCTGAAGGAGATGACCTTGCGACTCATTTATCATCAGACTTTAATAATTAAAGTGTATTTTTTAATTGTGATATATAATTTACTGATAAATGAAAATTGAGGAGCCCTGATGAATTTGGAATCATATCAGAATATACGTACTAGCTGTTCACATCGGATCCACAAATTTTGTTGAAAGTTTCATCGGACATCATCATGTTTCCTGGAATTCGGGGAAACTGAAAGAAAACCAATCAAAGACAGCTGAAAATTTTGCTTTAGAACACAATGTACATGCTGGTGAGTGAGTGAGTGAGTGAGTGAGTGAGTGAGTGAGTGAGTGAGTGAGTGAGTGAGTGAGTGAGTGAGTGAGTGAGTGAGTGAGTGAGTGAGTCAGTCAGTGAGTGAGTGATTATGTTACACTATCAACCAAGTCTGATCACCAGTTCCATTTACTTTGTTGTTGGTTTGTATGTTGTTTATCGCCGCACTCAGTAATATCCCAGCTAGATGACGGGGGTCTATAAATAATAGAGTCTGAACCAGACACTCCAGTGATTGACATCATGAGCATCGATCTATGCAAATTGGATACAGTGACATGCACCAACCAAGTCACCACCCGATCCCATCAGTCGCCTCTTACAAGCATGAGTGGCAGAAAATCAATTCTAACCCGGATCTTCATGGTTTAGATCCTTTTAAAAGTCACATTGCATGATAAACATAGGTTACTTTTGACCTTACAAAACCAGTTTGAGTTGCATCTTACAGAACAATAGGGTACTGGGTGCAGCCTGTACCTGCAGGTCAGTTTGTAGCAGATGTTCTGTTTCTTACCTTCCTGTGGAAGGCTAGCTTCTGCTTCAGCATCTTACAGAACAATAGGGTACTGGGTGCAGCCTGTACCTGCAGGTCAGTTTGTAGCAGCTGATCTGTTTCTTACCTTCCTGTGGAAGGCTAGCTTCTGCTTCAGCATCTTACAGAACAATAGGGTACTGGGTGCAGTCTGTACCTGCAGGTCAGTTTGTAGCAGCTGATCTGTTTCTTACCTTCCTGTGGAAGGCTAGCTTCTGCTTCAGCATCTTACAAAACAATAGGGTACTGAGTGCAGCCTGTACCCGCAGGTCAGTTTGTAGCAGCTGATCTGTTTCTTACCTTCCTGTGGAAGGCTAGCTTCTGCTTCAGCATCTTACAAAACAATAGGGTACTGAGTGCAGCCTGTACCTGCAGGTCAGTTTGTAGCAGCTGATCTGTTTCTTACCTTCCTGTGGAAGGCTAGCTTCTGCTTCAGCATCTTACAAAACAATAGGGTACTGGGTGCAGCCTGTACCTGCAGGTCAGTTTGTAGCAGCTGATCTGTTTCTTACCTTCCTGTGGAAGGCTAGCTTCTGCTTCAGCATCTTACAAAACAATAGGGTACTGAGTGCAGCCTGTACCTGCAGGTCAGTTTGTAGCAGCTGATCTGTTTCTTACCTTCCTGTGGAAGGCTAGCTTCTGCTTCAGCATCTTACAAAACAATAGGGTACTGAGTGCAGCCTGTACCTGCAGGTCAGTTTGTAGCAGCTGATCTGTTTCTTACCTTCCTGTGGAAGGCTAGCTTCTGCTTCAGCATCTTACAAAACAATAGGGTACTGGGTGCAGCCTGTACCTGCAGGTCAGTTTGTAGCAGCTGATCTGTTTCTTACCTTCCTGTGGAAGGCTAGCTTCTGCTTCAGCATCTTACAGAACAATAGGGTACTACTGGGTGCAGCCTGTACCTGCAGGTCAGTTTGTAGCAGCTGATCTGTTTCTTACCTTCCTGTGGAAGGCTAGCTTCTGCTTCAGCATCTTACAAAACAATAGGGTACTGAGTGCAGCCTGTACCTGCAGGTCAGTTTGTAGCAGCTGATCTGTTTCTTACCTTCCTGTGGAAGGCTAGCTTCTGCTTCAGCATCTTACAAAACAATAGGGTACTGGGTGCAGCCTGTACCTGCAGGTCAGTTTGTAGCAGCTGATCTGTTTCTTACCTTCCTGTGGAAGGCTAGCTTCTGCTTCAGCATCTTACAGAACAATAGGGTACTACTGGGTGCAGCCTGTACCTGCAGGTCAGTTTGTAGCAGCTGATCTGTTTCTTACCTTCCTGTGGAAGGCTAGCTTCTGCTTCAGCATCTTACAAAACAATAGGGTACTGAGTGCAGCCTGTACCTGCAGGTCAGTTTGTAGCAGCTGATCTGTTTCTTACCTTCCTGTGGAAGGCTAGCTTCTGCTTCAGCATCTTACAAAACAATAGGGTACTGGGTGCAGCCTGTACCTGCAGGTCAGTTTGTAGCAGCTGATCTGTTTCTTACCTTCCTGTGGAAGGCTAGCTTCTGCTTCAGCATCTTACAAAACAATAGGGTACTGAGTGCAGCCTGTACCTGCAGGTCAGTTTGTAGCAGCTGATCTGTTTCTTACCTTCCTGTGGAAGGCTAGCTTCTGCTTCAGCATCTTACAAAACAATAGGGTACTGAGTGCAGCCTGTACCTGCAGGTCAGTTTGTAGCAGCTGATCTGTTTCTTACCTTCCTGTGGAAGGCTAGCTTCTGCTTCAGCATCTTACAAAACAATAGGGTACTGAGTGCAGCCTGTACCTGCAGGTCAGTTTGTAGCAGCTGATCTGTTTCTTACCTTCCTGTGGAAGGCTAGCTTCTGCTTCAGCATCTTACAAAACAATAGGGTACTGGGTGCAGCCTGTACCTGCAGGTCAGTTTGTAGCAGCTGATCTGTTTCTTACCTTCCTGTGGAAGGCTAGCTTCTGCTTCAGCATCTTACAGAACAATAGGGTACTACTGGGTGCAGCCTGTACCTGCAGGTCAGTTTGTAGCAGCTGATCTGTTTCTTACCTTCCTGTGGAAGGCTAGCTTCTGCTTCAGCAGCTTACAGTACGATGCTATCAGTTTGCCATATCCCTCCTTAAGATGACCCTGGAAGGGAGACACATTCATCATGTTCATTGGAGTAGATTTAATTGAATGCATATGCTCAATATGTGAAATAATTGCCTGCCCTCTACCCCGTAGCTACTTGCTTTTCTTTCCAGCAAGTGAAAAAGAATTGATGTCATGAGCCCAACTGGCTAGCTTAATTTTCTACCTAGTGAGCTATATTTAGACCTCATACCCTACCTCAAATGGGAAATATTGATTGAGAAATAAGACCAATTTAAAAAAACAAAAAGACAAACATACCACCTCTCATTGTTCGGCTCTAGTTCTGACAGAAACATGTTTGATATTGACTGGTCTTAACCATGTTGAATCTTGAAATAACTTTTCCCTCACTCAGATGCTAACCAATTTCTTGTATTTGGTAGTGGTGTAACGATACGGCGATACAGTATTGTATCCCGATGCACAGTCCACGATACGATGCATCGATTTGGAAAGCATGTATCGCGATACATACGATATTTTCATGACACAGTTTTACTTAATGAGTTTTGATGTTTTTCCCCCATGGAAAGACATTACCGTGCACGATACACCGGAAATACCATGTCAACAAATCCATACTGAAGTTCGCAAATTATTCATGTAATTACACTGTCTGGCTATAAAAAGTGTTCTTTGTATATCTGGACTTATGTTTGTAACTTATTTCATTAATATTATTCAAAATTCCTTTAATATTGTTTTTATTAATTTCGGCGAAATCGTGTGTGAAGCGATCGGAAGATCGCACAACTCACCGTTATTAACAGCAACCACGGTCAGATTACCGCTATTGACGCCTTGAAACAAACTTTAGTTGACAGAGAATGGATACATATATCATAAATGCCATACTTTGATTCGTTAAAAGTCATATTTGTTTTTGTTGGACGATTCTATGTCAACACGTAATTCTCGCGATCACGTGCACGGGAGCCTTGACGGTGACTGGTCAGACTGGTTCCATGTAAAAAATAATACCCGACAATAGCGATCAGCTGCTTCGCTTAGGGTTATTATTATTTTAAATATGTTTAGCTGCATCTAAATTAACAAGATATTGGAATATATTATTCCTGATAAAAAAATAGTTTCAGATACAACTTTTGCCGATCCTTGCATTAAAATCCTGTAAAGTTATATCATTGGGTGTCTCTTGACCGAATCACCGGTAGATTCCAAGAAAACGTGTGTACAGCTGATTGCTGTGTCCGGCTTAGTTTACGAGAAAATACACAAGGTAATCTTAATCCCTGGATATAAAACAATGCCTAGCTGAACAAAAAATACAATTTAAACGGTAAATCAACATGTCTGGTGATTTTTAATTTTTCGAATTTGTACTGACGAAGTTTCTCATCACCCGTTCGTTTGCCGGACTTCGCTGAAGACCCGCTAGAGGGGGTGCGCATTATACATAGGTGCGCACTATACTCAAGAAAATACGGTACTTTTAAACATGAAACAGTTTAACAATTTCAAAGCCAGTTTGTTGTTTCAGTAAAACATACTGTATTGCTGACAATTTGCTATAACAGTAAATAAACACCTTATATCTTCTTCAACTGTACTTGTCACATCTTTTAGAGAGCAGAAAGACATCAACTTGGCTTAGCTTGTACCAGTAAACACTGTATCGTGATACGTATCGTATCGCGACCCTCCCGTATCGTTACACATCTAGTATTTGGTGGGTAAAAAAAATGGCTACTTAAATCTGCAATTGGCTAGTAAAATATGTGGCTAGTGCTGATGAAATAAATATTTCACACACGATATGCTGTCCAAAAACAGCCAAAGAGACCAACCCATTGAGATCCCTCCCATGACTAACTAACAATGTGACCCCTGAGTTACCTTGAGCTATCAAGTCTACTGCCATCTAATTAGTTAATTACACTTTCTACTCAAGCTCTCACTATGCAGACTAGAGCTGCCAGCCTGATAGTTCTGTGTCACAAGTACCTACTCTTTCACACATTAATGAGAAAATCTAAAAGAGAAAACAGCCATTTCACAGCTTCCATCCCTCTAAATCACTAAATCATGTAGATAGAGATCTGTATCACACATTACCACTAACTAGCATGGAACCCAATACCTCAAATCAGAGGGGCCAAATTCTTCACATATGTGATGTAGATAACTCCAACCATCGACATCTCTATCATGTAACATGTATTTCCTGAACTACTGTGCTTGACATAACTTGTGATAACTGCTGAACACCACTTGCTTACATTTGGTTTGTGTGCTGTTTAACCCCACACTCAGCAATATTCCAGCAATATCCAGTGATTGATATCATGAGCATCGGTCCACGCAATTGGCATCGATTAGTGAGTGACTACTGTTGAACACCACTTGGGCATAACCCATTCTACAGAAGAGTATGCCAAAAGCAGGATCAGACATGGCCACTAATCCTGAGACTAGTGAGTGACTACTGTTGAACACCACTTGGGCATAACCCATTCTACAGAAGAGTATGCCAAAAGCAGGATCAGACTTGGCCACTAATCCTGAGCCTAGTGAGTGACTACTGTTGAACACCACCTTGGCTTAACCCATTCTGCAGAACAGTATGCCCAAAGCAGGATCAGACATGGCCACTAATCCTGAGACTAGTGAGTGACTACTGTTGAACACCACTTGGGCATAACCCATTCTGCAGAAGAGTATGCCCAAAGCAGGATCAGACATGGCCACTAATCCTGAGACTAGTGAGTGACTACTGTTGAACACCACTTGGGCATAACCCATTCTGTAGAAGAGTATATCCAAAGCAGGATCAAACATGGCCACTAATCCTGAGACTAGTGAGTGACTACTGTTGAACACCACTTGGGCATAACCCATTCTGCAGAAGAGTATGTCCAAAGCAGGATCAAACATGGCCACTAATCCTGAGCCTAGTGAGTGGCTACTGTTGAACATCATGTGCACATAAGCCATTCTCCAGAAGAGTAGTGAGTTTGGCTTAACCATGTTTTGAGCAGTATTTCAGTGACCTAACTGTGTGGCAGCTTGTTGTGGGAGGAAAGTGATGCAGGTCCTTGATGTTGCGCAGCTATGCTGCTTACAAAATCAGTGTGAATCTGGAATTTGAACCCATGATCATACAGGTTTCTGGCATACCAAAGGAATTCAACTCTGAATGTACAGCAAATTGTGGCACCTTCGGTGACTGGGCCATCTGCGCCCCTGAGACTGGTGACAATCCAGGACAACTTGAAGTAAGCACTCATATTCTTCCAAATTCAATTTATGTCACACAAACTACTAGTCTGAAATAAACCGTGGCCTTGCTTGATTTTACCCATCGTGTCCAGCTGTACAGCCATTAGCCTTATTCTACATTAGCAATGACTGGGTTCTTTGCTACAGAAATGTAGCGAACATATTTTCAAAGTTTTTATTTCCAAACCAATCTTCACTCATTTTGCATGTACATTGATGTATTGATGTTGGATTTTTGTATCATTTCCATTTATTTTGATTATTTAACCTGAAAGAGTTAATCAAAATTACAAGTATTTTGTAATAGTTCCCAACAAGGTGCCAAGGTGTCAGCAATGAATTGGGGGAGAAAATAAAACAATGTTACATATTGCAGTTTCGGGGTTGTGAAAAGCTGCAGATGATGCAGATGACAGCGGATCCTGGCCATGCTAAGGGAAGCAACTGTCAACAGCGAATATCAGGGTCAACTGTGTCCCCAAAACTCTGTATAATACAGTACATGTGTAGAACAGGAACACACATATCAACCTGTTCACACAGCTGTCTCGTCTCCAGCATGGCTGTATCAGGCCAGGTCTTCACCCTGCTATTCGTGTTATTCCACTCGATATAGTTGGCATGTTTTCTCAGAGTATACACAGGGGTTTTCACTCACTGAGTCATTTCCTTATAATGTCAGCATTTCAAACAACGTGAGGGAGTTGCTTTAACGTCACTTTGTCCAACTGCTGACTTCCACATCAATGTTATAACACTCGTACCTTATATACAATGGTGAATTCTTACTTAACATACTGAAGATCGTGCAAACATAGCTTCAATTAAAGTATTTTAGTTATATCACAGCTTGTTGGCTTTGGGAAAAAGCTTGAGTAAGGTCTTAGTCCTTGGTGAAACCATAAGCACCAGTGCATCAGACAAACCTAGAAACATTATCAGTGCAAATACTAGATTTGAACCCCCAGTCACAGGTTTGTGTCTCGTCTAAATTGTAGCAACAACATGTCACATAATGCCACACAAATTAGTTTTCTTTTTATACATATTCCTATTTCAATCAGAGAGTTCAGTGGAAGTAATGATCAATAGCTTCATGAAACTTACCTTCTGGTCCTTGATGTGCTTACTGGTACAATGAATGAACATTTATTTGTTCTTCATGTTTCTAAGTCCTATCATTGTCTTGTACAACAGGAATTGTACACAAGATGATTAGTTGTTTAAGCTGTACTTTTAGCTCCTATCAATTCAAACAGACTAGTACATAGAATTAGGAGTATCTCAAATTACTGACAAATGTTAACTCCTACATTATATAACTATGCTCACAGACATGAAGGCATTATTAATTCAACAAAGTCGAACTGTCTTCATCAAGTTTCAAGATTATGTTTAGCAGACAATTATTTTCTCAGCAAAGCAGCCTTTGAGCCTTAAAATAACCTCACATATGGTGTTGTTCTAAGTCCAAAACCTTCCCATGTTGAAAAAATCAAATTTTCTTACACATGAGTACAGCGTTAGAATATGGCACCAGTCAAGGGCCCACTTGCACAAAGCGATCTTAGCGCTAGAACTATTGTAAGCCTATGTTAAAGTATGGGAGTTACAGCGTTAGAATATGGCACTAGTCCTGTAGTCCTTGCCAAACTGCCCAATGGTTAAGGTGTCATAAGGACAAATAGAAATTTGCCATTTTAAAAGACTTTGCTATATGATATCATTATAAGGACCAGTGGACTAAAAATGTTAATTTCTACCGCTGGAGTACCTCTGATAGCTTTCATAATGAATTCTAAAGTCTTCCCCCTGGAACCAGTGGGTCAAAAAGGGCTATTATCATGTGGCATCATTTGTGTAATTAGTTTGTTTGTTTGTTCGTTGTTTAACACAGCACTAACCAAAATTTCAGCGTTATGACGGCACTCTGTAAATAATCTAGTCTGGACCAGACAATCCAGCGATTGACATCATGAGCATCGATCTACGCAATTGGGATACGATGACATGCATCAACCAAGTCAGCAAGCCTGACCACCCGATCCCGTTAGTCACCTCTTACGACAAAGATAGTCACCTCTTATTCAGTATGGGTTGCTGAAGACCTATTCTAACCCGGATCTTCACGGGTCTATCTTTTGTGTAAAGACATTATTTTTTTCTAATGACAAATGCCAAAGGTATACTTTTTCCATCAGAGAATGATGATCATACAACTCATTCAGTCCCATAAACACATCAAGTCTTTACAGCAAATTGCACATCAACAATGTTTGGCAGTGATGGTGTGATCAAAATGTCCAATAAATCAGCTGGAACACTGGATTCAATGGCCAAAAAATACATACTCTCTGACAACTAGTTCCATTTACACAGCAAGGAGAAAACTTAGATCCTTTTACAAGGCAGTTAGTCTGTCCAATGATAGTATCACAGCACAAGAATCAATACAGGTTCTTTCTACACTGGAACATGTCGTTGGGAAAATACTTTTTATCTGCTAGGAAGCTGAGAATGTACCAGAAAGACTGATTCCTGTGGGAAATGCTATGACAGGAACAAGTATTACTTCAATAGGCTAGAAACACTGTGCTCAGCATAAATGTAGTGCCTTGTCCCACAGGATGTGGGTGTATTGATGAATTATAGATGGCTAGTGTAAGGAAAATACCCACTGGACAAATTATCAAAGACAGCCAGACAGAACATAGAGTAACTTTCCAAAGGATTTCATGTAAAGTGATCATAAATAAAATGTGGGATGCTGAACTCTAGTCGACAAAAATATACCAAACTCAAATTAGACGCTACACAACCTAGGGACTTGACATGCTGAGAAATGAGCACTGATGCATTCTAACTATGTTGGTGTTAACAATTACAGGTTCTTTTCACATTGCAAACAACATGACCAATTACCACACGTAGATATTCTTTAGCCGTAATGGAGATAGATGTTCCAAGGCTCAAGAATGAACACAAGCATTACAGCTGTATCACAAGGTGCTGCAGTGTGTATTCAGGGCTTGAGCAGGCATACCGCTGGTTGATCATGACCATGAAGTCACCATGCACTGTCCGCACTAGGCAGCCATTGTGGCCACCCAATCCCCATGACAAGCATGAAGCAATACTTACCCATAGCTTTCCCAGGTCTGTGAGGTGACTCCTGTACTTCATGGAATCAATAATGACCTGCAAATATAATATGAACACTCTGAACAATCTCCATGTATCATCATCATCATCATCATCATGTGTGGTGAGGTAGCCTAGTGGTTAAAGCGTTCACTCGTCACATTGAAGTTCCGGGCTCAATTTCCCACATGCACACAATGTGTGAAGCCCATTTCTGGTGTCCCCCACTGCGATATTGCTGGAATATTGCTGAGAGGGGTGCAAAACCATACTCACTCACTCATCATCATCAACATCATTTGAAACCACAGCCATCACATTCACTTTATCACTTACTCCTTATCAACATCTCAAAACATTTCAGCATCAACAAGCATAATCATAACATAAAACATTATTGTATCATTGGTTGGTTTGTTGTTTAATGCCGCACTCAGCAATGTTCCAGCTATATGACGGCGGTCTGTAAATAATCAAGTCTGGACCAGACAATCCAGCGATTGATATGATGAGCATCGATCCATGCAATTGGGATTGATGACATGCATCAACAAAGTCAGCGAGCCTGACCACCCGATCCCATTAGTTGTCTTCTTATGACAAGCATAGTCACCTTTTACGGCAAGCATGGGTTGCTGAAACCTATTCTACCCCGGATCTTCACGGGTTTCATTGTATCATATAACATTTATACAAGCAACCAAATGGTTTTGACCCAGTTGCAATAAGATACAAGTTTGGAATAAGCATCATTATCATCAATGAGCCGTTTCATGAACCTCCAACTCGAGAAATCTTTATTACAACCACACAACTTGTGCTCTAGTGTAGATAAATATATAAACGTGCCTGTATCATGTGAACATCAAGTTCTTCTGAAAACCACCAATGACAAACACATGGGAGTAAATGAAAAAACTCCTCCGTGAATGTGACCCTACTTTGCCATGTGAATGATATTTAACCCAATACTTGACCCAGTACGGAACAATGGCTTGCCCACTTCTGCAAACATTTAAATGAACACTCTCTTTATATAACAACATGTCTTCATCACTATACTGGATACTTACCAAGCTTATATTACACTATAGGAAGGCACCAACTACACTTGGAGATATAAATGAACACTCTCTTTATATAACAACATGTCTTCATCACTATACTGGATACTTACCAAGCTTATATTACACTAAAGGAAGGCACCAACTACACTTGGAGATATAAATGAACACTCTCTATATATAACAGCATGTCTTCATCACTATACTGGATACTTACCAAGCTTATATTACACTAAAGGAAGGCACCAACTACACTTGGAGATATAAATGAACACTCTCTTTATATAACAACATGTCTTCATCACTATACTGGATACTTACCAAGCTTATATTACACTATAGGAAGGCACCAACTACACTTGGAGATACATGTATTACACAGGGATTAAGAGAACACTGTAACAAGGAGGGAAACAGTTTCTTTCAAGTGCACTCCCGAATATATTTAGGTGTTCCTTTGGAACTTATTTGTGCCAACTTGAAGAATAATTATTGTCATTTCAAGAAGGCTAGATAATAATTAGTTGTCATATTTTTAAAGTTAGCCCCTTCCCCCTTTCAGTGGGATTGATAATATTGTCAACATCATGTTTTCTAGGCCCTTCTGGCACCGGGAACTTATTTTTACTGTGCCATTATGACTGTTACAATGTCTATCAGACCCGGTGCAATATGTCGGAGACAGCAATAGTCAAGCCCTCACATGGAGATCTGGTCACCAAGTCAGGGCCAGCAAATTAGTGGTTGATAGCATGAACAATTCACATGCACATTGCATCCACCCAATCATCATTTGAATCTTGCGACAGACTTGGGGGTACTGGGACAGACTTGGGGGTACTGGGTCAGGCTTGGGGGTACTGGGTCAGGCTTGGGGGTACTGGGTCAGGCTTGGGGTTACTGGGACAGGCTTGTGGATACTGGGAACCTATTCTGGACAGGCTTGGGGCCACTGGAAACCTATTCTGTAAAAAAATTGTGTTGTGTTAAAGTAGGGATAGCTATAAAGTGCAATTAGGACAAGTGCAATTAGGTCTACACAAGTCCTTTGGACTAGATTCAAGAAAAACAGATTTCTAACGCAGCCTGGGAGCCTTATGGTAGAGGGGACCTTTTCTGCCTCAGCAACCCAATGGTGTGATATCACACAGGATCCTACAGCCACCGCAGGAGTGCAAATAAACACTGACACATCATTATTCTCCTTTGTAAATTCAATACCACAAGTATTGTTCCAGTGCCCTTTTATTTGAATCATCAAACCTTCAAATCAAATTTCCAAATTTACCTCCAAGTGACCGTGGCCCTTTAAGTATTGACCACCATCATCCTCTACAGCTCAGTCCAGGCCTGCACATGTCACTGTACAGTGGCAGCTGAGTGGTTCAAGTTGGCCATGTTAGGAAGTGCGTGGTACATCACATCTATTCCTGCTCGACTATTTCCTGGTAGAGAACACTCCACCAACAGACACGTGGAGCCAAGGTTTGTTGTCTCAATCTGACCTTCAACATCCTTCACTTTTCAATAACAGATAAAACTATTCAACACTGTTGGGTACGGGGAGGAGAGGGCACAGTTTGGGCAGGCTTCATACATGGATGTGCATCATGAGTGAGTGAGAGAGTTGAGGTGTAAAACAATTTTTGAATGTTTTTTTTCACCTAAATAACAGTACGTCTACTTAGATTTAAGAGGATTTACGCCAAAATGAAAAGTAAGTCACAGATATTGCCATTTAATGAAACCAACTGATACTAGTGATGACAAAAGAGCCAAGGATAAGGTGATCCTGACACAGCAAAGGGAAGCAACTCTGCACATTGAGTTGGAACACCAAGGCCCAAAGAAGTGGACATTTACCACTTTGGTGAATCCAACGGGAACGGGGGATGACGGCCCTAAGATCGTAAGTGGTATGAAACTTGGAACCAACTACAAGCAGATCCTGACACAGCAAAAGGAAGCAAGCAGTGTTGACATCGTGATGTCAAAGAAGATGATGTAAATCAGTATCACTGTTGATATTGTGAACATGTCCACACAGGGCTCTCTTCAGAAGAACTGCATCTTCTCTACACCTATTTTATCAATTATCGATACCAAAGAGATATTTAAAAAACTCTGATCAGAATTCATGAATTTCCAATGCTCCCACTCAGAAAATACAACAACTTCTAACACTTGTTACATACAATCAGTATGACACACTACATATATTAATAAATCTAGGACACATTGCTCTTGCAATGTATTGATTATATGTAAACCTTTGGAGTTGTGTGAGTGAATAGAGCATCAGGCTGTATTATCAATTTTGCAGCATATCAAAGTGAGAGACTCAAGAGCTGGCTCCACTCATATCCCAGTGGGGCAACGTATCTGGCCTACTGCATCCCGAGTGAACCTCCCAGCCAATGATCTCACCATCCAGGTAATTATAGCCCATATACCCTGCCAGTACTAAGGCGTAACACCTGAACTTTGTTTACTTCCATAATCATATATCAGCTGTGTCACAAGTCTATACTTACTCATGGGGCTGTGTCAAAAGATGAATCAGGATCAGATTAACATTGTTTTCATACAGTCAAACATACTAATGATGAGCAAATGTTGTTGCTGTCAACAATGTTCATGGTGGCTTGTGAAATGTCACAATCCAGTGGTTGATAGCATGAGCAACCATCCATGTTGTCAAGGTACCATGACACACCATCAGCTGGGGCACACATTGTAATTGCCTGTTGTTTTACACAACAATGATTATTCCAGATACATAATGGCACCCTGCAAATACTTAAGTCTTGGCCAGACAAACTACTGGTTGATATTAAGAGCAAACAAACTTGACCACCTGATCCAATTTAGTCTCCTCTTACGACAATCAATAGAGTTCTGGGGGACCTATTCTTACATGGGTCCCCTCAAGGGTTCTTTACAATAACAGTACAACAGGGCAAGAGTGAGTTGGAAATAACGCTGCTTTTGACAGTATTCCAGTTATATCACGGCGTGTCAGCTTAATGTGGGAGAAAAGCCCGAAGTGATGCAGGTCTCAGACGTTTACCACTTCGGTGAAACCCACGAGCATGGGTATGGTGCAGGCAAACCTAGAAACATAATTGGGGCGAACCGGGATTCGAACCCACATTCATAGTTTTCTGGCTTGTCCAAGGGACGCAACAGGGCTAAGAAGTGTGAAAACAATTCAGGTTAACAAACATTCAAGTCACCAAACATGACAACCTGATGCATTAAGTCTCCTCTTTCAACAAGCATAGGTTGCTGGGAGCCCATATTCTTACCCGGAATCCCAATGAATTGACTAGTGACTGGTGAAAGAACAGAATTTGCAGGTAACAGACATACACAGTAATTGTTTTTCAGGTCCTCTGGATCTAGACATGTCCTATCCCCTGAGTTGACTGCATACACATCAATATCCTAAATTACATCTGTTTCCTTTGAGATGACCCCTGTCTGAAGCTTCAAGTGGAGAGCCTAGCCTTTCATTACTTGTCAATGAGAAGAGCTTGACCCTGACTGGATAGGGAACCAGAAGGTGCTTGAACTATATGAGGCCCGGCAATACTTTCTCCTGTCCTCATTTTGGTGGGTCATATATTTGTTATTAGGATGGCCATGTCTGAGTGATACCTACAATAGGATGTCCAAACCTAAGTGGTACCTTCAATAGGATGGCCATGTCTGAGCGATACCTACAATAGGATGGCCATGTCTGAGTGGTACTTACAATAGGATGGCCATGTCTGAGTGGTACTTACAATAGGATGGCCATGTCTGAGTGGTACTTACAATAGGATGGCCATGTCTGAGCGATACCTACAATAGGATGGCCATGTCTGAGTGGTACTTACAATAGGATGGCCATGTCTGAGCGATACCTACAATAGGATGGCCATGTCTGAGCAGTACTTACAATAGCATGTCCAAACCTAAGTGGTACTTTCAATAGGATGGCCATGTCTTAGTGGTACTTACAATAGCATGTCCAAACCTAAGTGGTACTTACAATAGGATGGCCATGTCTGAGTGGTACTTACAATAGCATGTCCAAGCTTAAGTGGTACTTACAATAGGAGTCCATGTCAAAGTACACTGACAGTGGGATGTCTATGTCTAAGTGGCACTTACATATGTGTGGAGAAATACTTACATTAGGGTGTCCATCTCGAAGTATCTTGTGGAGAACGTGGAGAAACTTCCAGCACACGATGGGGTTGCCCTGGACAGGCAGCTTGGTGGCAACGGTCCAGAACATCCCTCCGCCATTGTCTTGGAAGGTACCAAGGATTGTGTCTTACACCAGTTAAGGGCATTATTCACAGTAGAAAAAAATAGTATGTATGATCACATATTTATCTTCCATGCATTAAATGGACATATCAAATGATTTATTACACCAGATGACCATAATTTCCAAACAAACATATAAAATGAAAGAAATCTTTGCAGCTCAGTAAACAATCTATTATGTGTCATTTGCTTGGAGTTTAAAGATGATTGTTCTTGTACAGAACTCCTGTAATGGATGTTATACATACACCCCAGTGTACTGAAACATAAACCTGTTCCAGTACAAGACCATTCACCTCAGAGGCCCTGTACACCTGTTAATGACACAGAAAATTGCTGATCTTGTAACATGAAATGGGGATTGTCAGCAGGAGAGTGCTGGTCTGATTCTGTACATACTCAAACCCCAACCGTATGGGGGTGTTCTCACAACATATCCCCAAAAGCCCAACATTCTTCCTTGACATTATGGTATGGAACCTTAAGATGTCATGACGGTGAGATGAAACGTGGTTAAACGCACGTTCAAGATTATGCATGTGTGTGCGTGCATGCACTTGTACTTGTCTGGGCGTATGTCATTATGACTCCTATGAACCAAGACTGACATCAGGTATGCAACAATATTGACAATGAAGTCTTCGTCTCCTCTACTTATCATCCCTGATTATATCCTCCTCCAGTGTTGACCAGTTCCGACCATACCTTCCCCCTCAGGGTCTCACTGCCATCACATCAACAGACTTCCACCAGACTCAACACCATCTCGGGTTCTTCGCCCGAATCATTATTTTCCCATTTCCTATTAAAATCAGCTTTAATTGGCAATGAGGTACTAACAAGTGGTGACTAATCATATCATGTGACCATATTGGTGCAGCGTGGACCAATCGGAGAAACATGGAGCGACAGCCAGTCAATAACATCAATACAGACTGCAGACAGATTTGACAATTGACCAAACTAATGTTAACCGACAATTTTCCAATTTACATGCTATTACTTTGAATACCCATCATCATAGCAATGGATCTACTAGAATCATATCATGATGTTTTAAATGCTGAGTGTGCGCAAGCAACTCAAATTTATTACCAGAAGTGAGTGAGTATGGTTTAAGCCCCTTTTAGCAATAATCTAACAATATCAGGGTGGGGGAACATCAGAAATGGGCTTCACACATTGTACCCATGTCGGGAGTCGAACCCGGGTCTTCGGTGTGACGAGTGAATGCTTTAACCACTAGGCTACTCAACCACCCTTACTACCAGAAGAAGAGTTTGGTGAAAGTGTAACCCATACATAAGCAGACCCTTTCTACAGAATCTTTTTTGGGGTCCTCAAAATTCAGCTTATCTATGGTCATATACGGTATGCAATGGTGATTTATTGTGCTTATTTTACGCAAATACATAGCTAACATGGAGCTCTGGTTGTTGTTCCTAAATCTGATGCAATTACTCACATCACCACTAATTATTTGCCAGTTCTTTAACACGGCAATCAGCAACAATCAGCCATATCAAGATGACCTGCATATAAAGGGTTCTGGACCAGACAAACCAGTGATTGATGTTATGAGCTCTATCCCATGCCCACTTGGTAGGATATTTACACTCAATCAACCAAGTCAATGAGTACCACCGGATCCATTAAGCCAACTCTTACAAGCACACGTTGCTGAACACCAATTTTACCTTGCATTGGCCAAAGGGGTCATCATTGCCAAGATTAGAAACAAAACAGAAAAAATATACTGGCTACTTCGTAAACTCACTTACTCTAAATAAATCAAAGGAACTAACAATAAATCTAGCTAATTGTTCAAATACAATCAAATACAAATTATACATGACCCCAGGTCTGAGGATACAACTCTCGTATCCTGTATCTTGATGCAAATGAAATTTGGCAAATTGTTACAAGGCTATCTGTAATGTTTTGATAGGATTAAATGATATCATCAAATGATACATATTACATTTTTTCTGTGTCCAGTATGCAGAATAAAAAATATATATATATTTAAGTTTTCTTACTATTTGTATCACTTAACCAAAGATGGATCCACGTATAAATTCATTCACAAATGATGTTTCCCTCCACATAGATTAACAAAACAGCGGAAATGTGGAAGTGTTATTTCCTTACACTGTTATCCATGGTAACAAAATGGTTGTGACTGACCATGCTGAGAAATATTTACTTTATTATGTAGAAAAGTGGAATCTGCATGTGTAATCGGTGTCAAACACATTAGCTCCCAATATATTGCAACAATATAGTAATTACTGCAAGACACTGATTTTACCAATACACATGCAGACCTATGATTTGAGAATCCCGTATAAAACTTGTAACCATATTAGTCATGACAGTATGTCATCTTGCAACCAGACAACAGACTACACACACAGGGAATGTAGACATCTCACAAGACCATTCTGCACAGACAGGTTGATAAGTTTATTACTGGGCTCCAATACAGTCTGTAAGGTCGTAATGAAGTGTCTCAGAATAGACCAGATTGGATAATCATTGAAACTGGGGGTGGAAGGCAAACAGGAAACCACGAGGTCACTATGTTTCCGTGGCGATAGACATGTCAGGGGACTCTCCAGTTACAAGAATAAACAATCAGGAGGAATTCAATCAAATACATATCCATACTCAAGTTCTTAGATTCACCATCATAATAAATCAGCTGTTTAAAGCGACATAAAATTCAGCAAGAAAGTCAAAATTCATGGCTGCCAATCCAGACTCGCATACTTTAACAGGCCTAGGACAATCAGAGCACTAACATCACTTTGTGGAATGGGGCCTCGGCCTTAATATCAATGTTGAAAGTTACTGGCATTTATTACAATCCATAGATTCAAATACTGTAGAAGTAGAACTCAAGGATGCCCGGACCTGTAATTTCTAACACCTTCATCATGTTCATAGTTTGGGGAGATATATTTCACTTAAACAAATTAGATTTCAATAGTTCTAATTTTTGTAATAGATTTGTCTACCTTAAATTTTGTAAAATTAATAAACAGAAATAATTTTGTATTGAGAAATATACTCATTTAGGACACACACCTTTCAAAAGTGTTGAACTTCAATTTGAAATCTCCAAAAGCAACAGGTAATATAAGCATGATAAAAATATCATCATTCGAAAAACTTCTGTTAAAAAATGTAGTTTGTCATTTGTGATTAAACACAACATGCACAAGGCAGTCTTGGATCCTCAAAGTGATCTTACCATATTGATATTTGACATTTGTTGCAGTCCAAGATCAATTTGTGGAACAGGGCACTAACCTATTTAGCACGTTTAGTAATCTAACTTTTGGCCTCCCTCAGCCTGTGTTTTCCTAAACAATTTGTAAAACAAGACAAAAAGTGGTCTGGTCAACCAAGATTTTGCGACAATTTGGCATTTTTGGTTTCTCAAAAAAAAAATGGAACCCTGTTTTTACCTGGCAGATTAAACTTAGACATAGTCATATTAAATAGCATTAAAATAACTGAGTTAATTCCATGACTAGCTTTCATATAAAAATTTCACTAAATGCCCATGGAAGTCAAATCGTGAAAACTGGTGTCACTGTTGATACTACCGAGAGTTCCAATCTGAGAGCAAAAACATAAAATCTCCAAATGGTGATTGTTTCCTTCTTGGATATCAACTTCCCAGAAATTGATACCCTTCCTTTGTCAAAAAGTGTCAATAATCATAGGTGCTGTCATTATTATTGGCAACATTACTTTCATATTGGTGAAATCCCAGAAATTATTGTCAGTTTGAGACCTTGGTTCTGACGCCAATATCTCACATCTAGAAATAAGCCCTGCATGTTAAACTAATGCTTCTTCGTTGTGTTCAAAGGAACCAATACGGATGATTTTCTAAGTACATGTGAAAAAATATTATTCATATCTGTTACAAAAATAACTCCAGTCTAGTTATCGTGGGGACAATTTATATTTTGCTGCATGGAGTGTACAAGAGAAACGCAGTCGTCCATGGTTCTTCAGATTTCCTTTCATACACTGATGTCTGATATCCCACAACTGATGTCATCAATTCTGTACAGTACTGTCTTCAGGAATCAATAATTCATGATCATCTTGTGGGTGTCGCTGTTGCTCATAACAGTAACAACATCAGCAAATTTCCTTTTGTGTCAAAGGCAGCTATATCTAATAGTAATGTTCAAGTAATAGGTGCTATTATGCAGTAATATAATAAACAATTACTGTGTTCCACGTATTAACCGCCAAAGTGACTGAAATTGGCACTGGTCCTACAGTCCTTGCCAAACTGCTCAATAGTTAAGATATCATAAGGACTGGAAATATGACATATTTAAGATATGTTATCATCATAAGGACTAGTGAACTAAAACCAGCTCCAATAAGCAAATTCTGACGAACTTTTAGGTGAGGTGAAGGTGACGTAAAATTGGGTTTAACGTTGTGTCCAGGATTATTGCACGTGTATGTGAGTGGACTAATGCCGATTTTATAGTGCTAGCCCACTGAAGGTCAGATGAAACGTGGTTAAACGTCGGGTTCAAGATTATGCATGTGTGCATGCACACGTACTAGTCTGGACTGCTAGCCCACTGAGTTACCATGCCGAAGTTTAACATGGATACCCCACTCAGATGCAGTTCATCGACTCCGTGCCGACCAGTCCTTGTTTTATTCCCATAATGCCAAGTGCCAGGCAGGGTACCAAGAAAGACCATTTTTCAACAATGCAGCAGGGGATTAAACTACCAATTGCAATCTTCCGCTCTCCAGGCAGACTCTCCATCTACTGGACCAGATTATGGGGGCGGTTCTGAAGCAACGGAAATAAGTTGATTGTTCCGAACTTTCCAGACAGACTGCACACAAAGCTGAGAAGCTTTTCGGATCTCTGACACTCATGACAACAATCAGGAATCTCTATTTACCAATTTGTCTGTGACTATTTCCTGGGACAAAGCGACCATTTACTAATCAGTCAGTATCAACGCGGTCAAGGTACAATTTTAGCCAGTATTGACGAGTTTATTCTATGACTCACCACAAATTACTGGTATCATGAGTGAAGGAACCAACGCCTAACCACAAACTTGTGCCAAGATGATAATGGTTAAACTTACTCTATAAAGTATTGATCCTTTGTTTCCATCTGGTTATCAGCAATGTTATGTCTACCATGTCATCACTTGTGTTTTGCAGGCAGTGATACATTCCTGATGTCTTGGAAACACAAGTTTGTCTGGAATTATAGTAGTTGCCTTTTCAATCGTTCTGATTTTAAGGATTCAACATCATCACATCCAGCTGAATATGATTAGAAATCTCATCAAAATCAAATTATGTTGTTGTTTTTTTTGTTTAACTATGAACTCTGAACAATATGGCAATATGATGCATCCTGTAAATAATGGAGTCTGGACCAGTCTGGACCACACAAATCAGTGAGTGATGCTATGAGCATCACAACATGTCGTCAGGGTACAATAACACCCAATCTGCCAAATCGCTGGGCCTGACTGCTCGGGCCATACAGTTGCCCCATACAACAAGCTATAAGGTTGCTCTGCCCGGGACCTATTCTTAAATCATTTGGGTACAATAACACCCAATCTGACAAATCGCTAGGCCTGACTGTTTGAGCCATGTAGTCGCCCTGTTCGACAAACAAAGGTTGCTGGAGACCTTTTCTAACCCGGATTCCAAACACTTTACAGGGGCAAAGAAACTAATAAATCATTATCCTGATAATGAAATAGCAATTCTGTTGCTATAATAGCCTTTTATAACATTTGTTTTGTTTGTTTGTTTGTTGTTTAACGCCACATTCAGCAATATTCCAGGTATATGACGGTGGTCTGTAAATAATTGAATCTTGACCAGACATTATAGTGATTGACATCATGAGCATCGATCCATGCAATTGGGATATGATGACATGCATCATCCAAGTCAGCATGCCAGACCACCCAATGTCGTTCAAGCACAGTCGTCCTTTACAGCAAGCATGGGTTGCTGAAGGCCTATTCTACCCCAAACTTCACAGGTCTTATAACATCTGTGCTTAATTGAAATAAAGGAATTGACTGATTCATGTGGCTTTATGCTACATGCTGTCGCCCTGTAAAATAATCAAGTGTGGGACAGGCATTGAACACATGGTTGACTGAACCGAGCCAGACCATCAGGACATCGCACCATCTGATCCTCATTATACCAGCAAATATACGAGGGATCTGTTCTACCCTGGAATCCCAGAATCAAGTATAATATAGACCTTATATATTTACCTGGCCCCATGAATATCTAGGTTAGAATTGGTCTTCAGCCACCCATGCTTGTTATAAGAGGCAACTCATATAATGCTTGTCGTAAGAGGTGACTAACTGGATCAGATAGTCAGAATCGCTGACTTGGTTGATGCATGTCATTGTATTCTCATGATCTCAATCACTGGATTGTCTGGTCCAGACTTTGCTATTTATAGTCCACCATCAAATAGCTGGAATATTGCCAGTGCAGCGTTCAACAACAAAAAAAACCCATCATAATTTTATGATTGTTGTATGAACATGACATGACGAACTGCATAAATTTTTCTCTACAATTTTCATATTGCAATTATCATGACTGCATGGGGCTGCAGCAGTGAGAAGACTCCTAAAACCAACAACCACAAATACAAATCCACAACAAACCAACACAGCAGTAAAGGTTTTTGTCATTTAAAATATCCTCTGATTATTTCTTCCTGAACTGATATCCTAAAATCATATTTCAACACATATTTATTTCATTCATTTTTCAACATGATGATGAGACAAGATCTCTGATGGACTGGTCAATCACATCACTTTCATTAAGACAATCAATTCTGATGGCATTTCCTCCTAATGGATGGGTCACTTATCCCGACCAAGTATAGAATATCACACCAAGAGCCTGTGAAGCCTCCACATGTCATGCTCAGTCCAAGTAATTCTATCAAAACAAATTAAGAGATTAATCGGCTGTGGTCTCACATTGCCCGAGCTGCTGTGTGTGAACATATGTGTCCAGTGCAGACACTGACCACCATGTTGGTGGACACGGCTAATGTAGATAGATGTGTCCAGAGGGACATCAGCCACTGCAATTCAACATTTAATGGCTTCCTTCACCACATGGTGTCCAGTACAAGCAGTGATCGCAACTGGGATTCCATGCCCAAAATTGACCCAAGTCTCGAGCCAAGACTTGTCATTTGGCACCATTTTCAGTAGATTTTTTCGTTTTCTGAAGAAAACATTTGAGCCTCCTGGCCCGACATTTTTTTGTTATTATTGTCCAGACTATTACTAAGTGAGTTTACTAGATGGAACAAACATTTTACTAGACCTGGGCTTCCGGCTAGTGGCTAACATTGCAGACTGTAATATTATGGACTAGAACCAGCTGAATGTTCTTGATAGAATGTTCATTTATTGGACTCAGGCTTCGAGTGTCTGAATTGCATATATTCAAGGCCATAAAACATAAATATACATTTTCAAATATAGCTGGGTAAGTTGCTTTCTCCTCAAATCTGGTTACATAAACTACTATTTCGAAATGACCAGTGGACTACTTAGATATGACCAATGGGATGATCTCTCCCTACAATCTGCGACAAACAAACTTCTTCCATGCACAAGATCTATGACCGAGTTGGATTCTTCTATAAACCTGTACCTGCTGGTTACTGAGAAACTTCTGGTTGACAAACAACAGAATTCAGGAGGATACTTCGAACATGTTTTTCTTTGACAGGTGTTTCTTGACTGTTGATAGCCTTGTTGATTGCCACAGCCTGGAAAATAAAATGCACCGATTAAATGCCACATTTAACCAAAATGAAAACATCTGGAAAGTATTACACAAAATGTCTGAAAATAATCCAGTCTGGACCAGGCAATCCAGTGGTTGATAGTTTGAGCAACAAATTACCATGTTATCAACACAAAGAGCCAGATTACACATTTTATCAACCACATTCTCATTTTCTTCAGCTCTTTTCAGAATGGTTGTTTTCATATATCGTTGAACAACAAATAAATAAGATATAAAATATGTAAAGGGTAAATAAATTTATTCGTTTGGCATACATGTTCAGTATACATCAGTATTCTAACTTTAGGGGGGTCCTTAAGTGTACTTGAAGTCATTTCCTTTAGTAATTGGCCCCTTAAACAAATGCTAAATCTGTAACTTTTAACATTAGGTCTATGACAAGGATGTTGTCACGCATAATTTAAACACTGCACACGATACAGGTTAAATATTTTAGATGGTAATTCTTCCATAGCTTGTACTGATGATTTTCAAGCACAATGGACAACAGACTATATTTCTACAAAATGCTGGTTGGTTGTCAAAGTAGTGAAGCATTATTCTTCGGGTAATGAAAATATAACTTCCTGAGTGATCAAGTTCAGCAATAATCTGTATATCATTATTGTCCTCCACGTCACACAAACTTGAAGTACTTATAATATATGTGGGAGTATGTAAATATTGTTCTTTTAAAATCAGTGTTTTGTCTTTGGCTCATGAAATAAAATAAACAGTGTGACATTAGAAGGATCAATTATTTCTCTAGTCACAGCAATCTAGTTCAGTTGTAAGACAGCTGTTGGTTTTCAACAGCAGAACACAGAAGAGATTTAAAAGAGTACCAGAAACAAAATCAAACTAGATTCAACATGGGCTGTCTGAAAATGAGTCATCAATCTCACTGAAATCCTAGGTTGTCATTTAGTCATAGATTGTAATATTTCTGTTTTTTAGTACAGGGCCCACTTGCACAAAACGATCTTAGCGCTAAGACCATTGTAAGCCTATGTTAAAGTATGGGAGTTAAGATCATCTTAGCGCTAAGATTGCTTTGTGCAAGTGGGCCCTGGACTCAGATACTGGGGTTGGGTGGGTCCTGAGTAGGATCTGGATTGTAACCCACAGGATAACACAGATCCATGGTTAGTTACATGATTTATTGCTTAACGACATTAATAACTAAACTCTACAAGTAGCTAATGTTTGCATTTATTTCTGATTATGTATGCATTCCTTCCCCCTGAGGTTTTTGTTTGTTTGTTGTTTCACGTCGCACTCAGCAATATTCCAGCTATATGACGCTATATGCGCAAAGTGCTTCATGGTAAATTTGCTCACGTGAGGCAGTCTTCATCAGCTGATGAACGTCAACAAATACAACTTCAATCCTTATATTGACAGATACATATAGCAAACTATATCAACGTGGAGAGTCGTGACGTCGTGACGTTATCCGTCCCAAACATTCCATTTGGAGTGGCATCCCTTGGTTTTACAAACGTTAGAAAATGGCGGCTACAGAAATGTCATTCACTTGAAATGAGTTCTCAAAAAAAGTTAGCGTTGGAAAGAAATCCAGACCCGGCTTATGCTGAAAATGAATTGATATTAACGTTCTGTGAACTTTTGGTGTGTTTTTGAGTCATACTACGGCTGCTGATGACGGGGATTACCGCATGAGGCGGTGCAGTTGGAATATCCGAAGCAATACACCACAGTGTGGAGCTCAGTGATTTCTTTTGGTAAGTCGAGCATTCTCTGTTACAGCTTCGAATGGACGCTTCATTTTGACATAAATGATCTGTCTGGCCTCAAAGCCTGCATCATTCATAGCCTGAATCGGTGTCGTCAGTTGTCCCTTTAGTATTTCTGTAGATCTCCGCTCGATTGACAACGTAATCACATGACATACTGATGTTCATCGGGAAATGAACGACAGTCAGCTTGGTAGTGTTCATCTAGGTGGGGTCACCCACTACTGTCAATATTTAGCGGTGGGATAGCCTTGTGGTTAAAGTGTTTGTTTGCCACGCTGAAGTCCCCGAGTTCAATTCCCCACAGGAGTACAATGTGTAAAGCCCATATCTGGTGTCCCCTGCTACTAAAAGCAGCGTAAAACTCACTCACTCACTCATAAAATATGTCCTCTTAGCACATCGAGAGCATTATCTAGAGTAGCAGTTGTGAAACACCGACCAGCTGTCTTCCTTGTTAGTCCATGGCAATGACAGAGTGGTGTGTTTAACATGTGGGTCAGCCCCCTGCTCCTCAATGAAGCAAGTGACACAGGGAGTCTGGTATTTCGTGAGTAATACCCCACTCCTGTACAATGCGGCCCTGGAATTTCACATTCTAAAACACTCACCCGATTCAAACTCAAGGAGCAATTGTTTCAGTGTTACCAGCAGCTTGTCCTGCCAGTCACACTGACTGTAACACGGGTCTACCATCCGCTGGACAGTGGAACATTAAGCTCTTGTCAAATCATGAGCAACTGTTCATGTTTATGTAATGAGCAACAAGAATTTGTTTTGTTTTTTTGTTGTTTAACGCTGCAGTCAGCAATATTCCAGCAATATGACTGCTGTCAGCTGTCTGTAAATAAACGAGTTTGGACCAGACAATCCAGTGATTGACATCATGATCATCGATCCATGCAATTGGGATACGATTACATGCAACAAACAAGTCAGCGAGTCTGACCATCTGATCCCGTTACTCGCCTCTTATGACAAGCATAGTCGCCTTCTATGGCAAGCATGTATGAAATGACTCTAAAATTACTGATCGATAATGAACATTCTAAACTGGTTTTATGAAAATCACACTGTGTACTTGGTGCATGACAAATATTGTAAATCATGTAAATGTAAATATAAAATTAAAATCACAATTTACCCTCGCTGATCACTTATAAATAGATCAACATCTATCTGGACATACATTAGAGAATCTCCCCTGAGTGTCTTTTGATATCAAATATATCAACACGAGTTGATAAAAGTGGAAAAACTATGAGGCTTTGACATCAAAAGACACGAGGGTGAGATCTTATTTATCATCCAACATCATTCTTCAAACTTTTTCAGTTTGTAGACAGTAATAAGTGTAAAAAGTACTGCTAACTGAGCTTCAGTAGCGAGTCATTAGTGATGTCATTTACAATGTAGATATTGCTTGATCTCACCCAAGCCATATCTCCTGTGGTAATCAGTTTTGGCAGGGTTAGAAACTAACAGTTTTTGTCCAATAGTCCTTATGATAATATATAGCAAAACCCTTAAAATGGGCCAATTTCTACTAGTCCTTAGGATACCTTTACTATTGGGCAGTTTGGTAAGGACTACAGGACTAGTGCCAATTTCTAACGCTGTTTGGATGATGAAGTTTTTTATCATCATATTAGTATCACTGCACCTGGCCTATCTGATTAATGAGATGGCGTTTATCATGTTCATCCGTTTCAACATCAACAAAGGTAGGTCTACTCACAATAATTGCATGACATATTTTAGGCTGGGGCTGGACACTCGCTTTCATTTGATGAGGCTTTACCTTTGATTAAACCATTATGATGACATCAAACAGCGTTAGAAATTGGCCAAACTGCCCAATAGTTAAGGTATCCTAAGGACTCATAATAAGTAGAAATTTGCCATTTTTAAGGATTGGCCTATATGTTATCATTATGAGGACTAGTGGACTGAAACTGTTTCTAACGCTGTCACACTATTCTTATTGTTGATTCTGAGCCAGGAATTCTCAAGCCATTCTAAACATGCATTTTGTGCAAGTAAAAATGAGGCAACCATTGGTCAATATACAAATTCCACAGAAATTATATATCAACCATAGCATGGTTGATGTCAGAGAAATCACTTGTATCTGGTGATTACAGAAGTTGGATCAACTTGAGCCTTCAGGGCTTATTGATCTACTTACAGAATCAACAGATTGTAGTGACTTCTCATTACATAACATAGTCTCTAGTAGGCAATATGACACCCACATTATTACAGCAGCTTATAAATAATTCAGTGGTTGATCCTATGATCATCATGCAAGCACACTGCCAAGTACAGATAGTACTGGAATGCACCACACAACACAGACACTGTGGCCACCTGATTCAGTCAAGCCATCAAGTACAACAAGTACAGTGTTGAAATAGCGCAATAGTCTAGGAAGAACTGGTTCCTGATAGCATAGGGATCAGGTTTTCCATCAAACAAGTTTTCTCCACTGCATCCCCATCCTTGTCTGTGGTTATCATCCTAGTTTTCTTCCATCAAAGACCCCTTATCCATGGAATGTATCAAATCACTGTTTCCCAAGTAAGAACTCAACCCTAATTAACCTAACCAGTTAATCTGCCTAACAATAATTAGCCATACCAGCCCTCTATTTCGGGATAATTCTGATCCAAAGGGACAAAATTGTGCGTTTACCACACATGTTTTATGAGACTGTTGCTCAATTAAAAGACTAGCGATGACTACAAATATGTTTCAGCAAGGTTATTGTTTTACTTCACTGTAATGACTGGAACATGGCTGTGAAGATATTTACATTGTTTCATCATGTTTATCTCATAATTAATTCACACCTCTGTAAAATAATATGTGCTCCAAAAATATTGCCTTGGCCAACCACGGATCTAATAGCAGGAGCCAGGTGGCTCCCTAGAAATAAACCTAGCTATGAGGCCAACACAGTATACCTAACCCATAGGCCAGCAAGGATAGGAAGATTCAGTAACTTCTGGAGACCACACATCCCATCTGCTATCCCACCTACAGCTTTATTCCGGTATGTAACATCAACAATATTATTTCACCCTTCCCCATGTTCACGCTGAATGATGATCACAGGCCATAAATAAAATCTGTTCCAAGAAACCTGACGCAGTTCTATGAAGGTTGGAAGAAAGGGATTTGGGAGCAAATTTTCAGGGTTGTGTGTTGCCTGAAGCATTGAGGTACTTTTTATTGTGGCCATTTGTCAGCTGATTGGCAACATACTCACTGATTCACCACACTTTTTCATATCATATTACAATTTTGTGAGGTGAGGTGAGGTGAAATTGGGTTTGTCGCGTCCAAGATTATTGCACTTATATAGCAACGTGCATGCACGTGTGTGTGTGTGTGTGTGTGTGTGTGTGTGTGTGTGTGTGTGTGTGAGTGTGTATGTGTGTGTGTGTGTGTGTGGCTGCTTGTACTAGTCCAGACT